TTACTTGACATCCGAATGCCCTCGGATATACTATTACAGCAGGTGCAAAGTTGTTTGTGTGTTGTCTTCCGTCGCAACTTGTTCGGCTAGCAAGCCAGCAAAGGGAAATACCAACTACTACTAGATGGTTATCAAAATGCTCCATATCAAACCCCGGCTTGTCAACCCACGGGAAGCGAGACAGGGGTCCGAGTCCACCCGACAAAACAAGCATTTTCTGTCCCCTTATCTCGCAGATGGTTGTTACATCGCAGGGATTCCGAGTGTTGGTGCCGCAACGTGTCTCAACATAAGAACCGCTCCCAGATGAAGAGGTTGCCTTGTTCGGGCCTAGTCTGGCCCCAGATGTTGCATCCCTTTAATATATAGAAGCCAAGCTTGTACATACGTGGAAGAAGAAGAAGAAGAAAAAGAACCCGGGGAGAATGATCAAGCAGGGGGGCCTGCAGATTGGAGAGGTCACTTTAGGACAGTGACATGGACAAGGGGGCCTTTTTCCCTCTTCCGGGCCTTTTTTCCCCTACTACTCATGATGATTTTCATTATTCATTGCTTCTGCCACCCAACTTGCTAGCCAAGTCATGTTCTCTTGCAGCACATGACACCCGCCGCACTCTATTTTCCCTCTTACACCGACACAGCTTGTGCGTTATTGCTGGAATGTCGGAGAGGAGGCGTCAAGCTCCAACGTGGGAATTACATAAAATATGCGGGAAAAAAAAGAAAGAAAAAAAAAAGGTAAAAAATAAATCGAGGTAATAAAAGAGAAAATAGAGAGAAGATGGAGGTGTGGGGAACCCCGCTTTTTGGCCAGGCTTCCAGAAAACTTCCATGACACGTGGGAGCCTGCGAATGAAGTCCGAGGATGTGGAGCCTTGGTTCTTCTCTGTTCGCATGGCCTGCGTGTGTGTTTGTCGCAGCACTTACAGTATTACAGACACACACACAAAGGGCACAAAGAAGGTCAAGCAGCTTTGGTGTGGCTGGAAGCCGAATACGGAACAAGTCGTCCGTCAGCCAATCAGGCTATTCTCATTTCCGAGATTCTTGCGGTATGTCACTTCTCCGAAAACTAAGGCTTTTTGGCCGGTCTCTGTCGGTGGTTCTTTTAAGCTGTGATCGGTATAGGAGAGGAAATACGGAATGCCTGGCATGTTCCAGTATGTTCCTCGGAAGGCTGGCGACACCTGCATGGTCTGTCTGAACTGTCACTTGATTGATTCGGACAAACATCCGGTTGCCTCACCGTACAATGTCCTCCGACAAGTGGTGACAACCTCCAAAGGGAACGGGCAAGGTGGTGTGTAGACGAATGACATTCTCGCGGTTGCGATGAATCAAGAGGTGGCACTTGGATTTCTTCTCAACGATTCACGAAGATTCATGAAGCTGTCCGTTGGCTGCCGCACGTGAAGAACTTCTATTGTGAGTATGCAATTCAGCTTGCAGCCACAGCCCTCCGAGAGAGCCACGAGGCTGCCCAACCTGACATCTTCCTCCGGCCTCGTCAGCCATTGAGAGGGCCCTGAGATTTGAAAGGCCGCCACAACGTGGCAACGCAGCAATGTGCGGACAAGTCGGCATCCTCCGATCGTGCAGCAACTTGCGAAACCAGGCAGAAATCGGAGCTGAGAGTTGCCGCAAAAACGAGGCGGCCCAAAATGATGTGGCTTGATCACGGGTACTGGTTCCCTTTTCTGTTCGAGAGAGAAAGAAGGGTGCTGTCTGTGGCTTTGCTGGCGTTCTTTAATCTGGGGTAAGTATGTTGCGAAGTGTAATTATGCCCATTTTTCCCTCAATAATAGCTGGCGAGCGGGAAGAGCGGAGAATGCGGCCGCCGGTTCTTATTAGCTGTTAATCGCACAAAGATTGCTTGTTGGCCGCGAGTTTTGCCCGAGAAAGTGAAGAGAGGTGCGTGAGAGTTTGGGGAGCTCAAAGAGGCGTTTTCAGCCACGGCGAGAAGAGACGGGGAGGTAATTGGGCCACCCGCGGATGAACTATGCGTTCTGCTATTCTTTTGTTGTTTGTTGTGTGTGTGTGCCAATGCCTTATTCACCAGATTGTCGGGTTTTTGGGCTTGCTGAAAAGCCTCGTTCGTGGTCATTATTTTCTTACCCGTGGTGGTGGTGCTGGTGGTGGTGGTGGTTGCTCTTGATGGTTTCTTATTATCCGCCCGTCCGGTGAATACAACAGCATCGCACCCTTTTTGCGCTGCTTATGATTAAGCGAGGTCTTCTTACGCGGTATTCTTGATTCTGGCCACATATGAAGGAAAGGCAAATATACAGTCTCACCCAAGATGACATCAGTTACACCTCCTGTACCTCGCCTCGAGCTTCTGGAAATACGCAGGATGGAAATAACATCACAAATCAACTGAAATGGTCAAGGCACACACCCCTCCCTCTGCGATCGTGAACCTCCCTGCCTAAACAATAGCAGCAGAAACAGTCATCAGCAACTGAACGGACATTTGCCCAGTTTGCTGACAGTCCAGCAAAAACATGGCATCTTCCGTCTTTCGAAGCTGGTTGTTATCGTGGTGGCGCCCACACTTCTCCAGATCCTTTGCTCCCCGTTTATTGCGGGTCTTTCCCCGGACGCAGTTTTCCTTACCCTCGGTCAGGGCAGAATGGATCTCCCGGGGACCCGGCATCTCTCCGCTTCGGCTGTGGGAATTGCAGCGAACCTTGTGGCTTGGCTTACACGAAAACAAAAGATGAAATAGAGGTGTGTACGCGTGATGATATAAGCTGTATCGAAACGATAGTTTACACATGTCAGCAGAAAGTGATAAATCAGTTCATATCCAAAGCATCTAGACCTTGGGCCTGTTCATCTACCGATTGCCAATAATAGAACGTTCTTCAGCCCTACGACTGCAGGCTCAATGGAAGGCCCGGGAGCTTAATGAGTTGAGGCTCTCAGTTTGGGACCAACGAGCTGGCCAAGGATTTGCGGTGTTTCTCTCAACTGCCGACTCGAGAGAGATGCTGTGGCGCATTCCATGTGCTTTGTATGGGTTAATTTGTTGTTCGGAGTTGATGGGGACGATACAGGAGTACTGGTACATACAGGGGCTATTATCACTTCGATGTCTTTGATTGCTTTGGTTGCGGCGCCACTGGAGCAATGATTTCTGCAAATCAAAAGTGAAATAAGATAAAATCCTAAAAAGATACGAAAAAGAAAAAAAGTGTTGAATTACAATTTGGATGATTGTAGATACTATGTTACAGGTGTCTCCCACAAGGCTGCAGTACCTCATCCCCCCCCCTCATCCCCCTCCTCTGCCTCGTGAGTCTATTTCCACCAATGACACGGGGGGCTAAAGGTTCTGCCGGGCCTTTGACGTAAACAGCCTGTCGCAGCAGCTTCATTACCTCGTCATCCAGTTGCGGCCTACCGGCGATTCTTCTCTTTATGAGAGACTGTAATTACTTGTAGTAATATGAATCAAACAGCAGTCTGTCGTCAATGCTGTCATTCAGGGGCAAGAGTGTGCGGGAAAAAGTAAAGGCGGCAAGGATCACGGGCATTTGGCCTCGGCTCAGTGCATGCAGCATCAGCATGTGCTCATCACTCTATCGACCCTGTAAATCATTCACAGGCACCATATTACGGGGGGAAAACAGGCCATCCTTGTGATCTAGTTAAGCTTCTTGTATGCTTTCGGTATCAAGAAACGAATACTACTAGTGTGTTTGTCGCAATAGATTGTACACTGCTTTGCGACGGCTTGGGGTGCTGCTGCAAAGGTGCCCGCAGTCTTTTGATTAATTGCCAGCCCTACGACATCCAGCGAGTGACATCTTGAGCCGCGGGTTTAATATATTATACATTGGTTCCGCTGCAGAACTCTCGGGCTATGCCGCGTCACTTGATTCGCATTTTTTTGGTTCATCGTTTTGTTGGCTTCTGTCTTTATTGTGGCAAATGGAGAGGAGGAGGATCCGCGTCTTCTTATCATCGACACCTGCAAAAAAGCATCGTGCGCAAGGAGGAGTAAATAGCCTCCAAGCGTTGCCCGCACAACCAACCTAAAGAAACGGACGGGAACTACGGTAAGAAATAAAAGATAAATTCGATAAATGGATAAATATCACAGAACTCTTTGCTCAAAGTCAAAAAAAGAGACTGGTAAAGGCACCGGAAGTCAGCCAGATGCCGGGCATGGTCAAACCATGTGGTCAAACCCCGTCGAGAAAGGCAAATCTCAAGGAACCAAGGGCGAATTAAAGTTGCAAGCCGAAATTTACTTTGCATATACTATTATGGACTACGAGCCCAGATAAACAGAGAAGGTAACTGCGAAAAGAAATAAACACAACAAAGCAAAGTTCCCCTCGGATTAACCACCAATAACGCGGCCCCGTTGGCCCAGCAAAGTGCAAAAGGGGGATTACTCTTATCCTCCAGTCAGAAGGGCGAGGCAGGTCAGAAGTGAAAATTCACCCTCTCATGTGATTCTCTTTATTTCATCGCCCCCCTCCTTCAGGAGAGCGGGGGAACCGAGCAGTGCAAGGGGGGGCTTTGAAGGGTCATTGGATGTTTATTCTGGGAGGGGGAGGGAGGGGGCTTCGACTTGTATGGGCTCGTATCTCTTATTTGCTGGGCAGCTCTCCCGTTCGCCGGCTTTGGATGATGGTGATGATGGGGATTTTCGGTGCTGAGCCTCTTGCTGGGTTGCTCACCTGACGCGCATCGTCGAGGGCAGCAAAACCTTGTTTACCCGCTCTTCAGCTGCTCACATCGTCGCAGGACGAGATGCTCTTGATGAGGTGTTTCTGATCTGCGGGATGGAGCGCTTCTCGTCGGCTGCCTGTGAGCTGGAGCAGCGCAGCTTGTGCCGCAGCAGTGGCGAGCTGATTCCGACGATTGGTCCTTTTGTTATCAGCAGAGGAGAGACAGCAGAGGGAAAGGAGGAAATGGAGTGGGCATGCCTCAATACCGTCGGTTACGGGCCCAGTACCAAGTACATGTAGCGAGTGTCATCATCGATGCAGCTCTTCCGCTCGACACCCTCTCGGGCCTACGCGAGGGTTGGTGCAAGGGGGAGCAGCCGGGAGATGCCAACTTACTGCATGCTGCTGCTGATAGAGTACAGTAGTAAGTAGTATGTATGTATATGATCCATGCATGCAAAAGTCAAGATTGTTCACATGCTTTTGTTCCAGTTGCTGATGCGGGTTCTGCCTCACCATCGCCCTACCGTGACATCATGGCGTTTGTTCTGCCCTGCGGAAAGGAGACTTTATCCAACGGTTGCCTTGTCCTGATTGGCAAAACGGAGGGGATAACGGTGACTGAATTGGACGAAACGGACATGCTGCTTGAAGAGATGCATCCCAACCCGGTGACAAATGGCACTTGCATGTAGATATCTGGTGACGATGTTGGATTGTCGACTCGGTACCTGACATCAACTCGTGAGCTGGTCACTGTAGTGAGCGACTGCTGTAGAAGCCTTCTGTGCTAGAATAGCTCTGACAGAACCAAACATCTTTACGAAATCAACACTGATGAATGGAATTTTATATGATTTCAAAGAAAGTAATAGATCCTCGTCCATTCAATGCAGCAAGCACCAAGTACAGCTGAAGATGCCCTGTAATTACCTTGAAGCACCTCAGCGAAGCTGTCACATGACCACGCATCAACCCACCGATAAGGTAGCTCCGGATTTCGTGACGCAGCTTCGCAAAGCTCAAAACTTGGTGATCGCTTTGCAGTAAAACCCCCACCGCAGGGCATCGCGATTCACCAACTTCCGCGCCCGACAATGGCACCGTCGCGATCGCCATCCCGCAGCCGTCACCGGTCGGCATCGCGCTCGCCTCCGCGATCCGTAGCCTCTCCATCGCCCCCAGGCCGCCGCCGACGCTACGATTCGCCGTCTCTGTCGCGCTCGCGGTCCAGGTCCAGGTCCATATCAAGAGCACCCTCACAGTCACGATCACGGTCGCGGTCACGCTCATACACTCCGCCTCGCCGGAATGGCCGTCACAGGAGCAGCAGTCGGGACAGGAGCCGAGACCGCGGCAGAGACAGTCGCTCGCCCAGCGACAGCCCTCCCCGATACACCAAGGTTTGTTTGCAGCTGGTATCCACGATGGGACAAGCCAATGGAAACGCAATTGAGCTAACCGGATGCTTGGCTACAGATTGTGGTGGAGAGGCTCTCCAAGAATGTCAATGAAGACCATCTCTTTGAGATATTCGGCCAGTTTGGCCCCATCTACGACCTCGACCTCCCCATGAACAGAACCTGTCAGTCCCCTCTCAAGTTCCTTTTCCAATGGACGCTGTAACTAACAATGATGCACATCATACAGTCGGAACCAACCGTGGCACCGCATATATCCTCTACGACCACCACGCCGACGCCGAAGCCGCCATCGCACACATGCACGAGGCGCAAATCGACGGCTCCACCATCAACGTTTCCGTCTCGACCCAGCGCAGCAAGCTGTCTCCCGAACCCCCCATGTCCCGCCGAAACGCGAACCGAATCGCAGAGCTGGATTCCCGACCTCCCTTTCACGGCACCCGGGGACGTGGTCCGCCTTCTGGCCCGCGGGGAGCAAGGGGGTACGGTCCTCGATCCGACGTCTACCGGCCGAATCCCCTGTCGCCAGGTCGATCGCGGTCTCCTCGGGGTGCTCCTCCTTCTCGCGGTGGCGCAGGTCGGCGATATCGCAGCCGGTCTCACGGTTCGTACTCGTCTCGATCGAGGTCGAGGTCGAGATCGCCACTGCCCAGGAGGCGGGGAGGAGGGAACGGAGCGGGTCGATATGACGACTACGATGTCCGACGCCGCAATCGGAGTCTCAGTGGCAGTCGGAGTCGGAGCCGCAGCCGGAGCCGGAGCCGCAGCTACGACAGCGAACGGAGCGGTTCGCGGAGTCGAGGACGGAACTATAGATGAGGAGGCTGAGGTGACATGAAAGCCCAGGCCGGGGGTGTTTGGTTTACGTTGGAGCAAATGGCGTTTTGGAGCTCGGAAAAGCATCCTGAGGATTACAGCATCTCGACGGTTTCTTCCAGTAAGAAGGCATTGAACATTGTAGGGGATTCATTCGGCATAGAGCTTCTAAAATACAGATACCACAACGGCTGTGTAGGCCTAATTGAAAGTATACAATGGGCGCTGCCTATAGAGATATGACAAGATCGTGTACGGCTTAATGCCCTATCAGCTTGGACGAGGTCCATCCAAGTGTGACGGTTTTTTTTGGAGCTTGTGAGTATACCTTGAATCTCCTGACAGTCGACTCTCTGCAAGCTTACGTCGAGGGGAAGCTCTTCGACGATATTGGTTCCTTGATCAGACCTTGTCTTCTGCCAATGAGCAAATCACGCAGGCCTCTCATAAGTAGACGAGCTATGTAAAACCGAGAGGCCATGTCGACAATTTTCAATTCTTGTGTCTGGTTTGACGAGCCCAGAGAAATGGCAACATACTCGAAAACCATCTCATTGTAACGGTTTACCTCAAGCCGCTGTTCTTTTACAGTTTCCATCCCTTACCTATATCGAACGCCTTGTGTGAACTTGACACGCTACAGTACTCGAGTTTCCGTGGACAGCATGCATCAGATAAAGCTTTGTTGATTGGATCAAGAAAGGCTGGACAGCTGCTCGAAGACGAAATAAGAAGCTTGTTATACAGTTCATTTCACACCACCATCTTTGCGTGTAGGTTATGAACGCGCGATTGATGGGGTAGCTCGCTTGGCTTTTTGCAAATCACGAGAGTATGGATGAGCGTTACCCTGCATATTTTCTCATCGAAGAAGAAGTTCTCTTGGTGCCGTTTGGTGCCTTTGACCGGTTCAGCCCCCTTTTCGTTTGATGCTGAAGTATCATCTCCAATGGCAGAGAGTATCTTCCTTGACCCTGGAAAGATTGATGCGAGTTGTCATTCTCATCTACACGACGACCAGGTCCATCACATCATTCATGCCTCAACCTTATCCTGGGATACTACAAATCTGAAACCCAAGTCATACGCTTCTTTCGATCTTTCCTCGTCGTCAGCTCATCTATCAAAGTAAACGTGTCTGTTCGAAGTTTATCTTCGAGAGATGCAACTTTCATCTGTGCCTGTCCAGAGTAGCAAAAAAGGGGGCAAAACCCGCACCCGGAAAAATGGGAAAAGTCCCAATCTATGCCCAGTCCCTTTGAGTCTACCATCACTAAACTTTCGACGTGTGCGTTCTTGTTTCTTTTTGTCCTGTGTATATACTGGGATATGAGCTTCCAGCACTGTTTGATCATGGGACATGTTGGGTCGTTGGTAACTTTGATCTGGTAACTTCTATGCTTTCTCCTTTTGTGAGACTGTGGTTTGTGTGCTCGTCTTCGTCCCATCCCGTTTCGTTCCGTTTCATTCCCTCTCTTTGAGTATCTCTTCCCGTTCACAGATTGCAGGTTACATTTCACACGAACTGTTTTGGGGCTTCTGAGTCTGCATATATATATATCGTCGTACTTCATATTGATGAAAAGACAAAGAGTATCTGTGGAGAGACCGTCTTCCAAGGTAATATGTGCTGTTCATATATGGCCATGGAGAATTAACTATAGGTATAGAACGACGAGAGTAAAACACCTACATTGCCTTTTTTCCGGGCCTGATGTCGCGCTGGTGGTCTTGCCATGTCGTTACGCTGTACTCTCTTGAACATGGTGTGAGCAAACCATCTGTATCCTTTTTCTTCTCCCCATCGCATATACAAGTGTATACACATATTTCGGCAAGGGAGTATGTAGGCTAAAGCAACAACAGCTTCACTTCATGGCGGGACTCAGTTGGAGGAGTTTGAACTTTCATATCCTTATAACATGATAAATGATCGAAGAGGAGCATACGCTCCCCTATTCTATAGAGTATGAAATAAAACCTAATCAAGACGATAGGACAAGATCCAAAGCCAGCTCATTACGTCCATGTCTCATATCGTCATGTCTCCCACAAACAGCCAGCGAAGGCTCAACGATTCCTTTTTAAAACACACCTTTTCAATGCACCTCCACGAGGAAGAAGGGGAGCATGAGTCTTCATTCTACGCGACGACGACGAAGAAAAGACAAAACATCCACCATTATCTACTCCTTCACAACAACATGCCCGCGCCAAGCAAACCAAGCGCCGCCCCGGCAGCGTGAATATTCGCCGTAGCCAAAGCTCCAGCAGCGCCCTTGCTCTTACTCGTGAAGACGCTCGTCGTGCTCGTAGCGGTCGGCTCAGAGGTAGTGTTGTACGCCGTCGTAGGGACCGGGCAAGAAACCGTGCACGGCAGCGCCGAAGTGAACGGGTTCCTCGCCGTGCTCACGGGGAACACGGGCGCCTGCGTGGGCGCGGTGGGATTCGGCAGCGCGGCATCGGCATCGGGGTTCAGCACGTTGGAGATGAGGTGCATGATGCCGTTGGCGAGCAGAATGTCGGGCTGCACAATCTGCGCCGAGTCGACAAACTTGTTGTTGCCGGCCTGGCGGATGGTGATGGACTCCGGGGCGTTGCCGGCGGCGTTCTTGGCCAGCGTCTCGAAGCGCGTGCCGTTGGTCAGGGCGGACGAGACGAGCACCTGGTTGGGGATGACGTGGTAGCCCATGACGCGGGCGAGAGACTTCGCGTCGAGGTGCTTGAGCGAGCCGCCGACGGCGGCAAAGGCGCTGTCTACGGGGGCGAAGACGGTGATGTTCTGCTCGTCCGAGATCTTGGGCATGAGCTTGCTCGCGTAGAGACCGCCCAGGAAGTTGGGCACGTTGAACGCCTTGGTAGTGTTCTCAATGCGGGCAGGGGGGATGAGGAGGTTGTCCACCACCTGGACGAGGCCGCCCTGGAAGGTGATGTCGCCCTCCTGCAGCGTGCAGCGGGTGCCCATGCTGGTGGTGAAGACGACGGTGTCGCCGGGCTGCTTGGCGATGAGGACGTTCTGGCCAAACGTCACGTTGGTGTAGCGAGGGCTGGTGAGGAGCGTGGACCGGACATATGTTGGGCCCGTGTCGAGACCAGCGGTTGCGACTGTTCCTAGAAGGACGTGGTATTGCAGGAGCGGCACGGTGGTGGCCTTGTCATCTGGATCCCAGATGCCATTGAGGGCGGTATAGGGGATGTTTTTGAAGGCCTCGTTTGAAGGCGCAACGATCTGGCAGAAGAGTTAGCAAGAGATCCATTGTGGTATGTGCAATCGACGTTTCGATCAATGAATGATCCACGGCGAGGGGATGGATGGACTGGTGATAAGATCACACATACAGTAACGCCTGCATAGCTGGGCAGCTGGAGTAGAACTTCGGGATATTTCTGCAGACGCAAATTAGTACACACACCACATGTTTGTCTTCTCCATTAGCTCACGATACATACCTTGAGGAGCGAATAGTACGTGGACAAATCTTTGTTGTCAGCAAGCACCGTCCCTAGCTCCCGAGGATCTGCTGAAACGGCAGAGACGAGCAGCGCCGCCAAAGTCAAGAGGCCTTTTGAGAGCATCGTCACGATGCAAAGAGGCTGTGGAATGAGAAATTGGATAGGTAAGAAGGCGAGCTTAGATGCCCGTCGTGTACCAAGAGGCCGTGGCAGTATATAGCAGCCCTAGCAGCAGCAGCTGTATGCCTTGAGTAACTTGGAGCGAGCAGTTGACTGGACCGGTAATGATGATATCTCTGTTCGCCAGAAAAAAAAAACCCAGCTTCTTTCCCACAGCGTATAAACGGCGAGAAAAGGGATCGGACTTCAAGGGACACGAATTGGCTGTACGATAGCTCGACAATAGTGTGTAGACTAACGTAGCTGAGGCGTACGCAGTCGACAGCTCTCACAGCTCTGGTTCTTGTATTATAGCTGGAAGAGCAGAGTGGGAAACAGGTAGAGGCCGTGCTTGGCAGGATTCAGCATGCAGTGAGAAGTCAATTGTCCGACTTGCAAAGTCCCAGCCTGCAATAGTGTCAACAAGATACAGAGTTGAGAGCTGAACGTCCTGGTCTGATCCTCTTGATGCTGTGCGCTGGCAAGAAATGCAAGGAGACGAGGTGACCGAAAGATATTGGGCAGCTGTGTCGACCTGCTAGGTAGCATTTCAGATGCCTCGCGTACAGTACATGATGCTTGCCATTGGGGCTCCTCGGGTTTACTGTACCAACTATCAACAGCTCTTCGGTAGTACCGTGTACCTAGTAAAAGCACGAAGTAATATCCGTGTATTGACAGAGGGCTGGGAACGGGCGAGGTTCCTGGATGATCGGCATTCGCGGGCGCCTCTCGGCTTGGCCAGCGTCGAACGCAAAAGCTAGTCCTGGTGCCAATCTTCCAGCGGCTGGGATGTGCCTTGATTGGCCTGGAATCCCACCTTCGTCCGTTATCAATGGCATGGCGGCCTTGGTGCCAATGCTACCTGGCGAGCTGAAGTCGTGAGCCGACATTGCAGTAACGAGCAAGGGCTGCTGTTGGCGTTAGTAGGAGCAGCGAGTTGGGACGCACTGCATGTACGAGGACGGAATAACAGCCCATGCAAAATCTCGATGATAGTAGATTCGAGAGAGGAAAAAGCAAGTCAAAGCAGTGCCAAAAGGGATTGCAGCTGCATACGTGATGCAGCCCGGCAGTAGTTTGGTGTGTGTTGGCATGGTGCCCTTGCAAAAACCGAGGAGGATACGAGCAGACGCAACCACACGCAGAGAGGCTGCAAAAGGCGAATCGACCACTCTGACTTGCTCTTCCCATAAACACTAACAACGCGGCAATATGTGGTCTGCATCGTATCCCGCGGTGTCGACGGGGCATCTCAACAACGAGGTGCCGCCCAATCGTTGCATCAACAACCCCTGGCAGCTCCGGTCCTGCATCCATACGATACGAGCCATCCTGCATCACAAGCGCGACCGCAAAAAGCGGAACCCTTCTTCGCCTTTTTCCCAAGTAAAGTAGCGCCACGCGATGTACGAGGTCTGTTGCAACAGCGGCAGCCTGATGGCAAGGGAAAAGAGAGTGAGTAAACAGAAACAGGAGTGGTACCAACTGGGCGTGATCCCTGTATGACCACTTCGGGAGCTACCCGATCTTGCCCGAGTCATGCTCCGTCCGTCATGCCGTAGTTTTATGGAGCTTCCGGGCTGTGGAAGCGGAAAAGACCATGCGATGGATAAGAGCCGTGGTGATCCACATGGCTTTGAACTCGGAGCCCTATCCAGCGGGCCGAGTATTAGGCTTTTCCATGATATCACCTGTAGGATGAAAGTGACAGCGCCTTATGCTTGGTGGAAAGACCAGCAAGTCCGAGTCCTCTCAGCGGTGGCAGTCCCTCCAGTCAGCAGGAGGATCCTATCTATGCATTGGAGTGACACGACATGATTGCGAAGGCCTGGTCACTGGGCATCACCTTGAACGTTGTTTTGTCCATCCTGTTTGCTGATATCTCCGATCTACTTCACATAGGAAAGTTGAGTTGAGCAGGTGGACGAGAGGTGGTAGCACAAGGGCATCAGATGGACTCGTAGATGGCATGGCGGGTGATCAGGAGGCTTGCTTGGTTGGTTGCACTATGTAGGTAGTTGATAAGATTAGTAGGTAACTCAAGGATTTGTACGAGTATGTGACATCGTTGTCATACTTGCTGTAGGCGCAAGTGGCCGTGAGTCGATGTAGATGTGAGTTACACAACAAAATTCGCGGAAATACGAGGAATGGCACCGGCAGTGGGCTTCTTTCCAAGAGTCCTCTGATGCTTTCCTCTAGCCCTGAAGACGGCCAACCAAGGAGCCGGCGCATGGTCTTTGCGCTCCGCATCCAATACAGCTCTCGTGGTGTCTGTATATTCCCGCTCGTTACCAAGACGAAGCACAGCAAACTCGCCTGTTGGCATCTCCATTGACTGGCATCACGCCACGACACACACCCGCGAGCTATACGAGGTTTGCTTGACTGAGACACGGAGCCGACAAAGGCGTCAACGCTAGCCGTGCCGATAAAAATAGAGCGAGCCTCATCGATTGGTGGTTGCGGTGCTGCTTGGAGGTGGGGGCAGCAGACGGCCATTGTTCTGGTCTGTCGATCTCAGCTCCTTCTGTCTTTTCTTCGCTTCCCATTTATCCGTAAATGGACAGGATGGCGAAAGACAAACAGGTTCCTGGCTGGTCGTGAACCCAACCTGCGGCCGCAGAATCGATATGACTTGACTCCAAGCTCATCGAGATCCATGATAGTGAATGCATTCCAAAGGACACTCAGGCGGGTAGACTAGAAGCCATGCCAGCAAAGAAACCCCCACCGCGGCGGAGTCAAGCCACACGTTAGCCTCGAGACTTCAGCTGCCATTGTTTAGCAGCCCGCGGTATCCTGTCTCCGCTCACGACATCTGGTCCGGAGGGGAGAAATTCATATGGATGCTAGCAGTAGACAAAGCGTCAGTTGCGGTCTCGCCAAGCCGGACCTTTGCTGCCGCATTCTCGTAGATTTCTTGATTTGCCCTGGGCTGTAATTCGTAGGTGAGGTCAAGGGGTCTGATCAGGTCCTGTTCGGTGCTATCAGCAAGACAAAATGAGTGTTGCCCAGCGTCTGCCTGTCCATGTGTCAATCGGCAAAGGCTATCCGGGCTGCGGCCTTGTCCAGCTCAACGTGCGACTCCCTGCGCCCTTATCGGCCAACTCAATTGAGTTGTGCAGATGAATCGCCGCTCTTCGACATGGTATTGCCTCGACCGAAGATGTGAGGCATAAGCCGTGAGTTTGAATCGATCAGCGTGGTGGAGCGGCTATTGGCTGCGGACAGCGTCAGTCCCCATTCGTCTCTTTTTTTTTTTCTTTGCCTGTCCTTGCCCTATCCTCTCTTTCCGCTCTGATTCCGAAGTATAGCGGCCATGGACAGCCCGCATTGACCAGACGATGCTCTTGGAGAGCCCCAGTGGTAGGGATGTAGTTGTTTTATGTGTCGGATCTGGGGCAACAAAGTTCAGCAGCTGGATCTGAATGACGTAAATGAGGGCGGAGGTGAGACCTATAAGTGGCTTCCCTTGCATCTCTGACTTACACGCACGCGCAAAGTGGACACAGCTTGGATCGTGACCTCGGGATGAAGCATCTGATCATATTTTGCTGTAGACCGCGATCCTCGTTGGGGCAATCAATTTGAGTTTTATGCCATCGACCTTGAACCTTGCCAGGCACAATACCAATGTGAGCGATCCAGCAAGACTCGAGGCCGTCATCCCCGAGGCAGATGGTTGGATAACCAAGTCCCTCACTTGGTTTCATGCCTCCAACGAACCATGCAGAGACGGAACCTTGTCATGGTTCCTTTGTGTTGGCATCAATTTACCCGGCAAGGTTTCCCACGTCTTGCCCAAGCTAACACCGGCACAAGTCGACAAAACGGACCGACAGCTTCCACTGCGGCCTCTCGGTGCCCTTTCTTCCTTGGTCCGGCTTCTTGGCGGCATTAACGCGGAATCTGCTGCAGTTTCTGGTGGCGGAAAGTCTCGTCATTCCGAAGTTGCCAGCAATTCTGGTGTGGCCCTGGCTAGTGCAAATGCGGGAGGAGTCAAAGATGGTCGATTGACCATGATTGTTGCATCTGATCGTGGTGTGTGTGTGCTCGTGAGGGCGTGTCTCTATCGAAAGCGGTGAGAGGCATGACGGACTGGGTGACAGGGGATCTTCAGGCACCGCATGGAAGAGAGAAGGCTGAATGGCGGGCGCTGAGCAAGAGGGAAGCCACAGCGGCATCTAATCGCAGCCACCTGTCGCTGCTTTTACAGCTTCGCATCGAGTGGCCAGCACCGGGACCCGCGATCCGGCTTGTGCCGCCGGCCAGTGTCAAGCCAGGGGCATCGCAGTCCGCCAGCTTTAGCGCTCGAAAGGCGCCGGATACAGGCCCGACCGGCCTTCTAGCGCTGTCCCTGTCGAGAGCGAAAGAGTTTGCTCTGTCTGAGGGCATCTGCCCGTTGTCTTGCAGGAAGAGTGGCCCGGCTCTGCGGCAGAGCATCAGTCAATCAGTTCCTTCTCAGGACGCGGTGCCGTGTGCCACCGCAGGCTCTCTCTCTTGTCGCACTGGCAGTGGGTATAGCGGATGCGGTTGATGCGGCTGATCGATAGTCGCTAGCAATATCAAATCAGAGCTTGGCGCTGCAACAAACAGGATTGATACGAAGTCGCCGTGTGAATCCGGCAGAGGTCATCATGCGAATGTCCATAGTATCCTCTGTACTTCGTACCACCGTATGATGTATCGGCTGCGCAGGTACATACTTCGTAGCACTCGTACTTTGGCACATTGTAGGCTGTAGGGCGCTTGTCTTGCCACAAGGGTTGCAGTGGGTGGTGCTCTGGCGATGCACACAGCCGAATACCCACGCCGGAGCCGACAAACTCTGATCAGAACGAGGCCATCGACGGACCCTGTGCCTGAATTGGCAGTATAACCTTATCTGCTACACCAGCGTCCTCGCGGCCGTTCTGCGGGAGTTGGTACCGCTATGCGGCCGCGGAAAACAGGCACCGGGTTAACAACATGGTAAGATCTAAGCATACCGAATAACTGTTAGCCTGGCCCCGGTCCCTGCTTCTTTGCTTCTGCTCGTGCCATGCTCACCATCAGCGCTGCTTGATAGGACAGAGTTTAAGCTGTCCGGGGGTGTGGAGCTGGGCCAGCAAAGAGACACACTTTAGTTGTACATGCAGCGAACAGGAAAGTTTGAGTCGAAGCCAGGCGGCAGGGATCAGCTTAGCAACAAGGGACGGCACCTTGGCGCTGGACAAGGAGCTGCAACTCGCTGCAGCTCACTGCACACGCCCTCGACAGCTCGCAAGTCGCGATATTCCAGGCCCTGCAGGTTGCGAGCGGGTGGTTGGATGCGTTATTGAGTTGCCGGGTCTCCGCTGGACGAGACCGGGGGGAGCGTAAGGTGATTGATAGTTGTAGCTGCAGGAAAAAGAGTTGGAAGAAGCAAAAAAAGTTTGAGGGTGTCGACAGTGAATGGCTCACGGATACCTCAGGTATCAGGCATCGCAGACGCACATGCGCATGTACATGTACCTTTGCCACGAGGTGCCGTCTGAGGTCGCACCAGTACAGCAACTCGGCTGGACGACTGATACCAATCCAAGGCCCAGGACAGCCTCAACAGTCCATCTGCACGCGCCCGCCCAGCTGAGAAGAGGCTTGAGGCGATAATTCCCAATCTCCTCCTCCTACTTCTTCTCCATTGCAGCGGCCGCAGTCCCTCTGTCCAGTTGAGATTGTGTACTTCGCGCAAGGTGCTTCCATCGACCTGATTCCTGGGATATCAGACCCTCCCCACTCACTCAATCATTCTCTCACAACTTAGTATCTACCCTCTCCCCAATCCATACGTCACCGTCGCAGCGGCCTCTCTTTCTTTCTTTCCTGCGTGTCTCATAAGGTGCCCACGGATTCCCTCCAAGTCCCAATCCAAGCCGTCTGTTGCAACCTCACACCCAGAGTCCTGTCGACGCATCAGACCATCCACCCATTCATAGAGCAGCATCTCAATGGAGCAGAACTTCTACGGGCGACCTCCCGTCGTCCCCTCGGCCGCAACATCCAGCGCGCCCACGCCTCTCCGCCCTGGAACGCCCAACACTGATGCCAGCCGCAACCTCTTTGACAACACTGACACGGCCTCAAATGCCCAGGGACCCGGCACAAACCCCTTCGTGAGCCCGGACGCTTCACGGCCTGCCTCCAGCTTTGAGGGCTCGAGCGGCAGCCCCTACGAAGAACCCGCTGAAGCTCGTGGCGGCCAGCGGTATTTCCACTCGCGACTCGTCAAGAAGGGCGAGATCGAGAAGCCTTGGTTGAACAAGACCGACCCCAAGGAGAAATGGGTCACGATACTGCCCCTCCTCGGCATCCTCCTGGGCCTGGCCATCTCTGGCTTCCTGGTTTGGGACGGCTTGCGAAGTGTCGTCCACCACAAGTACTGTCCAGTCTTAGATGAGGACTTCAGCGGCGGTCTTGATCCCAGCATTTGGACCAAAGAGGTGCAGGTTGGCGGCTTTGGGTAAGTGCCTTGCTTGAATCGAGTGCCGGTCTCATGCGCTTTTACTGACTTACACGAAATCCAGCAACGGCGAGTTCGAACAGACGACTGGCGGCGATAGCAACGTCTACATTGGCGACAATGGCCATCTCATGATCAAGGCAACGCTGCAAGATGCCAACCTGGTTGAGAAGAACAACGTCATCAACTTGCTCAAGGACGGCACTTGCACCTCGACAGACTACTATAGCTGCGTTGCTGCCACCAACACCACCAACGGCAACTCCACCATTGTTCCCCCGACACTCTCCGGCCGCATCAACACCAAAAAGGGCGCAACGCTCAAGTATGGCCGTGTCGAAGTCACTGCGAAGCTGCCTGTGGGCGACTGGCTGTGGCCCGCCATCTGGATGTTGCCTGTCAAGGACACCTACGGGCCCTGGCCTTGCTCTGGAGAAATTGACATCATGGAGTCGCGCGGAAACAACCACACCTACGGCCAGGGAGGCAACAACATTGCTTCGTCAGCCCTGCACTGGGGTCCCGACCCGGCCAACGATGCTTGGTGGAAGACCAACAACAAGCGCAAGTCTCTGCACAGCACCTACAGCCAGGGTTTCAACACATTCGGCCTCGAGTGGTCGCAGAAGTACCTCTTCACCTACGTCAACAGCCGGCTGCTGCAAGTCACCTATGTCAACTTCAACAAGCCCATGTGGAAGCGCGGCGCCTTCCCTGACTCCACGTCCAACGGCACGCGTCTGGTTGACATCTGGAGCCAGACGGGCCGTGACAATACCCCCTTTGACCAGGAGTTCTACCTCATCCTGAACCTCGCTGTCGGCGGGACAAACGGCTGGTTTGAGGACGGCAAATCTGGCAAGCCTTGGTTGGACCACTCTCCCAATGCCCCGAAAGACTTTTGGGACGCTCGTGACTCATGGTACCCTACTTGGACCCAGCCTCAGCTCGAGGTCAGCCGCGTCGTCATTACGCAGCAGTGCGATGGTGACGAAGAGTTGTGAGCCAAACCCTTCAATGCTGCTGTGTTGTTGCAACACAGAAGATACCATGGCGTCATGGTCTATTTCACCTTGTTTCTCCTTTATTTTTGAAAATGTATCAGGTATACGTAGGCGAAGGGTTTACGGTCGAGATTACAGTATCTTGTTGGGTAATTTGGATGGAGGGTATATTTGGCTACTAGATGCGCGTCCCAAAGCTAAACGGCGTTTGGTTGGATATATACACTGAATTTATCTTGTTATTGAATGCCTTTTATTGTGAATCTTTGACACTACCCGGGTATCTGGTAAACGTTCGAGAGAGCAATACGATGACTTCAAGTTCTCTTTGCACGGGATATCAACTACATTCCCACAGTATCTTCTACACGTATCGAATCGCCCAATTACACAGGGCGGCAGGTGAATATACGAAGATTCCAGCTGATTGGGCTTCACGCCGACAGACCACAGCGCATCACATCACGGCAACGTTGATGCGGTGTAGACACCAGCTGAGAACAAGGGGACAACAAAACAAATCTATCTTCTTTGAGCAAAGCTGTTTACTTCGCTGGCAAACCTAATGGCGTGCAATATCCATCTTGCCAAAGTCTCGGCCTCCCATTGTTAAGGCTGCATTTTGCATGTATGGCGCCAGGGATGTGATGCAGCCGCAAAGACGCCATTTTCACAAGGGGAACAAAGATATGGGACTGGACTCTTCTTTTCCACGTCAAGCACCTGCTGAATCTATTGGTTGATATTCGTCTGCCAGTAATCGGTAGTCTTGCTTCTCCTTACATGTATGTATGTATGTGGGTGAAAGCGGTGCAGAGTCCACATCATGTATGTATGTTGGCGTTGGCAGACGGTGTTTGTCTGCGGTTTGGGTTGCATGGAAGCTGAATACAGAGATGTAGATAAGGCTGAAATGCAAAGTAAGCAGGTTGGGCTTTTTCTCACGTTTCTCTATCTATCTCCTTCTCGCAATCGTCATGTCCTGCCTTGCTTTTGTTTGCTGCTCATTGTTCGCCTGGCCGATCCTGTCTTATCTTGCTCGGCTGGGTGCAGCCTTGTCCAGATAATCTTGACAATAGTAAGCAGAATACATAGGTTAGATTACCTGAGACCTGCATTATCATCCCGTCATGCCGCCGCACAGCATAGTAGTATCCAGCTTTCTCTTGCAGATGCAGTGTATGCGTGGCTTTTGTTAGGCCGGTTGATGTCTTGACTTATAGCCACAGAAGCTTTACGAGGCTGGCTGCCGTGTAAAAAGCTACAAAGTACAAGGGGCATTCAACACCATTCCTATCTACCTACTTAGCCAGCCCGATCTTCTTTTTGTTTAGCGGCGGACACTAGGAACAAAAGGGGGGAGGGTGTGTGTGGTAGGGGATATCTTCCGAATGGTTGCTTGTGGCGGTAGGCTGTTCTGGCCCCCCCCCTTTTCTCTTGCTGGTTTTCTTCTCTATCCTTTCTATCTCTCCTCAGCCGAACTTGACGAGTATCATCCGGGTACCGATTCCTGGTTTGTTTTTTGAGCTCTCTTCAACAGTCCTTGTACGGAGTACTGCACTTATCATATACCCGATACTGAATCTTATTAGCTCTTTGGCAGCAGATAGTGATCACTTACTCCTTCGGGAGGCACACCGAACGTAAACGGTAACAAGATACTGGGCTAATGTGCGGCAGATGCATGAACACGTTTCAATGCACGAGCATCTTTTCTAGTCACTTACTTTATTGTCTTCCCAAGATGGATCTAGGACCCAGTATGCTCAGCAACGCCGTGTAATGCGGTTATACCGATACTACGGCATAATGGGGCTTGGAAGGGCTTGGGGGTCTCTGCATGGTCAACGGGACGTGACTTGTTCTAGCGGATTCGATAAAGGCAGCCACAACGGAGGGAATGCCGTAGCGTGAATAGAGAGACAGCTCTATCGGTGACGAAGGACACGGCGTTTGGACTACAAATGCAGCCATATCACTGTGGGCGGCATGAAGGGTAGGACAGGTACAAGCCACGAGGCTTTCGACCAAGGGATTTGATTTCTGAAAGTGGACATATCTATGTAATTTCATTGCGTCGACGTGGTTACCCGTTTTGCTGGTGATCCCCCAGCTGTCTCGGGCATGTCCTGGTTGGTGGTACAGAATACGGACGTGGAGAGGAATGAAGGAACATGGCGGCCATGAGGTGCGCGATGAACGGATATGAGCTTCGCAGGTCTCCCCGAAGGAGCATCTACGCCTCATCGATGGGCGGCTCCCTCTCGAGTCTTTCATGGGCGGCTTGTACTCCATGACAGGTAGCACATACATGTCAGTGAGCAAAATTTGCATCTTGACAGGTAAGGGGGCGGCTGATGGCGGCCTATTATACAGACTGTGGCTTGCTTGGCTGGTGAAAGGGAGATTGTCGTGGCGCTTATAGCACGCGTGACAGGCGCATGGAAACATCAAATACATTCCGTGGAGGCGAAGAAGGACCCTTTTTGCAGTAGAAAGACAATAGACAGCACTTGGCACTCGTTCTATCAGTATTCAGGGTAAGTCGTGATGGTGTTGAGCACATCAGAGGTGGTAGTACCGGGGCTCGCATGACCATGTTGCTGTACGCTGGACTGCTGGACTATTGCTCCACAGACATACGGAGGCAGCTATCAAAAGAGATGTCCTCGCGTCGCTAACTATTTAGGCCTAATGCTTAGCGACGCGAGGACATCTCTTTTGATAGCTTCCTCCGTACAACCCGTCTAGATAGCATGCCAGTATCAGTAAGCAGACACTACAATGGGGAGATGGCATACGGTACTATTGAAATGCGGTTGGGTTGCTCTCGTAACGGTGGCATCGAGCTGAGTCCTCCCATGCTCCAACCGAGGGCCACGTGGAGGCACATTGGCCAGATGATGCGCAGACTCTGGCTGGCATAAGACGAACAACAGAACTTGGCTCACCGATATGCAGATACTAGGTACCGTCCCGGGCTGATGGGAACTCGTGCCAACTGAACATGTCTTGGGTGAAGAGACATCAACCGAGTTATCGAGTTGGGGCCATGTCAACGTCGTGGTGCAACTCGGCAAGCAGAGACGGAAAATTTACCCACACGAAAAGTGGAAATACGAAGTCTGTGGCGGAAAGATGGCCAAAAATAGCCTCGAGTGCATGGCCCAAATGCTCCCGTATTCCGGATTCTGTATCTCGAGCCATTATGCGCAGCAACGCAGCACCAGGCAGGGTCGTCCACAGCCTCTGATTTGCAGGCCACATGCCACCCACACCCACCTCAACGAAAGACCTGCGGATATCAGCACGGGTGTGCCTGTGGCGTTCGTCGTGGCCTTTGTTGAAGCAAGTCCAAAGGGATGGCAGCCATCTTTGAGTGCGAGTACAAAATACCAGCACACACAAGCCTCGCGAGCCCGTGTAAGCTTCACCACCAGAGCCGGCCGAGTGATGGCTCTGCGAGGGAGGACTCGTGCGTTCTCGACTGTGTGCAAGGGGGCCGGAGCTGGCAAGTTGAGGATAGCCATCAGCCCTCTGCTTTCATCTTCCTGATGCGCTGTTGCGGTGGCGCTGGACGTGCGTTTGTGGTCGTCCTGAAGCTGGCGCGCGCGATCCAATCGGGCATCAGGAACCCGAAGTTGTTATCTCTAGGCTGCCCTGACGCCATGGAGCTATTGCCCTGATTGCGTTCTCTGCCGGCCTGGCTGACTGGTCTGTCGAAGGAAGGCTGCGTATCGTGTATTATCATGCATTAGGTTCTGCGTCCGAACAGAGTCGGAGGAGTGACTGGTCGTCTGGCTGGCATCTCGCAATCTCGCAATCTTGCTGGAGTCTCACAGAACTGGCCGGGGCGATAAGACGGAGTAAACGAGTGCCGGGAGACAGTGCTGACCCTAATCCTCCGATCCGGCTGCCGCGGCCTGGCGTGTGCTAGTCAGTCAGCCACGGTCATTGAAGCTGGTGATGAGGACGATGAGGGCATTCGCATTCAGGCGAGTGGAAGGTTTGCGAGATGCAGCTACTGCCTGGCATCAGGCGCTAGAGCACAGCACTATCTGAGCGCTGCCGCACCTGTCGCCGCTTTAAGCGGTCGCTTCAGGTTGGCAGAAAAGGCGCTGGCCAATCAGATCTGCTCGCCAGGGGTTCCCACAAAGGCCACCAACTTTGGCTTTTCTTTTCTGCCGCTTGAGCTACCAGACCTCACCCCCTCCTTCTCTCCACCATCACACCCCCCCCTGGGCCTTTTGTTGTTCTCTATCAATTGGGTTGACGTGAAATTCGCACCCCAGGCACCGGACGGGCGGGCGATTCGCCGACAGAGCAGAGGCAGCCTCAACTGAGCAGAAGGCAAGCCAAGGCAATTCGGCACATCTCCACCCCATGTGCGAACCCGGCGCAAAGCTACGAGCAACGACAAGCCCATTGACTTTGGCACTCTCTTCCCAGCCGCCCGCTCGAAGCGCGCTGTCCAGGTACAAGCGCAAGCCCAAGAACACGCTCACGGCCCTCATACGAAGGAGTCATTAGACGGTCCCAATTCCATGGAGCCAGCCAAGGCCCTTGAGAGGAGCCAGGCGGGGAGGCGAAAGTCCGGATTACTGGCCGGACTTTTGACGACGAACCCACCGTGACTGTCACCATGCCGGCGATTGCTCCAAGGCCACCGGCGAGAGAGGGCTCTTGGCCTCAACTGGACGAATACTAGACTGGGGAGGGAAGAAGGCTATCCCCAATTGTCAGCACCGACGGCTGCGTACATTCACGACAGGCTCTAAGAAGTACGAGGTACGAGGAATCGACCTGGTGCGAAAACGACAGCAAACGAGCTGCCATATCCAGGCGGCCAAGAAGCAGCCACAGGCACCAGGGTCCGGTCAAAGTTCACTCAATGACTGATGCTCATGGCTGCTCCTCTCGAACATTACATACATAGGCTGTCCAGATTACTGAGCAAGGGTATGCCGTCGCTTGTCTTCTATTGCCTGTGCTACTCCATACTTCGTACCGAGCGGTACCCATCGCCGTGGACTTGCACGGATCTCTGGGCTGGCTCGAGGAAAACGTGGGCAGTGGTCCATCAGTAGGCTGTTTCTTCCAACAATGATGGGGCCCCAGCCATCGATTGCTACTACCCACGAGGACCTGTAGCATCGGTCTCAGATCGTCTAGAACCGGGTGCCTCTTCAGCGAGGGCCCAGATCTGTCATCCATCGACAAGGTCGAGTCAATACGGTGTCTTGGCTCGGGTGCTGGATATCGGGCATGGACTCGAGCCAGAGCTTTTCCTCCCTGCTTGCCACTCGACCTGGCCCGGCAACCTGGCCCGTCTCTAGCTGCTTTCCCTATCGTCTTGAGTGCTGCGAGACTCCTGCGGCCTGGCGTGGCGTCCAAACGGAGGCCGGAGTCCCATCAGCTTGTTCTTGTTCCTCAGCATGCCCACTCCCACCACAGTGATGCTTGCGCCTTGGCGCATAAGAGCTGCAGCTTGTTGCGCCTGCAACCTTGCATTGCCAACCGCACGCCCTCCCCCCCTGCCTCCCTGACCAAACTCTGTCGCTACGCTTCTTTCCTGCCCTCAGCTCCAACCCAAGAGGTGCTGCTTTCTACCCACCATGCACACCAGACCGAGAGATCGAGCGGGAGCCACCGATCGGGATGCTTTGAGAGTCCAGCCCACCCATTTCTTGGGCTGCCACCGGGCCCTGGCCTGATCTCGTCCCTAGTCCACCATCCGCGATTGCATCCCGTCCTCGTCGACGGCCTTGCCTCACTCCCCCACCCTCTCTCCAACTCATACTTCTTCACCTCGTCGCACGTCTTTATCATCTCCTCCCTCTGCCCTCCCCTTTCCCTCGCTCATCCGCCAGGCCTGCAGACGTTGCGTTCTCGGCCAATATCGCATAAGTGGACAAGGTCTTCGGGCATTGCCTTCGTTTCCGTTCCACACCACATTCACTTACACTCGTTCTCTTCACCACCGCTCGTTATTACCAGAGGGAGCTCGGCCTTGTCGTGCGTCGCGGTCTCTCCACTCTGCGGGTAGCATACTTGCTGTCGTTATAATACCAGCGCTCCACGCTGCCGGTTTCGTGAACCACAATCACTTACACTCAACGTATATCGGCCGAGTCAGCTTGAAAGGAGCCCCGTTTCAACCTTCAGCACCCCCAGAGAGGGCTTGGGACTCGAACAGTTCCATTGCCTGGGGCAATCGCCCACAAAACTACCTCCACAACCTCTTCACTTCACACTGGTCAAGATGGGTATCGCAAGCTACTTCAAGACCAGCACCAAGAATGCTGAGCAAGCACCGCCAGCGCCGCCGCCGCCGGCCAAGCTGGTACCTCCTCCTCGGTTACAGCATGAAGGCCGGCAGTCAGTCATGTCGGAAAAGCCACCATCGTCCACCTCGGGCAACGACATGGACCTTCAGCCTCCCACCCCCAGATTCCATTCCCGGCCCCAGTCCAGCTCTGGAAGGTCTACCCCTTCAACGCATAGCTCCATGTTCCTCGACGACATCAAGCATGAAGTCATGGTCAACTACCTGTACCAGCAGCAGTGTTCTCAGCTCTGGGTTAGCGACGGATCTGGAGAGATTGAGGGCGTCTTGCTCCGTAAAGCTCGCGGCCACTATATGGCCTGTCCTCCCCAGCTTGCCAACTCTCCCTTTGCGTTAGCATGCGCTGCTCTCAACGTGCAGTGTGCCATGACGGTCAACTCGCGTGTCATCAGGACATTTCTGCAATGGTCCCCTGACGCCGTTGATGTGCCGCTCATGAACGGCTTGCGCGTGCAGATTCTCCCTACCATTGATGACTTGCCGCGAGCTCGCAAGTACCAGTTCGCTGCCTTTGTCGCATCCGAGGGTCTCCTGGTTGTCTGGGATGACGATGCTCTTCATCTGGTGGCACGCGCCAAGGCCATTGAATCCGAGCTCATGGAGCTGGTGTGGAAGGCCGGCAACGTAGACGATGAAGGCGGCGATGAGAAGGGAGTCCAACCTGTCACTGAAGTTGAGATCGACGAAGAGAGCGGCGAGATTAAGCCCGAGAAGCGGCCTATTCACCTCCAGAACACCGTCCTCGTGTCTCTGACCCTGGCCCTGGTGACCGTCTCCCTGGGCGCCGCTTGGAGACAGCTAGCCATTGAGGTTTCCGTGGACAGCAACTATACCCGTCTTGCCCTCGTGGCCCTGGCTCCGGTCCAGGTCTTCTTCACGCTCTTTTTCGCCCAAGTCATCATCGGCTGCTTGGCTCAGATCTTTGGCCCTATTCGTCAGCTCACAATCAACTCCAAGTTCTACTCTGCCCGACCGCCGCCGCGTCTGCAGACTGCCGTTCTCCCTCACGTCACCATCCAGTGCCCCGTCTACAAGGAAGGTCTGCAGGGTGTCATTATGCCGACCGTCAAGTCTATCAAGCAGGCCATGTCTACGTATGAACTCCAGGGCGGCTCAGCCAACATGTTCATCAACGACGATGGTCTGCAGCTCATCTCCGAAGAGGACCGTCTCGCTCGCATTGAGTTTTACGCCGACAACAGCATCGGCTGGGTTGCCCGCCCCAAGCACGGAGAGAACGGCTTCACGCGCAAGGGCAAGTTCAAGAAGGCTTCCAACATGAACTTTGCCCTCATGATCTCCTGCAAGGTCGAAGAGAAGCTGCAGGCGATTGAGCGTCCTCCCGAATGGAGCCAGAACGACGAGGCCATGGCGTACGAAGAAGCTCTCAAGGAGGTCCTCGAGGCCGATGGCCGTGCCTGGGCTGATGGTAACATCCGCATGGGAGACTACATCCTGCTCATTGACTCTGATACCCGTGTTCCCGCCGATTGCCTGCTCGATGCCGTTTCCGAAATGGAGCAGTCCCCTGACGTCGGCATCATGCAGTTCTCCTCCGGCGTCATGCAGGTCGTCCACACCTACTTTGAGAACGGCATCACCTTCTTCACCAACCTCATCTACTCTGCCATCCGATACACTGTCTCCAACGGTGACGTCGCGCCCTTTGTCGGCCACAACGCCATCCTTCGCTGGTCCGCTATTCAGCAGGTCGCCTACCAAGATGAGGACGGCTACGACAAGTTCTGGTCTGAAAGCCACGTCTCGGAAGACTTTGACATGTCGCTGCGTCTGCAGGTCAATGGGTACATCATCCGCCTGGCCGCCTGGGCCGGAGAGGGCTTCAAAGAGGGTGTGTCTCTGACCGTCTACGACGAGCTTGCCCGATGGGAAAAGTACGCCTACGGCTGCAACGAGCTCCTCTTCCACCCCATTCGCACCTGGCTCTGGCGCGGCCCCTTTACGCCCCTGTTCCGCCGCTTCCTCTTCTCCAACATTCGCTTCACGTCCAAGGTCACCGTCATCTCCTACATCGGTACCTACTACGCCATTGGCGCTGCCTGGATCCTGACCGCGGTCAACTACTTTGTCATGGGCTGGTTTAACGGTTACCTGGATAAGTACTACGTCGACTCATGGCAGGTCTGGTTCTCCATCATCATCGTCTTCAACGGTCTCGGCAACGTTGCCCTGGCCGTCATGCGCTACCGTGTCGCCGAGCGCGGTCTGCTGTACGCGCTGTTTGAGAACTTCATGTGGACTCTCATGCTGGCCATTTTCCTCGGTGGCCTGTCGCTGCACGTCAGCCAGGCTTTGTTGGCGCACATGTTTGAGATTAACATGACGTGGGGCGCCACGAGCAAGGAGGCTGAGTTCTCCAACTTCTTTATTGAAGTCCCCAAGGTCTTGAAGAAGGTCAGTCACCCCCCGACCCCTCCATTAGTATCGTCGCTTTGTGAAGAATCTTGCTGACAGATATCGGCTTGTAGTTCAAATTCTCCATGCTCTTCTCCCTAATCTTCATCGTGGGCATGATCATCCTCGCTCAGGCGCCCTTTGTCCCCTATGACTGGCGTATCAAGGACTTCGTCGCTATCCTGCCCATGGCCACCGTCGCCGCCAGTCACTTCCTGCTGCCCCTGGCCCTGAACCCTGCCCTCATGACGTTCTCATGGTAACTTGGCAAATATACGACCACACAGAAATGACTTATAAAAACCTACAACACAATATGTATAGACGGGATTGGCGTTTCCTCCCTCCATTCCCACATGTGGACCACCACGACTTTTCATCATTATCAACTTTCCTTTCGTCACCCATTGCACGACTTCGTACGATTTAGAAAATGGGTTCCAACTTATTTCTCTGCAATTCTTCTTCATTTTTTTTCTAGTTTCGTTTCCTTGTCATGTTATGGCCTAGGCCCAAACGCTAGATTCTTAAACGTTAATCACGGAAAGGGTTCGCAATTCGGAGGAATGATGTCAAAAACTGTTATGGAGAAAACTTGCGAAAGTATGGTATTTAGGACGGGGCTTCTTGGGATCAAAAAGGGCAAGGAGGTGGACAGCGGGCGAATGGGATGGGATTGGCTATAGTGTTGGTTATAGGATAGTAATAACAAAATAAGAATATTGTCCTCACATCTTTTTCATCCTGAGTTCGATAGACAGAATGATGGAGAAAACGAATTGGCAATACGGCGGAATTAGAAACCCCTTTGCTCCATTCATTTGATAGCTTCGTCAAGTTGGCAATTTAAGTCTATCCCATTCTTCGTTTACGGCCCAGATTAGACACAAAGAAAGGCGAAAACCACAAATTGAAAAGGAATGAAAAAGAAGAAAAGGAAAAGAAAATTCCATCTATATACCCAAAAACGCCTCTATAACCTCTTCATCAAAATGAAACTCTCTCAAGGGGTCATGCATATCCCTCTTCATCCATCATCATCATCGTCTGTTCCAGCTGCATCCCCCCGTTGTTCAATCCCGTTCCATCTAATCCAGATTTTTGATCTTGTAAAGACATCTTTCCCACAGAAAAAGCGTGCACAAAGCTCTACCCAGACGCTAAATCTCAGAAACCCATAAAACGACCCGATCTGTGACTTCTCTCTAGAGAAACATTCTCATAGCGTTTAAAAAAGAATCAAAGAGCACAAAAAAAAAACTTTTCCATCTCTCATCAAAAACCAACCCCAGGTGTGGTTTTTACTCCTCATCATCGGTGTCAGGAGGGTGAGGAGTTCCCTTCGGACTGTTGAGCCACTCAATGTGTCTCAAGCGACGACGGACTTCCCGCTCCTTGAGCTCCTTCTTGGTCAACTTCTTCTTCTTGCGAGCCTTGAACTTGAGCTCGCCGTTGTTATCCTCAACGCCGGAGTTGACAGCGCTGCTGACGACCGAGCTGGCCGCAGTGCTGGTGACGCCACTTCCGGGACGGCTGTCCTCGAAGCGACCGAGGTCAACAGCCGTGTTGCCACGCTGGGTCACGCGACCGTCGTTGACGAGCCACTGCTCGGAGCAGAGAGCGCCGACAAACTCCTCGTTGTGAGAAATCAGGATAACACCTCCCTTGAATTCGCGGATGGCCACGGCCAGACCTCCGAGAGAGTCTCGGTCCAAGAAGTTGGTAGGCTCGTCCAGAACCAGCAAGTGAGGGTTGTTCCACATGGCACCGGCAATGACGACCTTGACCTTTTGACCACCAGACAGCGAGCCGATCTCGTTGTGGTTGGCAATCTCGGGGTCCAGGCCAAGATCCTCAAAGTGCTTGGAGATGACGGATGGCTGGAGCTCACGGTAACCGAGACCCTCGCGAGACGCCTCGTGGTCGTCAAACTCCTGGACCAGCTTGTCGAAGCCGAGCTCGAGCAGGGTCTCGCGAGAAACCATGCTGTTGTACTTGGGAAGCATGCCACGCCATTTCCTAGCAGACGGTTAATATCGATACTTACAAGTCAGAGGTTTGGTTTTCACTTACACTTCGTATTGGAACGTCTTCTTGAACTTTTGACGACCAACAAGCGCCTCAATCTGCTTGGCGGGCTTGCCGTCCTTGAGATCGATGAACTTGTCCATCTGCGCACGGTCCTGCTCCGACAAAGCACGAGTCTGCTTCATGTGGACTTCACGGTCATCACCGTGCTGGTATCGCCACTGCAGATACTGGTTGGGAGTCTTCTCCAGGTGCATCTCAACGTGCTCCAGAGCATGCTGCTTGATGTAGCCAATTCGGAGGTTGGGGTGCTTCTCAACCTTGCCAGTGGTCGGGATGGTCTCGCCGGTGAGCAGCTTGATCAGAGTAGACTTGCCCGCACCGTTGGGTCCGATGATGGCCACTCGTGAGGACAGAGAGAGCGAGCAGGAGACCTCATGGAGCGATGGCTTGGAAGCCCCGGGGTAGGTATACGAGACGTTGGACATGCGAATGATGGCACGGGTCTGCGACTTGATACCGGTGAGGATACCCGGAGGAGGGAACTTGAACTGGACGTTGGAGGCCGAAAGAGTGTAGTAGCTCTTGGCCTCGGGGCGCATCTTGACGAAAGCGGCAAGGTTGCCCTTGTAGCAAGCAAGCTTCTTGTTGGGCTCGTAGTGGTAAATGTCGGTGGTGACGTTGTCCAAGAATCCAGAGTCGTGGGACACGATCAAACTGGTAATGTCGGGGTGTGACTTGAGGTAGTTCTCCAGCCAGGCAATGTTGGCAACATCCAAGTGGTTAGTAGGTTCGTCCAGCAGGAGGACGTCGGCACCCTTCAGCATGGCTCGGGCCAGGGCAAGCTTCATCTTCCAACCACCAGAGAGGGAGCCGACCTTTTGGGCCTGGCGACCCTCGGGTCCAGAGGTGAAGCCGAACTCCTCGAGAACCTTGGAGATGTGCTCAGTTCCCTGGGGGCCGATTTCGGGATCCTTGGAGACGAACTCGAGGATGCTGATGTCGGCATCTTCGCCCTGGTTGTGCTCGACGTAGTAGGTGCGCAGGACATCCTGAGGAGGGAAGCCCTCCAGCTTGCCGGCGGCAATACTCTTCATGAGAGTAGACTTACCGGCACCGTTGCGGCCGCAGAGACCATATCGGTGGCCCTTGAGGAGGCGCAAGTTGGTGTGGGAAAGCAGCAGCATACCACCGTAGGCCAGAGAGAAGTCGGCGTTGACAATCTCAACCTCGCCGTCGTCCTCCTTCTCAGGAACACCGTATTTGCGCTGGTCCTCTTCCAAGTAGAACTGCTGGATGACATCTCCCACCTGTTGGGCAGCGTCGGGGTGCAGCAGACTCTTCAGGTAAGGTGCAATGTGGGAAGAAATTCGGGTGACGTAGCGGTAATTGACCTCGGTGGCGACCATCTCGCTGATGTAGCTCTTGGCGAGCTTGTACAAGTCGGACTGCAGCACCGCGGCGTTGTGCTTCTGGACCTCGGCATCAATGACCTTGGCGACGTCCTCGACGGTGGTCCGGGCAATGATGTCCTTGTCGTTACCCATGGCCTTTTCCATCGTAGCCAGAGCTCGCTCGGCAATCTCTCGCACCTCGGGGAGAGATGCACGCTCGCAGACGCCCTTGACACCAGGCATCAGCTTGGGGAGGAAAGTTCGGGCCTCGATGGGGTCGTGGACAAGCTTGGTCAAGTTCTCGACGATGACGACAGTCTGTCTGAGGACCTCCTGGGAAGTGGTGGGCGTGTTGAGCGATCGCTCAAGGAAAGGCGTCAGCAGAGCCAGCACAGGAGACGTGACGACAGCCACGAACGTGGTCTGCGACAGGGCGTGGATAGCCTTCTGGAGGGTCTGGGGAGAAGGATGCTGCATGGTGTCGACCAGCAGGGGGATCCGAGGGGCAACGTCGTCGTTGGACAGGAGCGTCGTGAGGGAGTTCATCGTCTTGACGGCCTGCTTCTCGACCTCGGTCTTCAAGTCGTGCATGCCGCCCTCGACAAGGGGGATCAGGCCGGCCAGCTTGGCACCCATGGCCTCGCGCAGCAGGTCCTTTTCCGCAGCCTCCTCCTTGGTGCCGCCGATGGTCACCTGAGACTTGTCGGCCATCTTCTGCAGCAGCTGGTAGGCACCGACAGTGCCCTGCCACTTGCCCGTCTTCTTGCCGAGATACTGCGTCAGCACGGGCAGCAGGCCGACGACGAGGGCCTCGGGGCTGAGGTTGGCAGGGCGTCCAGGCCATACTGGGCAGCCTCGCGGACGACGGCACCCTTGTCGGCCAGGGCATCCAGGGCGCAGGGCACGGTGCCGGCGTCCTGGACCAGCAGCACGACCTCGCTCAGGGCCTCGCGCGGCGGGAAGCGCTCAAAGATGGCGCCCAGCAGGTTCTGGCTGCTCTCGCGGCGCAGCCCATTCTTCTTGTCGGCGGCCGCCTTCTTGATCTCGGCGAGGATGCCGTACGTCGTCAGGCCGGCGGAGCCGACGGAGCTCAGCAGCAGCTCGCAGAGCCCGTAGCAGGCATCGATGGAGGCGGCGGACGTCGTGGCGGTAAAGACTGTGTTGAGCAGGGCCGCGACATCGTCCTGTGATGGCGGGGGAGGGGCCTCTTTCGACACCACGAGGGGCGGCGAGACCGGGTGAGGCATTGCGGATGTCGTTTGCTGAGCGTTCCTGCTGTAGAGAAATAGGGGGGGTATTCAGAAACGAGAGAAAGACAAACAGGAATCCCCAGAGCAAAAAGCCTCAGCCGCAGGACGTAAGAACAAAGGCTGGTCTGCTGCAAAGTCTGGGGAGAAAAGAGAGAGGGAGAGGCGATGCTGACCAGGAAGAAAAAGAGGAAGATAATGATGGGGATAGACAAGAGGTCTAGATTGGGCCTGGTTGCTGGACTAAGCCACTTCCTCTGCACTGTGGTTGGGCCTTGAACTTTTTTTTTTTTTCTTTCCTTTCCCTTTTCTTCGGGAAAAATTCTCTTATCAGCCCCTTATCTCTCGAGACAAGGCTTGGCCCGCTAAGCATGTGCGGCTGACGTTATCACCACCAAAGACGACCACGGCGCTTCCACGTGGGTCACGGCAGGCATCATCTCTGGGCGAGGGGCTGCCGTTACAAATCAGAGGACAATAGGGGCTCGATCTGAGTGCTATTGGTGAGTTTGGTATGATCACGGAGTACTAGTCACTGTTGTGGACACAGATGCATGCTATTCATCTTCAGCACCCAAAGTGGACAGTTGGCAGTTGATGCTTGACGGAGGAGAGTTACATGCATGCATGTACCTATGTATATTGAAGGTACATTCACATGCAAATGCAGGAATGAGCCACACAATGGGTGACGAATTGGAATGATGCGATATCAGATCAGTTTGAGAGAAAAGAATAGATATTGCTCTTCGTCTAAGAACGGAAACGACCTTTGGTCCTCCGCCAGGCCCAGCATGCTTAAACTTTAGTTCATGATTCGAGTCTACACTTCGTTTGCCCATCTCAGTGACGCCACCACGCCTCTCAATCAGAAGAAGAACACAGAAAAAAAAGAAGACAAAAAGAAAAGTCCAAGATTGGGAGAATGAGAGCATGAGAAAGCAAAAAAGAAAAAAAGAATTGTGGAAAAGAAATCGAGAAAAAAGTAATACAAACAGGCAGATATGCCACCCACGACAGGGTATAAGATTAGAAACACATTAGCTATATTCCAACACGTTGCAAGACTCGTACACTGCTCCATGTATGTATGTTCGTTCCAGCCGTATGTGCTTCCCTTCGTCAATAAATCGAGTGCGAATGAACTAGAAAAGAAAAAAAGAGGCATCAACCATGATCGGTTGCTGTGGAAGAAGAGGTCTTGGAAAAGCAAAAAGGTAACGGTGAAATGAGTTCCAAGAAGATGGAAAAAAAAAACACGCGCGATATACAGAGGTCATAAACATCAAGGCTCGCCCTGACTCGAGCCCCGGAGGGCCACGGGGCCTTGGAAGCCGCCTTGGGAAGAGGGCTTAACGGCGGCCATTTCGAGACCTCGAGAGTCGGGTGCTGGTCGTTGGTCCCGGTGAAGGCCCAATCGCTGGTCGCCATTTTGATAGCTCTTCTTGAACTGGTAGTAGGAGGGCGTGCGCGGCCTGCAGAGGACGGCCAGGATGTTCCTCCAGATGCTCGCCTGGTCGAACGGTCGATATCGCTCGCTCTTGGTGAACTTGTGCGAGTTCATAAACTCTCTCGTCGTTTCGCCACGGGCCATTAGGAAGATGTGGTATCCCATGAGGGCAGCCGGGTAGAGAAAGCTAAAGATGCCCAGGATGACCAAGGCCAGAGAGACGCGGAAGTGGTTGATCGACTTGCCAAAGGAGATGTTGTGTTGGTTCGCATAAACAATGAGCTGTGCCAGGCTTACGCCAATCAGGTAGAGAGAGAGGAAGGTGGCGGATGAGACAAAGGTGAAGAAGTATCGGTAGTTGCGCTTGCCAACGCAGTTGTTCAGCCATACGCAGTGGTGGTCGTGCGTCTCAATGCAGTTGTCGCAAAGACGGCAGTGGTGAGCACGAGGCGGCCGCCAGATGTTGCACGTCCGGCAGTGCTTGACGGGGAACTCCATGGCGGCAGCCGTCGGCTCCGCTGATTTGATCAGTGTCCAGTCATTTGTAGGAGGGTCGACACGGAGAGGGTCCTCATGCGGCGCCAGAGGAGGGAACTGGTGAAGGTTCCGGGGAAGAATCTAGCATCATCTGTCAATATTGGTGGTCTTTGCCTTCAAGGACACGAGATGGCTAGGTCTGGTTCACTTACCCCGGGATCTGAAATAGAGGCGTGGAGAAAAGACGAGAAGCAGATATATGCGAGGTAGGCGAAGATGATGGGAATGGCGGGAGAAACGTGATGCCACAGAAACGGGGCTTCGAAGACGAAGAAGAGAACGCAAGGCAGCACCACAAAGAGTCCCGTAGCAACGTTGATCGGCCTCTGCCTGGTGTTTTGCCATCGGCCTCCGAAGAGGAACATGGTGTTGCCCTCAAAGTACTCATAATTGCGATGCCTCTTCCTCTTGCTGAACTTGTGCTGCACGGCGGTGCTCTCCGTCTTGGGCCGGAGCTGGGAGTCGACGGGGTTGAGTCGTGGCGACGACGCAGCAGTGGAGGCGAGCTTCTCGACGCCGGCCGCATTTCGATTCTCGGCGCTCTGGGCTTGGTCCCGGTCACTCTTGCCGGGGAGGAACGTCGATCCAAACGACCTGGGTGTCTTGAGCATGGGGCTCGGAAAGCTTCTCAGATCGCTTAGCTTGCCGCCTCGACTCAGGTCGAGATGCGGGGGCGCCTTCTCCGGACCCGAGACCTTGCGCAGCGGTCGAACGCTCTCCGACAGGCTGCCGCCGGCATAGTGGCCGGTAGGGCTCGTCGTCGTCTCCGTCGCCTGGTCGAAGGTGTCGGGCTCGGTGAAGTCGGTGCCGCGCGAGGGCAGATGCCGCTGGTCTTCGCTGTACATGACGTGCTGGAACTGGACCGGCGGTCCATGGTGGGCCACGGGCGAGGGTGCAAAGTCGTGGATGACGCTGCCGTCGACGTCGGTTGCGTTGTCCGGGAGGTCGCCAAACTGTGGCTGGGGCGCGGCGGGTGGCTGGGCCGTCGCAAGAGGACGTGCCGCCACGGCTCTCTGGGCCTGCAGCTTCTGCGAGCTCATGGGGTGGAAGAAGGCGTTTGACGTGAGCGACGGTACGTGGCTGCGGGACGTGACGCTGGACGACGACAGGCCCAGGGCCGAACTGGTCGTGCTGGTGCCGCTGCCTCTCTTGCCGACGCCCAGGCTCTTGCGGGCGCCGCCCCATACCTTGGACGAGGCCGCCGTCTTGGCCGTCTCGGGCCGGATCGCCGACCCCGATTCCCTCGTGCGATGCGTCTTGGGCGCCGACGTCGATGCGTTGCCGTCGGCCTCGTCCTCGCTGGCGATGTCGGTCATGTGGGAGGAGACAACGCTGTCCGGGCGCCGTTCGTTGGGAGTCGAGACGGTTGTGCGAGGCGGGTAGGCCTGGTTGTTGCTGCCAGACCGCGGCGAAACGGGCGAGTCTGGGCTCGGGGACGCCATCGTGATGGTCCCGTACGTGCGAGTTGCGCAAGTCGTCCTATAACATAGCCCGTTCCCTTGTTTGTTTGCCTCTTGTGTTGCGTTTCTCTTTTTCTTCCTTCCTTCTTTTCCGTGTCCTCCTCTGAATGGTTTCGTCGACGATTACGAGATCCGAGTGTTCCGTCAAACAGAGATTCGCTGCAGAGAAGAAAAGGAAGAGACGAAAAAGGCGATCGTGCCGGACAAGCGTATGACAGATCGACTCGATGTTTGACAAAGCTTTTGCGGCTATCGGCAACACGCTGCTGAGGAGGAAAAGATGGAGTTGGACGAATGGATGGGTTCCGCTCGCTGGGGGAGATCGCAAAGCGGGAACGGGGTACTAGAGTCTCGGGTGGCCGCTTTGTAAGAGGCGTCGCGTAACAAGTCGGCGGAGGGTCGGATCGCGAGAATTCCAGGACGAGGCGTCTTAGTCAAAGGAGTGTAAATGAATGAATGGCCGTGCAAGAAGAAAAAAAGAATCAAACAAGGGGGGACGATGGAAAGTCGGAAAGAGTGTAGACGAATCGAAAGACTGCAGCAATAGGTTAGAGGGAGCGTCGGAAGCGGGGAATCGCTTCAAGATGGGCAGAGACAAGAAGGAAAAAAAGGCGATGACAAGCAGTTCGGCGCTGTTGTGGATGGAGGCAAGGCCGGAAGGACGCCCGCTCCGGCAAAAGCGGAGGAAGGAGAAGAAGAAGGAAACGCGAGACAGAGCACGAGAGATGCCACCAGCCCAGCCGTTCCTTTTTTTTCCCCGTCTCGCGAGCGTCTGCCGTTCGTCCACTTTTCGATGCCTGTTCCTGTTTTAACGAGGCTGCAGGCCTGCCGCCCAGACCCTCCTTTTTCCCAGGGCAGCGCCGCCAAAAGGGGCTGGCCATTGGTGCGTTTGTCTTGCTGCAATTTGCAATTTGGGCCACGGACGCAGTAGCTGCTGGCCGGGCGTGGCGTACTAGCTACCTGCAGTTACCACTGGGCATTTCTGGCTGGTGAGCTGACAGCTCCGGCGCGGGTTGGTAGCCGGTACCTGGATGGGCGACTAGCGGTACCTGCGCACGGAGCACGCCTCCCAGGTGCAGCGCTGGAAGTGAGTTCCATGACCTGCAGGCCCAGCTGCTCAGCGGCCTGCATGAGCGAGTGCATGATGTGCCCTGAGCATGTCGGAGTTGCAAGCAATCAACGGCCTGTGCGCCGATTCCTGGCTTGTGACCACCTGTCTGCTACTTGTAGAGCCTGGAGTGCATGGAACAAAGAAACAATGAGAGGCTCGCTGCTGGCCGAGACGCGAGAGCATGTCCTCTTCATACTACTTGAGGTTCTCTCACATTCTGGGATAACGAGCACTGGGCATCAGCTACTTACCAGTACATACTCGTACAGCGAATGACGGTCACCTCCTGTGCCTTGCCTTGCTTGCCTGCCCTGCCCTGCCCGCCTTGCCTGCCTTGCTTCTAGCCATGCGCATAAGAAACCGGCCACACTCGTCATTGGCTCGTGGAAATTGCATGTCCAAGCACGACGGGAATCTTGCCGCGGGCTGATGTGATCTTACCTTATCCATGCCGTGCCACCGTCCTCTAGTGAGCTCATGATTACCTAAGTAAATCGGTACCGGTACGGAGCGATTCCCCAGCTTCACCCATACCATGTGACTTCTCACGTGCGCCCATCCCACCTTCGGCATTGGCCAATGGCATCCTCGGAATCTCGGGTTGAAATCATCATACGACCCCCAGCTCTACCAGCAGCTTCCAAACCACCAACCACTCCAAAATCCTCCCACCTCCTCCGAAACCTCAGCGACAACAACAAAAATGGCCTCCATGATCACCCGCCGCTTCTTCTCCACGACGGTCCGCCGTCTGCAGCAAAACACCAGCAAGCAGGAGCTGCAGTCCGAGTCCAAGCGCAACCCCGAGACTTTTGTGCGTCATAATTGCACCAACTTCCGGAAGCTTTGATTCAGCCTGGCTGCGGAGCTGAGAGCTTCTGTGCTATACTGTGGGAAGAATAGTCGAATGGGCTAATGCGAAAGGAATTTGTAGATTCTGGGTGGTGTGATGGTCCTCGCTCTGGGCGGTGCTGGCTTCTACTTTGGTATGCGAAACGAAACCTCCATGAAAACGACCACAACACTTGTGAACGACAAACACAATCCATTCTTCAACCCCTCTTCGAAGTCACCGAAGTCACGGAATGATACTTCGCTCCAAGAAGATCTCAAACATGTCAGAATACTAATCCTCTTCCCGCAAAACACCAGGCCGCTCCCCCACCGGCGCAACATCCGAATCCCCCGTCAACGTCGCCGCCATGCCCTGGCAGGGCGACGCCGAGGGCAAGTACACGTACCACCCCGGTGGCGACCCCAACGCCGCCCCCCGCGACGCCCCCAGCGCCCTCAACGTCGTCATCATCCCCAACGTCACCGCCCCCAAGGAGGCTCACGAGAAGTTCAACAAGTGGGGCAAGGAGGGCTACCCTTAAGCAACAAAAGGTGCTATCGAATGTCTTGAGAATTGATGGGGTGAAAAGATGACACGGAGAGAGAGAGAGAGAGAGCATGCTTTGCTGTGTGGGTTTGTAGTATTTAAATGAAGAGGGCAGTCTTATGCCTGTTTGTAGATATATGGAGTGACTGGGTGAGGGAATGAGGGATTGTATCGAGATGAATCATGTTTTGAAAACGGAACAGTGATGATGAGAGGAAAGGACAAGAGAAGAAGACGTTTGCCTGAATTTCTTCCACCTTCTCCCTTCATGTGAACGCAGGCATCATAGTTGTTAAGGCTTCTACAGAAGCTGTCCATTCACCGAGGGTAAAAGCTACTATACCAAGTACAAAACCTTTAGAATTCCCAACGCAGTCCTCCTTGTTCCCTAACCAGAAAAGCTCCCATTCAGAAAAGCCCATCGAACCACTTCTTCTCCCGGTTTCTAGCCCTTACGACGCCGTAAACCCGCTTCTTCCAGCAAAACCCTCAAACCCCAAACACGCTCCGCGTCATCACCTCTCTCTCCTCTCTTACTCCTGAATGCTCCAAACTCGCAAGTGATGTCCACTCACGAAATCAGCATATCAATCTCCTCGCCCGTGAACCCAAACAGGTACAGCAAGTCCAGCAAGCTCTGCCCATTCAGCCTCGCGTCGGCCTCCATCTGCACCGTCGGCTTCGCATTCCACGCCACGCCCAGGCCAGCCTTCTCCATCATCAGCAAGTCGTTTGCGCCGTCGCCAACGGCAATGACCTGGGACAGATCGATGCCCTCCTTCTGAGCAATCTCAACGAGCAGATCGCGCTTGCGCTCCTTACCGACTATGATGCCCTTAACCTCGCCCGTGAGCTTGCCGTCCTCGATGACCACTTCGTTGGCGTGCGCGTAGTCAATGCCCAGCTCCTTGGCCAACCACCCCGTCAGGGGCAGAAATCCGCCAGAGAGAACGGCCGTCTTGACGCCGAGCCGCTTCAGCGCCTTGAGCAGCTCCCGCACACCATTGGTCACGTTGAGAACTGGCCGGAGGCCCTCGAAGACGGTGGCCGGCAGGCCCTTGAGCAGCGCGACTCTCTCACGGAACGACGACTCAAAGTTGAGCTCGCCCATCATGGCCCGGTGCGTGATGTTGGCCACGCGCTCTGCAAGATCCGGCGGGTCGCTGAGGTTCTCGGCCAGCAAGTCAATGACCTCCTGGGTGATGAGAGTGCTGTCCATGTCAAAGACGACCAGTCTGGGGTGCTTCCTCCACAAGGTGTCCCGCTGCAGAGCCACGTCGACGTTCCACTCCTGCTCGAACCGGTAGATCAGCTCGTGTTTTCGCAAGTCTGCCAGGCTGAGGTAGCTGGGCGACGGAGCAGGCGTCAGCGTCAGCTCGACAACGCGCGGGTTCTCCTGGTTGTCCAGGCAGCGATGCGACGAGTGCGGCTCCTCCGCATCGTCGGGCAGCGGAAACGTCGACATGAGGTGCAGGAAGGACGTGATGCACAGCGGCGACACGTACGAGCCGTACAGGTGGTCCAGCTGCGGCTCGGCGGACTCGTGCGTGGGCGGCTCCAGCGGGAACTCGTCCATGCTGGTCGTGGGCGCCATGTTGGGCGGCAGCGACTCGGTGCTGTCGGCCAGCCCGCCGTTCTTGCTGGCCGGCGACCGCGAGCGGCTGAGGCCCCCTGACGTGCTCCTGGCCGGCGCGCTCCGGTCGGCGCCCTTGTAGAACAGCGTCGCGATCAGGCGGTCGGACTTGCGGCCGGCGGGGGGCGCGCAGTTGGGGTGGGAGTAGCTGTGCGAGACGCCGCTGTCGACGACGACGGGCGGGTGCTCGGGCGACGGCACGCCGTTGAAGGGCAGCTTGGGCGACTTGGACGGCGACGCGTCCTCGACCAGCGTGTCGATGCCGTGATGGGCCTCGGGGATGCGGTGCTGCGGCGGGCGGTACTGCTGGTGGTCGCTGAGGTACGAGCTGCTGCGCATGCTGCTGGTGAGCTGCGGGCGCTGCGAGGGCGCCTTTGCCGTTGCCGCGTCTGCCATGGTGTTTCGGCTGGGGAGGGCTGGTTGAGGAGGAAGAGAGATGAGAGGGATGATCTGATGCCCGACTCGACGATGTTTCGCCAGAAGAAGCCGGAACGAGAGCCCGGAGACGGAGGCAAGAGTGAGGTCGGAAAACAGAAAGCAGCCGCGGATTCGGCAGCCTCGCACCAAAAGGCTCTCAATAACTAGCTGAAGAGCGAAGGCTAGAGCGGACAGAACAAAGACAAAAGACAGGTGGAGAGATTGCTCCGAGTCGCACTAGAACTGGGGCGCCGCGACTGGAGCCAATAACGGCGTTTGGTGAGAGATTGGAGAAGGCCGTGGGAAGAGGCTGGTGATGTACAAGAATTGGAGGGAGGTGGAGCGGTGATGTTGTGCCTTATTATGTAACCTGCAGATCTGTGTCGGGTTTTTTCCGAGAAGACTTGAGATCTGACTATCCAGACGCCTACTGACTCAGTCGAAAATCGTTCATACTGAAGAATCCGAAGCGAAACTCATGATGAAATTTGTAGAGATTCCCCTCCGTCACTGCATTCCTCAATACCCCGCACCCGCCAGTCCCAAGTTGTATCTCCAGTACCTGTTTAAGAGCGCACAGCTTCAATGGCAAGATCCACATCACCTGCGATACAGCGGGTAGATGAAGATCAACACGGGTTTTCGTGATCAGCCTGACGCTTGCTACTCACTGTATTAAATCACTCAACTATGCATTGAGATTGGATTCACATATTTGACTCGTGGGCTCTATGAACGACTTATTGTAGCAGGGCTGCTATCTATCGCTTATACGTATGTAGAGTCGCTGCAAATGGCTTCTTGCCTATACCTATTACCTCGCAGCTGGAGCTGATATATTCCTAATATATATCAAGAAAGATCAAAATCTTCGCTCTTTTACTCCTCATACGCATATACCAAGTATGAACAACGCCAAGCAATTTCCAAATCACATGAACAGAGCATCCATCTATCACCATCATCATCAGCATCATCAGCATCACCGCCATCATCACCATCATCATCATCATCATCATCATCATCATCATCGTCCTCACCCCCACGTCTCCCCCTCCGGCCTCAACCCCCATTTCACCAGCACAGGCTTCCGCTTCCCCATCCAGTTCTCCATCTCGTCCAGCCCGTGATGCAGCGCCCACAGCACCATCCCCAGGTCCTCCATGTCCTCCGGCAGCGCGCTCCTCGCGTCGTCCGTAAACGTCCGCACCGTCACCTGCAGCCGCGGGCCCCGCGCCCACATCGCCTCCCATTCCACCGCCGTCTTGGCCTCCCACAGCGCCACCTGCGCCGTGAACTTGAGCTGCAGCGTGCGCGCCTCGGCCTGGTCCCAGCCCTGCATCAAGAAGTTGTAGGTGCCCGACAGGATCTCCGCCGTGAGCACCGTGCGCCGCATGCTCTCGTAGTATATCCACGTCGACCAGCCGTCCATCGTCTTGGAAAAGGACCGCAGGCGCGGATACAAGGCCACCAACAGCGATTGCACGATAGCCTCGTCCCTCTCCGCGCGCATCCTCTCGCCAACGTCATCCCTTGAAAAGAAGCGGATGCACTGGTACACCACGAGTGCCTGCAGCGCCGGCAACAAGTCCAGCGCGGCAGCCTCGGACGCACAAGTCACAGCACGTCTAATGGATCCGACGAGTCGCGCAACTCGCTTGGCAATTTCGCCTCGGACGAGCGCCGCATTGGCCGTGTTCCTCATGCAGTGCAGCGCGCTGGCGGCGAGGGCCTCCTGCAGCACCTCGGACGACGCCACCTGCGTGTGGTGGACGAAGCAGTTCTGGCCGGTCATGGCCAGAATCTGCGGCTGCATCGCGAACCGGCTCGCCGCCCACTCCGTCCGCGACTGGAAGATGGAGCCGGTTGTCACGGGCGTGTTGGTTATGTCAAAGTAGACAAATTCCGGACTGGCGGCGAACTCGGTTGCGGAGGGCGGGCCAGGGGCGGAGAGTCCAACGGCCCCGAGCCCGGACCCAATGACAAGAAGGCCTGGTCCTGATTCTGGAGCATGTACTCGTCTAACTGGGACAGTAGGGAAGGTACCAGTGGCGGGGGCAGCGTCGTCGATGAAGGGTCCGGAGACAAATACGACGATACGGCACTCGGACCGCCGTGGCTGCTTCCGCTGCTACTGCTCCCACTGCTACTCCCGCTGCTGGTGTTCATGCCAGCCTGCCAGATGCCTCTCACGTCCTGCGTGAGATTCGCTCCGACACTCACCGGCGGTGCGGTCGTGCTCAAGCCCTGCTGAGAACCCCCAACCGCCATCATCCATGGATAGACGCAGTCCTTCCTCGATCTGCGACAGCGGCCGCACAACGGCAGGTCGAGATCGCACCGCCGCTTGCCCGCCACACACGCGGAACACGACTTTTTGCGGGTCGAGATCATGGCGAGGCTGGTAAGTAATTTGCGGAAAAGGATGGGCAACGAATGCAACAAACGCGGCGTTGCGGAAGTAAGTGGTTGGAGCAAAAGGAGACGCGTTTCGTTTGGTGAAAACCCCGGGCCTTGTAGAGGCTTGGGGAAGCTGTTCGGAGGCTGCTGAGCATTCCGCGCCCGTGGTTGCGGCCCCATATTTATGCGGAACTCCGCACTTGGCTCCCGCATTATGGGGTCGCCGTATGGGGAAGGGGAGAGGCTTCACGGCGAGAGTCAGTGAAGAAGCTCGGAGCTCCATCGACCCAGCTGTATAAATGCGTTAAGAAAGATGGTAGAACACCCTCTTGAAATTCACGATGCGGTGTTCCGAAGTTTGACCAAATATTTAGGACATGATGCAAGCTGCGTGTGGATAGGATTAGAAATCTCGTCGAAGAGGCCATGGTAGAGGAACTTCATATAAAGATGGCGATACGTATGGCTCAGCAGAAGAAAGCGCAATAGAATCGCAGACAGACTCGAGATCTCTTTGAAAGACTGCAAAGAAGGAAGCAAAGTCAGCCAACCTGCAGCACCAGTCAAAATGACAGTCAACCCGGACCAAGACTTCAAAATTGCCTACAAGGTCATCTCCATCACCAACAAGACGCACAGGACCGCCTACCCGGCCATTTCTCCCTCCCGCCCCGTCCTCTCCCAGGCCGGCCGGACCGTTCTCATCACCGGCGGCAGCGGGGGCGTTGGCTACGGCATTGCCCTTGCTTTTGCGACCGCCGGAGCTGCCAGGGTCATCATCGTCGGCCGTGACCCGGCCAAGCAACAGGCCGCTGCTGAGAGTCTCGCCCGGGATGCCGGCCCGGGTTCGCACACCAAGTTCGAGGGCAGGGCCGCCTCACCGGCAAACCCCGAGGACATCGACGCCCTGTGGGATACCCTGAACGCCGAGGGTGTGCTTGTCGATGTGCTCGTGCTGAATGCCGCCGTAACGGGCAATGTCGTGCAGGACTCTCTGTGGACGGCGGGCTGGGAATTCACCTGGGAGCAGTTCATCGTCCACGTTCGCTCCACCAACCACTACAGCGAACGATTCTGGAAGCAAAATGGAGAGAAAAGGGTTAGTTTGCAAAGACCCTAACCGAGGCTCAAGCCGTCAAGAGCAGCATCTTTTGCAGACCAGTCGATTGACAACAGCGGTGCGATGCAGAAATACCTCGTCAATGTGTCCACTTCCGCCATCCACGACTTTGAAGCGGGAAAGGCTACCAAAGCCTACGCATTGACCAAGAACTCGGGAATGCTCCTGATGCAGCAGCTTGCACGCGACACGCCCGTCGACAAGATGCAGATTGTCAGCTTCCATCCCGGTGCCATATTGAGCCCTGGCGCGAAGAGTAGCGGTGCGGATGAGAACAGTCTGTACTGGGACGACAGTGCGTATAGCCCACAGTCTTGGAGATGATCCTCTCCCTTGTATTGGTTAATCTAACATCATACAGTCAGCCTCCCCTCCTCGGTCGCCGTCTGGGCGGCTTCAGACGAGGCAGCGTTCCTGCACGGTCGATTTATATGGTCGGCATGGGATGTTGAAGAGCTGCAGAAGGGGCCGCTCCGAGAGCGCATAGAGACGGATGACAAGTTTCTGCGAATCGGCGTTCACGGCCTGTGATGGCACATATAGAAGAACTGTTTGGAAGCCATTCACCATCTCCTGTGTTCATAGTAGTAGCGATGCAGCATAGAGGCAAAAGACTAGAGGCAGATCAATAATACAGAAGTACTGTAGACAGACCCTCCATTCCATTACAGCTGCCCTGCGTCACATCATGATGAATCACCAGCCAGCAGCGGAAAGCGTCCACTCACCTGGCATCCCTGGGCATGTGTAATCAGCGAACAACGCGAATCTTCTCTCTGTTTCTGCCTCTCAGCACAGCAAGCTTCCAACCCTCCATGCTGACGAAGCACACCTCTCGCACGCACAACTACTAGCCGACACAATCATCAGCTGTCCCAATTCAGCCAGCATTCAATCTCCTCCAATGAATCCTGCCAGCGACGAGCCGACTCGGACCCTCGCGATGGCCCACACCACGGCCCATAATAAATGGCCTTATTCGGCCAAACGGCGCTCGGCTTCCGACTCCCGCAGAGCCACCGACAGCCCGGCGGCGCACAAAATGGTCGCGATGCCATCAACAAATGTCCTGCAGCGGCTTGGTCCAGTTTTGTCCCCAAGCTCGACCCGTCGCTCTGGAGCCGCCGTCACGCCTTTATATCCCCGGGATTCCCAATGGCTCTTTGATCATCGTCCCCTGGAGCTCGGTCGTGATGTCGTGATCACATATCGGCGATGCTTCCAGATGGCTTTTTTCGTCATCCGGGATGAGATCATTCCCTCCCTCCCTTTGTGATTCCGCCTTCCGGCAGCCACTTCATTTCTAAGCCAACAGCCCCGGAAAACCCTTCGCTGCCCCAGTCTTTGAAAACTGGATCCTGTCCAGGTACAGGATACTCGAGCGGCTGCTGATTCGTCGTGCGTGAACAAGAGTCGATGATACCATCGTCCAGTTTCGGCAGTCCCGCGGTCAGCCAATCACAGCCGCCAGCCCGACATCGCGGAAGCATTGGCGTCGATGTCGTGATCGCTCCTAGACGCAACGCCAGACGCCCAAGGGCTTCCAAGGCTCGTGCTTAATGCATTTTGGCTTCCTCTGCTGCCCGCCGTGAGCGATGTTCCGAGGCCTGGAATGGCAAATTGGACGGGGTTGCCTGATTGCAATCATTGGGGCGATTTTTTTCGGGCAGGACAATTAGTCAGGGCGGGCGGGAGACAGGGCAAATATATCCCCCAGATGGCCCTCCATATAGACTGTTTCCCCCGAGATTCTCGTAGTTGATACCAGTCCTGCTTTCTCTCTGTCCCGCCATAGATCTTTGCTTGGGCGTTTCTCCATCTTCTCCTTCATTCAGTGACGCTTCGCAGCTCGGAGTAATCCAGTCCCTAAGCCAACCAGCCTCCAGTGTCCTCTGAAACACCTCGACAGGCACTTCTCAGCCCAACCCAAGTCACTTTGCTGCCCAGTCAAGGGACCTCAAGCCACTCATCCTCTCCCGTCATCATGTCCGTCGTCATGGAGCAGTCGGCGGCCCAGTCGTCGTCGTATGCCCACGACAAGATTGACTCCAACGATATCGAGTCCGGCTATGCCTCTGGCCAGTCCGACTACTCTCCGTCACCACGCACAGAGAAGCCCGTTATTTCCCTCAGCAAATCACACATCGCATACCTCAACGAGCAGATGGAGAACATGCACCCCATGGACATCCTTCGCTTCTGCAAGATCATGTTCCCCAACCTGTACCAGTCAACGGCGTTTGGCCTGACGGGTCTTGCCACCCTGGACATGCTGTCCAAGCTCCAGAAGGAGAACCCAGAGTCCCGCACCGTCGACCTCATCTTCCTCGACACCCTGTACCACTTCAAGGAGACGTATGAGCTCGTCGACCGCGTCAGGGAGAGATATCCCAACGTGCCCATCCACATCTACAAGCCCGACGGCATGGAGACGGCTCAGCAGCTCGAGGAGACATACGGCGAGAAGTTTTATGAAACCGCCGGCGACATGTACGACTGGATCGTCAAGGTCGAGCCCCTGCAGCGAGCGTACGACGAGCTCAAGGTGGCCGCCGTGCTCAACGGCCGTCGACGGTCTCAGGGCGCTGCCCGCGGCTCCATCCCCATCATCGAGCTCGACGAGGAGAGGGGCATCGTCAAGATCAACCCCATGGCCGCGTGGACCTTTGCTCAGGTCAAGCAGTACATTGATGAGAACAACGTGCCCTACAACGCCCTGCTTGACAAGGGCTACAAGTCGGTTGGCGACTGGCACTCGACCAGTCCGGTAGGCGAGGGCGAAGACGAGCGTGCCGGTCGATGGAAGGGCCAGGGCAAGACGGAGTGCGGCATCCACAACAAGAAGTCCAAATACTCCGAGTTCATCGCCAAGAAAGAGCGGACTGCACCCGTTTCATGAGCGCAGATGTTGGCTTCTCTCATCAGAGGCGCGCGTCTCTCTCTCTCTCTCTCTCTGCTCACACGCGGAGACCTATGATTTTTCCGTTATGACATGATGACGTTTGGCGGCATTGGCGATTTGGAGTCTTTGAGTTGCATCGAGGGACAGCATTTGGATGGGGATCTTGACCCCATAGATACACATCATGGGCGGCGTTTGGCTTGATTTCGAGTTGTTTCTTTTCTTTTCCGACTTGATGGTTCTCATTCTGGGGATTGATCGAGCGAGCAGCTTTGCTGGAAAAAGGTGGTATCACGTGCCCATGGCAGTAGATAGCGACAGCGAATAAATAAAAGATGAATCATTTGACAACATCACGTCGGCGGCGTCCGTTGGATTGGTGAAATGCAAATAAACTGCCTTTCGTGAAGTTGAGATCGTCTGTTGCTTCCTGGGGTTAAAGGCTCGTTGAGCCACTTGGTGCCCCGCGCCACCCTGTTGCTAAGCGTCTGACAGTAATCCGCAGCACAAGCCACCAGATGTTGATAGTGCCCTACCGCCTCATTTTTCAATCTCCAGGGTAGCATTCAACCGATATCAAATGCTACGTTGAGTGTACCAGCCTTAATCGACTTCATTTGGCCTTCCAATGATGCTGGCGTTGCATAAGATATATATTGAATAATATTCAGCCGTTTTTCTTTCCCATTAAAGAATTTATATTTCTATTTTTTTTTTTTTTTTTTTTTTTTTTTATTTTTAACCTCAGGTTCTTCCATCTGGCGCCCATCATGCAACCTCTGCCTCAGCCCTCCTCTCTATTCACGGAAAAAAAGTCCAAAATCCTTCAACAGCTCGCCGTCCCAGACACTGAATACTCTGACCTTTCACCCAAGGGCTCCGTGGACGCAGGCATCCGATACCTCATTGACGAGATCAACACCGCCGAGGGCTTTGTGACCACAAGCAGCTGCGCCGGCCGTGCGAGCGTCTTCCTCGAGGGCAGGAAAACGAGGGCGGCAGAAGGGGAGAATGGAGAGAGTGAGCAGGTCGCGAGAGTAGGTGGGAAAGGGGCGGGAGGCACATGGCTGTACGTCTCGCATGATCCCTGGGATGATGCGGGTGAGACGCATTTGGATTGGGTGAAAAGTCTGGGATTTTCGGATGTGGATGAGATTGAGCTTCCGGATGATGGGCTTGGTGAGAGGAGGCTCATACACTTCAAGTTTGAGCCCATGGTGAGCGTTTCCCTTCCTCTTTACTCAAGGAATTACAAAGACTGACTGAGAGGAAAAGATTCTTCATGTTCTGACTGCATCACTTGGCCACGCCCAGCTTCTTCTCAGGTGCGCCTTACAAGCCGGCTTCCGCGAGTCCGGCGCCATCAATATCACTTCTCCCTCCAGCGAGCAAACCATGCCCATGGTAGCCATCCGCTCAATGGGATTAAGCCTCGAATCCCTCGTGGGGTACCAGGACCTGGACGGACAGCGTCGGCGGATAGTCCCTGCCGGGTACTTCAAGATGCTTCTCCAGATCTCCAATGAGCGGTTCGTGGAGAATACGAAACGCATTGGAAGGTTCCGATCCGCATTCAAGGAGGTCGTGCTGGAACCACGAGAGGCGAGTGTCCCAAAGAAGTTGAACCCCGAGGGCAAGGAATGGGAAGATGCGGCTGCTCGGCGAGAGAGACTGCGTGCAGAAGGGCTGAGAAGAAAGGCGGCGCTTCAGGCTGAGAAGAGTGAATCACCAGCACAGGAAATTGACGAAGAACTGCACATAGATTCTCCATTTTAGCGTCATTTCTGCTCTTTATTTTACCCCTGGTTATACATTGCAGCTTTTACCGCTGCCATCTTTTGCCGTAGTGTACAGACATACACCCGTCCCCAGCTCGCTCGCTTGATAGTCGGCCAGTGTTCAGATCACCGACTGTCACCAAAAAGTCTATATACCCGTCGATCTCTCTTTTCTTTTGCGTCTTTCTTTCCTTTTCCCACCGTCTCATGCCTCCCCTTTTATCCCCCTTTCCCCTTTATCAAGAAGAGAGACAACTCTATGCCGTGATCCTGTTAATCCACTCCCTCTCCATCTTCTTCACCTCCGCCTTAAACGCCTCCACCTCGTCATAGCACACCAGCGGTTTCCTGTCGTTCTCCCTCAAGCACCGGATGACGCTGTTCCGCGCCGCGTCGACGCTCTCGGGCAGCTCCCGCACCTTCTTCCGCTGCTCGAGCTTCTTGCGCAGCTCCTCAACCTCCTTGCCGACGGTGTACCGATTGGGACCCTTGTCCTCGGTAATGGAGGAGGCGGCCTCGGCGATCTTCTCGTGTGCGAACTTGAGAGCCTCTGACTCTTGCTTCTCTAGCCTCTTGAGCTCCTCGGCGACGCGGGCTTGGATATGCTGCTCGACGAGCTTGGCGCGGGAAGCATCCGTCTGGGGGAACCAGTGCGTCAGTCTTGCCAATGCTATCACGATCATGAATGGACAAATCGCATCGGGGATCGAAGAAGGAATTCAACCGAGGGAGGGGGGCGTACTTCGGGACTAGTTTGCAGCGTCTCCAGGACCGGTAGAGAGACGCTCGGCGGCCCTGAGCTGTTTTGCGCATCAAAATTTTGCCTCGTTAGCTGGGGCGCATCCCGGCGTTGTGCTGTTTCTGTGCGATTTTCAATTGGACATGTGTGACGTACATCTTCCATGTGTGGCCTTGGGGCTTGGACTCTTGGGCACCCATGGCGACGGCTCAATGGCGATGCGGCAGGATTGCTGGGGAATGGAGTTGAGCTCGTGATAAGCACCAGACGTTCTTCTGCAAAATTCCGGGCATATTCGGCTGGCGTCACTGGAGCTTGCCGGGCCCGGAGGTTTCTGCCTGAGGAGCGAGTGTGGCTGGTGGCGCAGCTGAATGTGGCTGGTGTTGTTCTGGCTTCTCTGTCATGTTCCTTAGGCAATCATGTTCTGCGGTGCGCCAAGATCAGACACAATTCCTAGGTCACATGACTCTGGTTTGTTCAATTCGTGTCGGTTCACTTTCGTCTGATTGATAACGATGCTATATTAAGCCGACAATGGCAAGACACAGATTTGGTCCTCATCATAGTAATGGATCACCTCACATGATGGAAAAGGAGAAGGCGACAAAATGGTTCTGCTAGTACCTAGTAGTAGTACTAGTATTATTCATTTCTTACAGATCGATCTTGCCTGCAGCAATCTCTGCAATTGTTTCAAAGAGCCTGTCTTACTCTTATTTCAGTGGCGGAGCATAACAGTTCAGATTGCCGAGGCTGCTGCCCTGCGTATCCTTTTTGTGCCCCCAAAAAAGGCCAAGACGGACAAAATCTTCAGCATCCCACGCATCACGACGCAATCAATTGTCTTGTCGTGCCACGGAAACCGAAAGAATTTTCTCGCACTTCACGACGCTGAGTCAAGATGCGGACGACGGCAGTCATCGCTCCATCGGGCATGTCACCGAAGCCTCGTGGGGCACGACTGCGCAGGTTGTCAACCCCCGGCAGGAGATGAGATGAATGGTCTTGGCTTCATCTTCCTGTGACATGCTAAATGCGACGGTTCCCGATGGGTTGGAAAAGGCCCTTCTCCCACCGAAGCATTCCTGCTGTTGGGTCCCGTCCACGTTTTTATGATCGCCTGTGTACCCTCACGCTATTCCTACGTTGTACAAATATTCCGGGGCCAGCGGTGACATTGGCGTTGGCTCGGTGGAGAGATGCTGCTCGTGCGCAATCTCAATGGTAATCTCTGGCAATATATCAGTTAATATCCCATCCCCAGCAGCAGCGCAGGCGGAACCCTGATGGGATAGTAATTGCTTTCTCCAGGTGCCTTTCAGGTTCAGGTCGAATATTAGCAAGGGGCGAGTTGGGAGTGCCATTCGGGCAGAAATATCTGCTCATGGCCTCGCACATCATGCCATGTGCGCGTCTGCTCATGCGATGCGGTGCTTGTCGTGGTGACATTCTGCGGTGGAAGGATATTATTACGGCAGCGACATGGAAATCGGGACTGGGCATCTTGGGCTGCACGTTGTGAATAAACGACGTCTGTCCTCGTCTGCCGCGGTGGTTTCCGGAGATCCGACGTGCGCCCAGAGTCGTGTCTCTGAGTGGCTGCTGGGCTCGCCGCGGTGTCGCAGCCGGCCGGAACGCAGAACCAGTCAGCGGACAGCGTCGTGATTGTGCATCGCCGCTCGTGTTTCTGCGTCTGCTGTGGAAGCAATAGTCAAAAATCGAAAAAAGCTTCCTGTGCCTCCCTCTCACCACCCCTGAACTAGGGCCGACAGGCCTCTTGATGGCATGCAGGGCCCGCATGCGTGGCTGGTTTCAGAACCGAGAGGGCCAGCCAAACGGCGCTCGTCGACGTCAGCCCCCCAGCATCTGAAATGCAACAGTCGCAGCCAACCACGGCGTCCGGAACGGATTTCGCAGATGGTGGCTTGGGTGGCTTTCCTATTGTATCGGGGCCGGCGCTTTTTTTTGGGCTTCTTTGCAGCCAGGCCATCCCTGCATAGCGCTCCCGAGGCAAGTCGAGAGCGTGAGGGGTAGCCTATTGGAGGGCGAGGGAGGGAGGGCGCCTAGAAGGACTCGAACGACGCGGCTGGGCGAGGCCGAGATTCTGCACGAGGTGCTGAAGATGACGACGATGCGGTTTCTGACTGCGCGTCCGCTGCGTGAATGGACCTGGATCTGGGACTCGAACTCGAGAGCGGCTGTGAATTCCGTTGAATCGCGTGAGCTATTTGAGCAGTGTCGAGTCACGGGTGCATCCAAGCTGGCGTCTGGGGAAACCTACATACTGTGCCGATCCGAATCGAGGCCGATGGAGCCATTTTGCTGATGATTCATGTCTCTCATCCAGCCCTCTGCGCGTCTCTCAATCAGTCCAGCTCCCTTGAAGAATACCACTGTTAGAATTAAGCGTAAACCGAGATAAAGTTGATCATCATTGGAAGTTGATCATTATTGAAATTTGATATTGTCGGCCATCAATGCTGCTAGTAGGTAGTATTTGCCTTTCTCAGCTGCATGTGAGCGTTGAGTTGGAGTCCATCGTAAACTCTCTCGTAGGCTCAAACGGGCTGGTAAACCAATGGCATGTCGCGCTTCCTCCGCAGCTGCAGCCATTCTGTACCTGCGTCTGGCGTCGTGCAGACCTGGAAACAAAGTCGGGCGTTTTTAGTGGCCGCGTGCCACTGCCAGCCAGCCGAGCGGAGTTGGCGCGCTAAGGCCGTAGCGGCCAGCCACAGGGGGCCCTCCAGAGGCCCCATAGCGCCCCATAGCGCCCTCCGTAGCGGTCTCTCGAGGGCACCGCAGAGGGAGCAGGGCCCTGGCTTGGGCGGCGCAGGGCATTGAATGCGCTCTATGCTGGGGGGCCGCGGGCAGGGGCTTGATGGCTAGCCGCTTGGCTGCTCGCAGCTTCCAGCGCTCGGCGGCCAGTGATCGCCACCACAACATGCCATCGCCGCCATCAGGGGGAATGTGGGCTGCCGACGGCGAAGCGTCTTTTCCTCTCCCTGCGCCCCTCGCTCGCCCTCTCGTTTCCATCGCCGTCCCTTTGCCTGGCTGTCTCTTTTCCTCTCCAGCTTGGTTGGCTCGTCCTGTCCCTTCTCTCCGCCTGTCTGCGTTTCATCAGGGTTGGCCGCTCGTTCATCATTCATTGTACCCGCCAGACTGCGCAAAAAGAAAAGAAACGAAAGCCAGACGCAACTTGATACTTCAACTCCCTCCTTCGCATCATTCATTCATTTCTCAAAACGGCTGGAGATCTTCACCTCGAAACCCGACCAAACCTTGCCAACTTGCGACAATAGACGCCGCCGTCTCCGTGTTCCGTCATTCGTCAGAACCTTGATCGATCTCAACGCCATCAGTCACTCACCACCATCTCTTCGAAACAACCTCAGAGAGAGAAAGCTGCCTACTATTTGTTTGTTTCCTTACCCGGCCCCTCTTTCGCGCGGGATCGGCTCGACCATTGCGTCTCTACGTTTCAACCTTCAACCATCTCTTTGCCGCCACGATTTGCCCACATAGCCGCCTCCCACATGCCAGCCATCGATCGTCAAGCTGAAACTTGAACAACGGCACGGCATAAATAAACAACAAGCTAGAGGAAACACATACGCACGCACACACACACACACGCAAGCAGACGAAAAAGCACCACTCGCTGCCGGTCGCCTCCTGGAGTTGTCACTGTGATTATTATTGTGCACTCTTTTCGACTTCCTGGTCCTTGCCCAGCGACTCCATCCCTCCCACTAGCTATCCACGGTCCCACCACATACCGTGTCAGCAACCCCCCCAAGACGAAACGCCCGAATCTCGCAGGGGAAACGAATTCGTTGTTGGAGCGATTTATTGGCCCGAAGCCGACTGGCCACTTCTGGAAGCCCTTTCTATTCGCCGCTTTGCGTGGGTGACAGAGGCTGCCTGCACGCGGTAACGGGAGTCACTCGAGTCGAAACCCCTGCACGGCTCTTCGCACTCTTTTCGCCTGCTCGGAGCGAACCAGTTTTCTTCACCTCAACCTCGACTCTCCTTCTTCCCGACCTCTGTTGTTGCACGCACAGGATGCCATTCAACAACGAGGCGTGACACAGCGAATTGGTTCTCTCTTTCTCTTCTCTTCTTGCCCCTTCTCCCGGCCGTGACTCCAACTCGCTATTGACTGGCGCTCCTTGGAACACGGTCGACACTCTCGTTCTTCTGTTCTTCGCGAACAAGCACCTTTTTGGTTGACAACCCGTTTCACTCTTTACATACGGCTTGTTCACGTCTCCCCTGCAAACCGCATCCTACACTCATTTACCCTGCCTCCCCCGACGACGAAACCCTCCTTCCTCCCAAGAACACAAACAAAAAGAATCAAGAAAGGAAAAAAAAAGACCAAGGCAGAATGGACGTCCATCCGCGCCGGTTCGCAGGTGGCATCGAGTCCTTCGTTCCCTCACGGGTGCTGCAGGTCAGGTCGTCGGATAGCTCAGAGGTACCCTCCAATCCAACCATTGCACCCTATACCACCTCGCTAAATGGTGTCAATCAAACGCAGAACAACCTGTTCAGGGACATTCTCTGGACCAGTCTGGGCGCAGTCGCCGTCATTGTGTTACTTATCAGAATCGCAGAGTTACTATGGGCGAAGCTTCGTCAGGTCTCGGCCATGTCGGTGCCGCGGGACAAGCAGGGCTACTGGAAGCACTCGCAATGGAGCTGGATGCCGGGCATGAAGAAGCATCTGATCTACGCGCCGCTGTTCGGGAAGCGCCACAACCGCGAGTTCCGCTTCTCGTCCGCCGTCAACGTCGGCACGCTGCCCTCGAGGCTGCATGCCACCTTGCTGTTCCTGTACCTCGCTAGCAACATAGCGTACATGTTCATCCTCGACTGGACGCAGGCCAACTACTTCTCCTTCTGCGCCGAGCTGCGAGGCCGCTCCGGCACGCTGGCCCTCGTCAACATGGTGCCCCTCATCATCATGGCCGGACGCAACAACCCCCTGATTGGCATGCTGCAAATCAGCTTCGACACGTACAATCTGCTGCACCGATGGATGGGCCGCATCGTCGCCATCGAGGTCATCATCCACACCATCGCCTGGGCCATCCCGAGTGTTGCTAACAGCGGCTGGGCGGGCGTCTGGAAATCGCTGCTTCACAGCCCCTTTCTCGGCATCGGAAGCCTGGGCACGCTCAGCCTGACGCTCATCTTCTTCTTGGCCGTCTCGCCCCTCCGCCACGCCTTTTACGAGACCTTTCTCAACCTGCACATCTTGTTGGCGGCCGTGGCGTTCGCCTGCACCTGGGTCCACTGCGTGACGGCTAGCATCCCCGGTGGCCTGCCGCAGCTGTCGTGGGTCATCGCCATCCTGTCGCTGTGGATGGCCGACCGCCTGGCCCGCATCGTCCGCCTTGCGTGGGTCAACTGGTCCGACAAGGGCTTTGCCGACGCCCTGTGCGAGCCCATGCCCGGCGACGTCACCCGAGTCACCTTCCGGCTGCCGCGATACGTCGACATCAAGCCGGGCACCCACGCCTACCTCCGCTTCTGGAACGTCAATGTGTGGGAAAGCCACCCCTTTTCCATTGCCTGGGTCGAGCACGAGGTCCAGCACTCCCTGCCGACGTCCGAGAAAGATCACCTCACAGCCATGGACCGCAGCAACGCCTACACCCTGGTGTCGTTCCTCATCGGCGCCCAGACGGGCATGACGAGGAAGCTCTTCAACACGGTCAAGGGCTCGGAGCAGGGCATCCGCATGAAGGCGGCGCTCGAGGGCCCGTATGCTGGCCACCACAGCCTCGACTCGTACGGCCACGCCGTGCTATTCGCCGGCTCGACAGGCATCACACACCAGATCTCGTACATTCGACATCTGCTCAACGGCTACAACGAAGGCACCGTGGCGACGCGGCGAGTGACGCTCGTCTGGATTATCAGGGAGTATGAATCCCTCGAATGGGTGCGCCCATTCATGGACCAGATCTTGCGCATCTCGAACCGCAAAGACATCCTCCGCATCCAGGTCTTTGTCACACGACCGCAGAACCCGCGCGACATTGCGAGCTCCAGCTCGACGGTCAAGATGTTCCCTGGACGGCCGAACGTGCCGCTGCTGCTGGCCAAGGAGGTCCAGGAGCAGGTCGGGGCCATGGTGGTCAGCGTCTGCGGGCCTGGTGCCTTAGCAGACGACGTGCGAGGCGCCGTGCGATCGGTGCAGGGCCACACGGTTGTCGACTTCATCGAGGAGAGCTTCACGTGGTGATGTGCATATATCGCAATCTACATCTTTTATCTGGGTATTATGAAACGACGCTTTTGTTTTTATACTATACTAGATGGGAGGAGGAGATCCGAGGCGCTAGCCGGCGAAGCAATCTTTCTTCTTGACCTTTTTCCCTTCTACCATTCGACCTGTACATATTCTAAGAGACCGAAATCTGCAGACGCGGAGGTTATAACATCTACGGAAGAGGGCATGTACCCAGACGTTGTATAGAATCTGCATACTCCTCGATACCTTCTTTTTGCACTTTTTTTTACAAAGATGAAGTGGCGCAAATTGGCTGTGTTCTTTCTTCTTTCTACTTTCATTTTTTTTCTCTCAGTTCGAGAGACATAGCATAGCATCTGGGGTATAACAATTGGACCGGCTCTCTTTTCTTGTTTGTTCTACTATTTAGTTCACTTTTTGTGTGTTTCCTGTGTGTGAGTGAGTGTTTCTTGTGTTCATAATGTGGGATGCGTGTGTGTCGTGCGACTTCACCTTATGATTTTGTGTAATCGTAATACTAAGATCGATTGGATATAGATATAGTTTCTGGGTAGTATTTGATTTGTTACGTTGCGTACTGATCGTATGATGAGCGTGATTCGGAATAGTGATGCTATTCAAAGGCTTGCTACCCAATGCTTTTCCTAACCCCCATCCCTGACGAAGCGTGTAACAGATATGTATCCCCATACAAACAGACAGACCAATGATGCGAATAATAAAACAATAGAAAGAGAAGCGCCCAAACACCCCTTGTTTATGCATGCCATTCCCAACCTCGCTCACCATCCAATCCATCCAATCCATCCGAAGGGGGGGGGGGGTTCGGGAAAGAGAACACATACGACGCACGCCTACGCACCCAGCGCCAGCCCCTCAACCGCCGCCATCATCCCTCCTGCTCCTCCGCCAAGCTCGTCCAGCCCCCTGAACCCTTCCTCGACGGCCCACGCCCTGCCCTTCTCCCTGGGATGCAGAAACTCGCACGCGCGGCCCACGACGAGGAGGCCCGGTGGCCGGCTGCCCTCCGCCTCGATGGCCTCGGCGACGTGGGCGAGGGTGGTGCGGATGACGCGCTGGTCGGGGCAGCTGGCGCGCTCGATGACGGCGCAGGGGGTGGAGAGGGGCCAGAGGGCCCTTGAGGAGGGTGCCTTTGGTGGGTGTGATGACGCTGCGGAATCGTTGCCGTTGGGTTCGGGAGTTTCGCCTAGTTCGTCCTCGATGGGCGTGGTGAGTTCGCGGACGAGGCCGACGATGCGGTGCAGCGCCATGAGGAAGACGACGGTGCGCGAGGGCACGTACTCGGGCGGCGAGGGCGCCTTGCCCTTCTTGCCGGTGCCGGTGCAGACGAGGACCTGGTCGGCGACGTCGCGCTGGGTGGCCGGGATGGCGGCGAACAGGGGCGCGCTGAGGGCGCTGGTGACGCCGGGCAGGACGGTGACGGCGCCGGGCGCGTCGAAGCCGTGGCTGCGGAAGTGGGCGAGCTCCTCGCCGCCGCGGCCGTAGATGAAGGGGTCGCCCTGCTTGAGGCGGAGGACCGTCTTGCCGGCGCGCGCGGCGGCCAGCGCGGCGGCCAGCAGCTCGTCCTGGGCCTGCTCGGCGTTGCCGGGGAACTTGCGGGCGATCTCGACGGGCGTGCGGCGCGGGATGAGGTCCAGCACGCCCGCGGGCACGAGCTTGTCCGCCAGGACGAGGTCGGCCGTCTGGATGGCGTTGTAGGTGGCGCGCGTGAGGAGGTCCGGGTGGCCGGGGCCGCTGCCGGCGAGGATGATCCTGCCCTTGGGACGACGGCCTGGGCTGCTGCTACTGGAGCCCAAGTCGCCGCCGTCTCTTGGGGGCTTTTCTGCGGCGGCGTAGGCTTCCAGGATGCGGTCGACGTCGTGGTCGGCCACGGAGGCGAGCTTCTTCAGGGGCCAGTACTCGCAGACCTGGCTGAGCCAGCGCATCCTCCTGTTGCGCACGTCCTCCTCCGTGACGAGCTTGTTGAAGAGCGCGCTCTGGTCGACGGAGTCGTCGAGGTCGCCCTCTGCGAGGGGGGCTTCTTTGTCGTCGTGCTGCTGGATGCGACGCCTTGCTTCGCCGAAGCGCTGGCAGGCGGCGCCCAGGTTGGGCGGCAGGGAGGAGGCGATCTCGCGGCGGATGCGCGAGGCCAGTTTGCAGCCGCGGCCGTTTGTGGTGACGCCGATCTGGAGGGGCCCGTCGGAGTGGACGGAGAGGAGGGAGAAGGTGCAGAGATGGGGGGCGTCAACGACGTTGACGGGGATGCGGTTGCGCTTGCAGAGGGAGGAGATGTGAGGGCCTGAGGATGAATGTTTAGTATACTTGTGGATATATATATCTTGATATCGAGTCTTATAGAAGATGTATTTTTTACTCACCCAGCTCTTCTCGTAATGGCCCCCCGGCCGTCACGAACACGGCATCAACGACGCCTCCCACCTCTTCTCTGCCCAGAGTGAACAGGTGCTCGTCCGCAAACGCCTCGCGCACCCACTTGACGCTGCCGTCGTCGATCCTGCGCTGCAGGCCGTAGTGCAGCTCAGCCGTCTGTGGCGCAACGACGACGGGATGCGCCCCGGCGGCGAGAGACTGCGCGCATCGGGCGGCGGCCAGGGGGTTTGTGCCGACGACGAGGTGGATGTTGTCTGTGCAGTTGAGGCCTGCCAGCATCGAGTTGTTGATGCTGGCGTCGATAAGTGAGGGCGCTGCCATTTGGAGGAGGGCGTTGGATATTGGCGGGATGTCGGGGAGGGCCCGAGATCCGGATGCTGAAGAAAAAAAAAGACTGTAGTGTAGATGATGTGGGGGATAAGAGTTTGAGATTAGGTTTGTATTCTTCTTCGACTTGTTTTATGAGTTCATGGTATATTCATTGATATTTTCATGACGATAGACAGGTTACCAAGAAGAAAGAAAGAAAGAGAGCTGACCTCGTGTACAAGACGCCTCGATTTTAAGTCGTTTCAATAAATAGCAATTAAATCCACATCAACTGAGTCTCACCAGTCAGGGTCCCTCCCGACAGCCCGAAGCCCCAACGCCGAACACCCGACGAGCCCTTTTTCAGTTCCTCATTAGGAACCAATGGAGGCATTAGAAATAGCCCCATATCCTGGATCTTCCCAATCGAATATTCGCGCTTCTCCAATGGCTGGTTGTGTGATTACCTTGTTTGAAGCTGGAGAAATGATCAATCTGCCACCAAGTTGACGCCATTTCCCACATGTGGGGCCGCTATCGGAAAGATAAGCCCAAGAATGGTTTGCGAACACTTTTTTTATTATTATCGTTTGGTGACTGTTTGAAGCGTGAGGGGAGATGAAGCATCTCCGAGGCATTCATTCTGCGTAGGGTGCTTATCACATGCAGATAAACAGATGTACATGACTGCCAGCGTCTACATATATACTAACAAAAGACATCTCCGGCATCTTGTTTGGGCAGTGCTGCTTATCGGATTGACAGACGGTGAGCCTTGATATCCAATATAGACATCTCCGAGGCAACTTGTCGTCATGCTCATGCTCATTTCATGCCCTACGGGCCAGGCAAGCCACAGGTCATACAAAAGCCTATACTTTGCTTATTTCACAATCCCCAAATCCTGAATATCCATCACAAGACAAGTACGACGTGCTTATAGTAAGAATGGAGAAGAGGAGACTCTGAACGGTGGAGCTTCACGATGCCCCTAATCACAGCGCAACATCCCTTTATATCCATCAATCACCGGCCATTTGACAGATTGATATCTATTCACCAGCTTGGCCTATGTTAAACACCTTGCATTAGCCTCCAGCTAGTAACTGGTATCATTATAAAGGGAGTGGCAAGGTATCCAGCATCCTAGCACATCCATGTCTATTCCTACTGCTACTTTTTGATATTATTAAGAAGGCTTCTATTGCCTGCTGCTATCGCTATGTTCTTATCGACTTGTTATATGGTTTCATTCCTTGTAGAAAGAGTATATGGAGACTGGCTTTTCGCTCTACATCTATATATAACCTTGAGATGCTGGATAACCAAGTTAGGATGCTGGTTAGCCACACCTTTGTAGTATCTGCCAGTAGTGATGAGCTATATGTTAAATGCCCGCGTTCGCTCAATCGCCGGCAACGGATACTTTGATATCACTTGAAGCAAGCCGAGGAGTATTATGAAAAGGAAACCTTCCCAGATCTACACCACCGCGTCGTTTGATGGGGTCCTCAGAAGGCCGCAAAGCCCCTTGACTTCGACTGGCCAGGTGAAGTCAGCCAGCCCGACAACGAATGGTGGAACGGAACATGTCATCCGGGCTGATCAGCTGACGAGCGGCCAGACTGATACATCAGGACGACATTGACCGACTGGTGTAGACGACTGCATGATTGTGAAAGCAGTGCATAATGCTGAGCCCTGATTGGTCGCTGTCAGAAGCGAGGCAACCGACTGGACAGTTTGGCGCTCTTCAGCCATGCTTCCGTGTGGAATGGAAAGGCCACCGGCTCCAATCCTTGGAACGCTTTCATGCTGGGTTCAAAGAGTGCTCTGAGTGTCGATGTAGTCAGCTGGGCGGCCCGAGTCACGACAAGCGTTGCTCTGCAGTCTGCGCAGTGTCCCAGCGGTTACACCTTGGCGTAGGCACACCTTGCCAGGGACCCCATGCTTATATACTTGCCGATACTCCCATCTTTCCAGCTGGAGTATTGTTCTTATTGTCAGGTAGAGACTCTCGTTCTCTTGCTTCTATCTATTGCCATGTGGGAGAACGGCAGTTCGCAGCCAACATCACGGCGTGAAGTGATCGCCCATCGTCTTGAGGAAAGCAGCCTCATCCGTTAGAGTCCCTAGCTTCAGTTTTGCCAGCTCCTCAGTCCCGCGTAATTCCACTTGTCAAAATCCGGCGCAACTCGACTTTTGTCTGGCCCCTCGCAATGTACGCACATCCAGAACAGAAAGCTAGAAGGACAACTCCAGATCGTGCATGAACGAATATTGCTCTCCTAACAGAGCTCCGATAGCCATGAAGGCCCTCGTGCCAGTCTTGCTCTTTGCTCTAGAAGCACTGTCATGCTGCTCTCTAATAGCGAGATTAAGGTTAATTAGGAATGACGGCCAGGAGGGATTGCCCTTGTCCTTATTGGTCATTAAGTTGTTGATAGATATGTCTCTGTACAGGAACCCAGCCTTGTGCAGAGACTCGTGTCCCTCAATGCAGCCTGCGAGCGCCGCCAGAAGAGCTGACTGCGAGCTTTCCCTATAGATAGGCTTTCAGTCATCGTGAATGATGACACGCCCATGCACTCGAATTGACAGCGGCTCCTTGCTTAGCTTGGTGGACGTCGTTGAGCAGGATCGCTTGCTGGGCGGTATAGGCGCACCGATCTGGCTCAACGATTCGCCTGAGACCAGTAATGCTTCTGCTTCTGCTTCTGCTTCTGCCTCTGCCTATTTTGGTACCTGCTGCACCAGAATCGAGGATCTCCTGGCTTGAAAGTTGATTGCCTCTGTGACGTTCAGGTCACCTCGAACATTGGTCATAATATCGTAGATTTAAAACGGGCCATGGAAAGTCTCGTGATGATAGTACCGAGCCACACTCACCACCCCTTTCTTAGTAGCCTTTTGGAGCAGCCCGCCCTCTTCCTCGCGCTCAATATACTGCCACGAATCCTTGACAACAAGCGGCGTTTGTGGGTCGTCTTCACGAATGGCCCTCCAGCAGGTGGTCGCCCGACCGGAGATACAGGTGCACGTTGCATCAGCTTGTCAAGAATAAGTCACTCCGTTTCGTTGAATCCGGAGAATCCGTCGGCCGGCCTCGGTAGTGATAGTCGGGTCAAAGCCTAGATGCTCCTCGTCCATCCAAAGGAATCCAATAATCGTGGACACAAACTGCAGTCCGTCCTTATTGATGTCAAATTGTTATGATGCGATCCCTCCAAGACGGGTCAAATTCCTAGATTCTCATCAGAACCCGCAGAGTGTGAAGCCTAGGACAAAGCGACGTGTGTCCTGAGCCGCAAGGACCTCCCTGACATACCTCGCTAGATCACGCCATGTTCTGGATACGATGTCGGCTGACGGGTTGCTCTTCAGTTCACCTGGCACAAGTACCTACGACCATCTGGAGTATTGTTAAGAAGGGCGATAGTTAACAAATGCTTGATTCAGGGAAAGTCTAGGTTGAAAGTCGACTTCGCTGGAGTTGACCGATGAGATAAGTCTCGATAAGTCGACAAAAAAAAAAAAGAAAAGAAAAAAAAAATTAATAATAATAATAATAATAATTTTTCGCCGTTCCCCCGCGCAGGAAGCAGACGGGATGCTCGAAGGGCTTGCAGTGCGACGAGGAGGTCGAGGGGTGAGATCTCGAAGCTGATTTAACGCGCCTGGCTGGCCATCCAGGCTTCTATCTTTGCAAAGCGACCGGAAGGAGGCGCGAAATGCATCGAGGCCACGTCCGATAGGGTTTTCGTCGATGATTTTCGCCTGATCCGTCATTTGCGACAGACGTGGCGTCGTCAGGAGACAACGGCACAGGACATTTGAATAAACATCATACCTACACCTCAGTGTCCTGGTTAGAGTAGGAATGAGGTCGCGCTCTGACGTGATGGCGCCGCATTAACCAGCTAGACACCAAGCTACTCTGATCTAGCCAAGAAACCGGCTCTATTAGGCTTAGATCTATTAAATTGAAGTGCTATAGATTGAAATACATTCGACAGAGACAGATTTATATAGTAATAAATAGATGTATTTTATAGAGATCTAGTATTAATTAAATAGTAGTATTTTATTTTAATGATAAATATTGCTTGTTGTAATAGTGTGAAGGGGTGCACCACTGCGCCAATAGACCAAAAGATCCGTCAGTGCTAGCAACACATGCTAGGCACTGCCCCTTACAACAGCTTAGAAGGCCTATGGCCACGGGCTCGCGGGCCCCGTTACACTTGTTTAAAACCTCTTCCTTAGAGCCAGTCTGCGGTAGAGAAGAATGGAAGAGAAGAACTGTGTTAAGGGATAGGATGTCGCCCATCAGAATAATCAAGAACGGACTTCAATCAGTATAAACGGGCCAGGAGTGTAACAGCCACGAGGTCTTGATGTACGTCTGTCTCAAACCGTCTCGGTAACCTGGGCTGATTACCTGACGAGCTTTTCATCCAGTCAGCTTGGTCGTATTTACATGGAAGCCATCCTTTCCTGTTCCTGACATGGTACCAGGCAAGTCACGCTTCCTGTTGCAGATGCTCATCTTCAACCCTATGCATCATGTCCTTCCATGTCTGTTGCTCCCCTCGGAACCCTTTCTGTATCCTGTGTTCGCCTACTTCTCAAAAACACCGCTTTTCATCGTTCCATCGCACCGCGATTTAGCAGTCAACCAGCATCCGCTTGACTGTCGGCACAGCCGTGATAGACGCATAGCCCTCGCCACTCTATATGTCCCTTGAGACATGCCCCCTTGGGACGGCTTTGCCCGAGAGATCCCGCCTCTGTCCTATGGAGTTTATCCTTGGATGAAGCACAGCTTTTACATCATCCCGATAACAGCGGATGGCCGTAAACGCGGCGGTAATGCTTGCTCTCAATGCTCTGTGCGCATTCAGAGCACAGGCAAATCCGAGGCATGTCTCCAGAGATGTCGCTCTGGGTCGAGTAAAGTATTCTTCGTAAAGAATCACTTCGCTTCGCACTAAAGATAAAAAGGTCATGGAATATTAAAAGTCGAACCTGTGACTCGCGTTAGATCTTTACAGCTCTCAATACTATCCAAAAGTTGGGAAAGGGTTAGCAGGGGCGTACTCACCATCCATGCAGTGTGTTTTCCCACCACATGTGTTATATGTGCTTGGTGGAGAAAAGAAGGAGAAATGATTGCGTTCCCTTTGGAGAACGACTCAGATATCGTCATTAAATGCTTATGGTTGTTCCTTCGCCTGCTCCATGCCTGGAGTAAGGGACAGTGCGCGCCGGGTAACTTTTTGATGCCCCAAAAAAATAAAAATAAAGAGAAACAAGAAGAACATGAAAACATGACATGAAAGACGGCCGCCTATCATCCCATGTACGCATCTTCCGAAGGCATCACCGTCGTCTGGAGAGAGTGCATGCGAATGCCGTCTACGACGCTATCGCTGCTGCCGATGCTACTGACGCTGCCGATGCTGTTCAGGCGCCGCTGCTCGCTGTTGCGCACGAGCTTCTGCACGTAGCCCTTGGCCTCGCTCTCGACCCAGCGGTCAATGTTGGGGTCGTTGCAGTCGGTGTGGTGGATCAGATGGCTCTTGACCTGGCCGAGCTCCTGGCGGAGGCGCTGGTACTCGAGGTGGAGGTCGGTGTTGCGCGCCTCGAGGGCCGCCTTTATCTCCTTGAGCTCGTCGACCTTTTCCTTCTTCTTCTGCCGGCACTTTGAGGCGGCGACCCGGTTGCGCTGCTTGATCATGTCCCTCTTTTCTGTCTCGCTGCAGCGGCGTCGGCGACCCTTTCTACCCTTAGTGTTTGTTGTGGTCTTTGGCGCCTTCTTTTCTGTGCCGCTGGTGCCGCCCTCGGAGAGTCCTGCGAAAATGGACGTGTTTCCGGGCGATTCGTCCATGTCGAGGATGTCTTCCAATGGGGACAGTGGGGAGCCGAAGTCGTGTTCAGTCTTGCGCAAGGGAGACACGAGAGAGGCTGAATCGCTCTGGAACTCGGTTTCCATCATGCCCATGTCCTGCACGAGCGGTGGAAAGTCCTCGAACAAAGAGCTCCACGAGCCGAACGATGTTGGCAGGGGATAGTGCATGTTTCCAGCGGTGGTTCCAGGGTCCATCATCTGGAGCCGCGGGTCGATGAGAGCGGCCATGACATTGTGGGAGTCCATATTGCGCGTTGTTTCTTGGGATGCTTGGATTGTACTTGTAGACTTGCGCCGGAGGTTCCAATGCGGGCAGAGTCCGTTTGAGATAGATGTATTGACAAACGGCAGTGCCGGTTGAAGCAAATCTGTTTCCGGCCTCGGATATGTGTACGAACGTCGTGGCCTGGAGAGGTCTGGTGTTGTTATATCGAGGATGCAGATGAGATGCTCCGGGACATGGACAGAGCAAAGGGCTGAAAAGAGAACGTCCTGCGTAGGTACTATCGGTGTCTGTTGGAGACCGTCGAGTAATATGTACTGGGGAAGGTAATGGACGCTGTGAGATGAGTGAATGGTGCTTGGTTGACCACTACTAAGGTAGGTAGACACGTGTATCGTCCCGTGTGTGATGGATGAATATCAGGTGGGGAGAATAGCTCCGGCACAGAGATGGCGATCATTTATATACAGGTACTACCGGATCTGGAGAACCTTTCAATGGGGAAACACGCAAACCTGCTTCTTTCTCGGATTGCTCATGGCCAAGCTCCACCACTAGTTCATGTACCATTAACTGGCGGCGTGTACTCCGTATGGAGGCGGTACATGTGCAACCCTTCCTCTCGCTGTCGTCAGACGCCGGCAAACGGGGGACGCAGCTCTGCCTAGTTTTGGCGTTTGCAGTCGCACTTGTTTGGCCCAGGAACGGGCCCCATTTTGATCTGGGTTAGCGAAAACTGCCTGCTTCCATCTCCTCCAACTGGTGCACCCGTGTGGCGATCCAGGTATTCGGCATTGTGCGATGTCGAGATGGATGGGGAGTGAGAGGCTCTGGTGGGCTCTCGTGGTCACCATCAACTGCAACTCGTTCTGCTGTCTCATTGCAGCGATTTGGATTCGTCTATATGAATCGTCTTGGTAAATTCACAAATGATTTCCCTTCGATGAGTACCTGCATCAGCGAGCCGTGTGCCGTGCAGCAAACAAGATTGGCGGCATCACGACTGTTAAAGAGCGCTGGCACAAGCAGCTTGCACCGCCACAGACGCTTGGCCCATATGGCCTTGTATAGCCGTACCCACCAGCCACAGCCGACTCATGCCGGCTACGTCACCAGCCCAAACCCCTCGAGATCACCATCTGCGCCCGGGTGTTGCGCCTACGCTGATTGGCCAATTCGCTGCGGCTTTGAGTTTCTTGCCTCCGTGCGCAGTAACAGTTTTGTGACGTCTTCAATTGATGGGCAGCAAGAATCGCCCAGAAGAGGCTGCTGTGGTGCATATGAGTATGACCCAGCAGCCGCTGTGAGTGGCTTCGGCGCAAGCAGCTCTCCACACAGTTCGAACCTAAAGCTCCGGCCGCTGGAACTTGGTGTTCCAGGCAGATTGACACCGTGACATTCGCCTTCGAACAACAGCATGGACACAGTCTGCGCAACGAGCAAAAGCGCCTTCGCCCTGACGTCAGCCCGTGCGGGATGAGAGAGGGAGAATTCCAGCTCTGCGGCATTGGAACCTGGATACTGCTGTTGGTACTTCGTACTAGGTATGCCGTCGCACAAGCCATACAATCAGGCACGCGCTACCAACTCGTCGAAAATTCAGAGACGGACGATGTTCGATTCGATAGACTGACTAGAGCTGCCAGTCTGCCGGCGGTTCTGGTAAGCTGGATTTGCTGGAGACAGCGAAAGGGCTGCTGCTCGGTGTCTGACGGAGTCTATGCCATGCCCACCCCCTAACCTGCCTGCCCGGACCCGGAAACCGAGAATCCCTATGGGAGGGGCATAGAAGCAGGAGGCAATGGTCCACTTATCATTGACGAAAGGGGATAGAGACACATGCGTTCTACTTGGCACGACAGCGTCAACCAAAAATGTTTCTATGATACTACGGAGTACCTATACTCCAATCTTTTCAAAGGATTCGAGACGTTAGCAATGGCGTGCTATAGAACGGCGATGTGCAGTGACGTGTCAAGTCAACTAACTACAAAGGCGATTTGCTGAAATCGCGGGATGGACACAAACGCAATCAAGAAGAAAGAGCACAGCGAGCACGAAGTGAGCGTGGCCTCCATGCCGGTATCATCACCAGGCTTCACCGTCCAGTACTCGGTAGTACATGGGACATCTTATACGCCTCCTCGTCAGCGAATTTTCTTACTTGGACAGCAGAGAAAACTCCCTCCGCCAGCGAAATGCTTCGCCGGATGATGCGTTCTGTCGTCACTGAACTTGCAATGAGCATTCGGGAGGAAGCTCCAAAACCCAATCAGGCGTACCGAGGACGACGTCCGGCATCTCGTCTGAGAGCGCTTAAACGGCTCTAACGACCAGAAACTCCTCGTCTGTTTTTAACCGGTCGAGCTGTTGTCATATAGGGCATAGCTTTTATTCTCGTCTGTGAGTATCTTCTGCCTGGAATGATGCTTTTCTACCTTTTCTGCGAGCAATTGGCACAAGGAGGAGCTCCGCATGCACCTAATCGTCACGGACCATGGCATCGAGACAAATCGTGAAGGTGTGTGGAGATGGCGTAGACGAGCTTGCTTCAATCGTGCTATTTCCGAGGCCTTTTGTGTTGTTCTGCTTTCTCAAAGCTCTCTCGATCTTACTCGATCCAGCCAATCCAGGCTTTTCGAGAAGCTCCCGTGTGCAGATATCAACACTGGAAGACGGCCTTCCAAAACCGTCGTCAACAACTTTGCTGATCTGGAGGTCCTAAACGGCCCGAATTTTGAGCAATTGCTCACACATCTGCCCAAGGAGAGCTCTCTCCCAACTACTGCAGGATCGGAGAGACGCTGAACATTGTCAATTGGCCACCCGTGAGCTGTACCAACATGAGGTACCTACTGTATCTCAGCTAACTTCTGTCTGATCCAATAATGAAACTGCCAAAAAGGAACTCCATTGAGGTTGGCGCGCCCTGTTGCTCGATTATCTCGAGGCCCAAAAGGACTCGCAACTTCAGACTTTATGATCCCTGTTGACGAGCCTGCTATTGCAACTAAGTACAAAGTCGGCAGATAAACCAGAAATCCGCCTGTGTAACTCGATCAAGTATTGATTGGCGTGTTTGATTCTCGCAACTTAGATATCATTGATCGTCGCTCGCAAGTCGATTGATTGGCCACCGGAAACTCCTCCATAACCGAGTAGGCCTCCACCACAAGGTGTTTTCACATGGCTGCAGTAGTATCCATGACACTTGATTGCGTTGAGGAAGACATACAAGTACATGTAAGCCCGCCTGTATGATTACAAGCGTCAGTGTCATGTATTATTCTGCTTGTTGGCGCTGACGGGAGATAGCCAAGGTCTCATACTGTTTAGTGTACGTCCTTTTGCCCAATTCATCCCGTAAGCTTGAATGGGTGAGCCTCGGTATTGAGCACATAGTCGTCCAAGCTGATGATATCCGGCGTCGTAAACACAAGGTAAAAGTATTTCAACGTCTCAGCGAGCCAGAAGCTCTATATGCCAGCAAGATGGGGCCGCTGTCAGTCTACAGAAGGAGAAAAAAAGAGATTTCTTTAGAAAGAAATATTGCTCACCTCCATATAGTCCTCCTGAGGCAGCTCCTCAGCCGCTGTCGTGACGTCCAGCACTGCGGCATTCGCATACTGCGTCCTGGTCCCCTTGTCAACAGCAGTAAACATGTCCCACGCAGCGTCTTGGAATTCTCGCCGTCCTGTGATCCGGTACGAGTAAAAGACGCTCTCAATGGCCTCTGGTCTCAGAAGATATCGTGGGTCCTTGGCACTGGTGAAGCCCTTGGGTAGATGGGGTTCCCACTCCGGCCTCTTGTCACGCTCCTGCAGCCAGTATTCCTCATCCCAAGGGCAGTGAGAGCGGTTCCTGCACGGTGCCATATCGAGCCTCTCGGGCATCATGCCGGTGGGGAAGGCCCGGTACGCGTAGACGCAGCCGTTGGTCAGTTTGATGCCGGTGTCGACATCGTCCGTCCGGCCAAAGAGTTTGCCTGCCAGGCCAAACATGCCCCCCACGAAACAGGCCAGGTGCTCTGTCTCGGGATCCAGCACCGGCTCTCCTCCATCGTTGATGTTGACGTTTCCGGGCATGAGGATGTCGTCGTCGTCGTCCTCCTCCTCCGGCAGCATGGGACGGAACAGAAAGTGTCGATCCGCCGCCTGCAGAAACGTCCTGGACATGGTCTCGTACTGGGGCTCGCCGCCGCCCAGCAGCTGATGCATCTTGGGCAGATACTCATACAGCGAGTCTGCGCAGCCGCCGAGCGTGAAAGCGCTGCCGCTGACGACATCCTTGGCCTTCATGTGGACATTCATCGGCCAGACCCCCGGAAGGCTCGTCTTGTTCTGGCCCTGGTAGAAGACGTCCATGACCTGCGACACGGCGCTGTAGTATTTCGGGTCGCCCGTGACCTGGGACAGGTGCGCCAGCTCGAGGGACAGCGTGCCCGGCGACGCTGACACGACGGAGCCTTCGACGAGCAGCCCTTCTCCCGACTGGGCAGAGTAAAAGTTGAGGAAGTCGACAGGCATGCCGTTCTTCGTGTTGAAGCCGGCATAGATGAGGTCCCCCAGCTCGACGGCCTTGTCCAGCAGCAGCTCCCTGCCGCTGAGATCGTACGCCGCCAGCAGGCCCCCGAGATAGCGAATGTTGGTCTCAAAGATGTTGACGCGGCTGCTCGTCGAAGAGCCAAAGTCAATCTCCGCCACCGCCGCCACCGCCTCGTCGAACTCGTCCCGCAAGCCCATGATCCAGAGCGTGTCCAGGGAGTCGACGAGCGTCGCCGCCCAGCCCGAGAACTGCTCCCTCGCGCCGCCGCTGATGGGGAGCAGGGCGTCCTGCTTCCAGGCGAACGTCTTGTAGCCTCGCCATGCCCGCTGGAAGACTTGCCTGACCGCGAGGAGCCTCTCGGTGCGCTTCTTGGCGGCGGCTGGTGATTCGGGCTTGAATTGGTGCTGGATGCGGGGGAGGGGTTTGCGTTGACGGGGCAGCTGGGTGTTGTTGTTTGGAGGATAGCGGAAAGTGATGCTGCTCCAGTCGAAGCTCGACTTGAATTTGGGATACTGCCCGGGAGACGCGCCGTGATTCATGAAATGCTCAAGGCGGCACCATTCCGATGTTGGCGCCCGGGATAAGAGTCCGAGGTGCCATATGGTGAGGATGGCGAGCGTCAGGAGGATGCTATTCCGGATGACTCGTGGGCGGCCGGCAAACATTGCGAAGAAATTTCACGGCGAGGCGCGACGACGCTCTTCCTCAAACATTCCTAGACAGGATAGACACGGGCGAAAAGAATGGGTGTAACTTGAGACGTGGAGAGATTGCTTGGGGGCTGTTCAGACAAAAGGGAGAGACATGCCCCAAGTTAACGTGTTGTCCCAGACTCTCCCTTCCACGGCGCATAAAATCAAGTACGTGGTATAGAAAAGAAGCATCAACAAGCTTTGATCTACGACTTGTTGGACGCGTTTATATGTTAGACAGCTGGGTTGTTTCGTGTCGAGTTGCTTGATCTCGCTTAGACAGGACGTCTTGCATAGCTGTTTCCGACCGACGAGGTTCCAGACCGTCGAGCCTCCTTTTTCTTTGCCACGGCAGGGAGCTTCCCCAATCAGGGAAATCACTATCGAATGAAGATCGTGCCTATTTATACAGATATTCTATTGGCGAATGAATAATGTGTCTTTGAGAGTGTAGCCTAAATAAAGAACGCGGCTATATTGGCAGTTCTTGGTTTGCTTTGTTGGCCGGCTGTGATGCTGCATTTTCATCGAACGGATAATATTACTGTCGCTAATTCGTCCATGATGGCGAGAGATGTTTTTTGTTTTGTGACTTTACTGCATTTATGCGGCGGCACAACTGTGAGCTTGGCTTCCGGTATGCTTAATTTACTCCGTTACAGGGGACTGAAGATCTTTATTTCAGCTCGGGAAGATCCCGCCTATCACGGAAACGATGGGCTGAAATAAGGGTCCTTCACCCTCGGATTCCCTAAAATAACCCGTCGTGGGAGAACATCCATATTGTACACGTATGCAGCAATACAAGAAACTTTATGTCATTCTATAACGCTTTAACGAGCCGTAAAATCTCATATGCGCCAGTGCTTGGGCCTAATGTACAGTTTCCTCCAATGTTATACAATATCTTTTCGCGCATATCCTCTCACCTCCTCTTACGCTCCTCCTCTTCTTCGAACCTCAGCTCCTCCTCAACCTCTCCATCCATCTCCCTCTCAATCTCCCTCTCCTCGAGGTCCTCCGCCTCCAAAATCTCCTTGATCAGATCCGTCTGCCTATCGCGCTTCCCCTTCGACCGGCGCTCCTTTCGCGCATTCTTCTCGTTGGCCGACAGCCGCCCTCCGTCCATTGTGATCTCGACCTTGCGAGGCTTCTTGCCGCCCTCTGCTCGCTTCCCTCCATCGTCTACTCCGCTGCCGACTCGCACGCTGCGAGCGACCTTGGTCTTGGCCCCGAGAGCCCAGAGGTCGCCCCAGTGGGACTTGCGGGCGTCGTGGTAGGCGAGCTTGCTGAAGCTCTTGGGGACCGTCCAGCGTTCAATCTTGCCTTCGGGCGTGCAGACGTCGAGCGTGACGTGGCCTTTGCGCTTCAGCGGAGGCAGAACCATTCTCGGCAGGGTTTGCATATCCGGGCTCTCCTGAGAATGTTCGTATCCCGCAAAGGCCTGCTCGGTAGCCTTCCATCCGGGACGCTGGTCTGCCTTTAGGTGGCCACGCTGGATCGCCACATAGCTGAACTCGACGTCGCCCTGAGTATTTGAGCTGTTGCCCAGCATCTTGGTGTAGAAGGTGGGCCGAGTAAAGCGCTGGTTGAAGTAGCAGTAATCTTTTCGGCCCTTGCTCTTGCCGGCCTCTTTGTACATGGGGCACGTTCCGTGGTTGGTGCACGGCGCGATGATGTGGCCGGCTTCTCGCTCTCTATGGAATGCCGGATTCAGTTCTTCCGCCGCGATGCCGGGCTCGCCGTTCTGAGGCAGGAGGAATTGCTTGAGCAACGTGTCTCTGACATGTGCGACAGCTTCGAATCCTCGGGGATGGGCTTTCTCGATCACGATAAGCACGCCACCGTCCTTGTTGAGAAGAGTCCACAGGTTGTTCAGGATGGCCTGGCGGTAGTGATCCTGCTTCTCCTTCAAGAAAAGATGAGAAGCGATGATGAGGTCGTAGCTTTTCCGCGGCTGCGGTTTGTCGCCGGCATCGAGATGCTCGCCCTGCGTTTCTCCAGAGTGTTCGTAATCAGGCAGCCGAGGCAGAAACGTTGTATTGTGGAGGAAGCTCTTCAGCCGGTGACGCAGACGATCCGAGCCGGTGATGACGGTTTTCCTTCCGGGAGGCTGCAAACCCTTCACCTCGCCCTTTTCCCGTAGTAGGTCCCATTCTGCGTTGAGTATCTGCTCCCATGCCACAAGGCCGGCTCCGCCAGCTCCGGCATCCAGGACACTCAACCCTGCGTTTTCACTCCTTTTCAGCCGCTCTTGAATCCAGTCGCTGCCCAACCGCCTCCGCACTTCTCGTAAGACCGACGTGACCGACGCATAAGCAGGAGGGAGGAAGCCGGCGAGGAACGCATCGGCCTCAATCTCCGTCATGTGTCGTTGATCAGGGGGCAGGCCGACGCCGCCCATCTGCCCGTTCTTCTTCCCTTCAGGCGTGGACGGTGAAGTTGGTAGTCCTGGGCCGCCGAATGCGGCTTCGGCAGCGGCCTTGACGTGAGACAGATGGGTTCGGTCCAACAGGTCCCGGATAGGTGTGACGAGTGAGCTTTGAGGGAGTGAGATCTCGACCGGGCTTCCGTGGAACCTGCCCTGCAGGGTGTAGGGATGGAACCGTCGTGCCTCGCCTGAAAGCACCTGCATCTCTGTCCCAGGATCTTGCTCATCAAAGAGGACTTCCTCCTCTTCCATCTCATAAGCCTCCTGCTCTGCTTCGGCTTCTGCCCTCGCTGCTGCAATCTCATCCTCCATTTGCTTCTTCTGAGCGGCCTTGAAATCCTGCATCAGCCTCTGCAGCGCCTCATGCTCCCTTGGGTTTCTGGCGACGGCATCGATGTAAGTTGATGACTCCTCGACTGCCTCCACGGCAGAGTCAGATGCCGACAGCTGTTCCCTTGAAGGCTCCTCTACCTCCCCATCCGCGAAGGGTAGTCTGTAGATGACTTCTTCGAAGCCTCCGTCTTCCAACTCTCTCAGCAGCGTCCCTTCATCGCTTAACCGTGTCACCTCTTCCATGTCCGCATGCGTCGGGATGCCGACATCTTCTGGCGCCGTCTCTCGCAGTGGCGGTCCGTAGAGCCGTTCGTACAGCGCATACTCTTCCACGCTGAGATATCCCTTTGGAAGGGTGTCTCGAAAGCGCTGCTTCGCCTCACGAACGACCTTTTCAAGATCCTCTGCAGATTGTTTTGCTGGGATATCTGACGGCTCTTGAAGAGCAGCTTTGGAAGTGGAAAAACATCGTCTGTTTAGTTGAGACGAGCCTCGCTGAATTTGTATGCGTGGGGCAGTCGATCTTGTCAGTGATGCCGGTGAGAATGAAGCATGTCTGGACTGTCTCGACGCCGTGAAGAGATAGGCGTAGCTGCACTTGGGGCAAGCATTCCTGATCCCATTCAACGACAGCATCTTCAATTTTGGCACCGAAATTTTGCAAGGAGAGAAAATGCTCTTCTTCTTCCTGAATAATGGCAGTTCTCAACTTTTTCAAGCTTTCACGGTCACGTGTTTGCCACGATTGTCGATAAGCCTGCATGCGATTCTCGAATCAGCGCTAACAGGCGCACTACAAAGACGAGCTCCATTAGACCGGTTCAGCACGATGGAAGTTGTGCATTTTTTATCTTTCCTTTCAAAGATTGTTCATCTCCTTTTCATAAGAGATATGGGATAGTAATAATAAGCAGGCAACGGCATTGTAGGCATCTCCATTGTATGCCACCTTGGCTGACGCAGTTGTAGAAACGCTCACGCACAGAAACAACACGGCTTGTCCGTCCACCAACCACCACTCATTCGCCTCCGTCGCATCATGAACATCATAAGAATCACAAATCAGCTAGCGTCTTGAATGCCGACCTCTGTTGCTGCGGCCGAGCACTGCCTGCTGGCGCCGGTCCTCCAGCCGCCGCCGGCTTCCCCCGCGGTGGCTGCTGTCTCTTCGGGTTGAACATGGACTGTTCCGCGCCCTTGTACGCATCAATCTGGCCTGCCAGTCAGCAATTCTGCTCCCTTCCCTCCCCCCTACGCTTCCTGTTTGTTACGTGCCGAAAATAAGGACGTCAGATAGAGTCCGACGAGCATCATGACGAGGTTGAGCAGCACGGTCACACTCCAGTGACGCTGGCCGCCAGGGACGGGGCCGTCGCCGCCCAGGGTCCTGCCGGGAGTCTTGAAGACGTCTTCGGCCTTGCCTCCGTCGCCGAGCGCGACGGCCTTTGTGACAGCCTCGGTCAGGGCAGACGGGTTGGCGCCGCGGATGGTCTGGACAGTCGAGCCGTTGTGGAAGATGACGAAGGTGGGCATGGCCGTGACGCCGTTGGTGCGGGCGATGTTGGCCTGGTTGTCGACGTTGACCTTTGCAAAGGCGACCTTGTTCGGGCGCGAGTGCTCCTTGGCGAGGCGCTCGAAGTGAGGCGCGATCATCTTGCAGGGACCGCACCAATCGGCGTAGACTGTCATGGTTTTTCGTTAGCAGTGATGCATCTCTTGAGTCTGTCGCAAGATGGCTCGTCTCAAATCCAGCAAAGTGCCGTACAATCTGCGACCACGACGGAGTTCTTCGAGAGCAGCGACTGCCACTCGCCGTCGGACTGGACATGGATGGGGCCGCTCATGGTGACAATGCGCTCGTAGATGCAGGCAAGGTTGTACTGATGTCCGTGTCTGAGGATTTGCTGCTGCTGTTGGTGGTTGAAGGTGTCGAGTCGGAGCGTGGCCAGGTTGCGCATCTGCCGCTTGTTTGGTTGTTTGCTGAGTAATGCGAGAGGTGCCAGCAGCTGCAACTTTAAGGTATGGCGTAATGCAAGGGCCAAGGCAATCAACGACTACCGCGTTAGGACTAGCTTATGTTGCCTCTCCTGAGTCTCCGGCAGGCAAAGCAAGATGCGCTGAATCAGACACTACAGCATCAAGCTCAGGTGTACTGAAGACATGATAGGTGATATCTATGTTTATTGCACTGGATTTTCTCCATTTCAACTTTTGACTACTGAACTTTCATCTTTGCATCAGGAGACAAAACACCGTCTCGCCAAAGCTTCCCCATCTCTTCAGGAACGGTGTAATACTATTGGTTCGTTGCCCTACCTGCAATCAGAAGGGCAACCCAGCTGTTCCGGTCCAGTTTGTAACCACATCGCAGCAATAAAACAAAACACCAAACCTTTTCTTCTTTGGTGCTTCTGCTTTCCTAGTAACCTTGACCCAGCAGTCTCTCAAATATAGTGTCAGAGTGCAAAAAGGCAAAAAAAGACTGACGGGTGTGGGATTCGAACCCACGCCTCTTGCGAGATGCGAAATCCTTTTGAGGGATCAAGATATTCTCTTGAGTCGCACGTGTTAGACCACTCCACCAACCCGCCTTGGCGTCTATGAAAAAACCGAAAGAAACTCTGGTATAATAAGCTTCACTCTTTTTTGCCCAGCTGAGACACACTGATGCGCCTTGTTCGACGAGAAGGAATGAGGTCTTTACGAGTCCAGCTTTCCTTCATTGTTGCATTATAAATGCAAGCTAGATCATAAGCTATTTGAGTTGAAGAATGGTATCTCACTTTTAAGCAGACGAAGTGGAACGTTGAGTTAACAAGTCGTTGATAGAAAGGCACTTCCTTGGACGACGGAACCTAGATAAATATTGAGTATAATGAAAAGTAAGCATACAATGAATTGCTTCCTCACTGTAGATAACAAAACAACAATCACCAATACATGTCAAATAGAAAAGAGAGCCCAAATCAGAACAGTCTTCTAGAAGGAGTACCCAGTTTTCCCAGTGCCAGCCTCTACTGAGGAGGAGGATTCGTGCAGTTCTTCGTCCAGACTGGCGATGAAGACTCGTCGTTCATTCTGAATGCTGTCAATTTCATTGTCAAGGCAGTTGTCTGGGTCTTCAAGAAGCTCGGCGTCCTCGATGAGGAGGTTGTTGCTGTCTAAAGGTTCCTATCCACATGGGATGGCATCCTCGCCACAACTGACAGCATCACACACCAGTATTAATGCCGCTCTAGACTTTGGACAGAATTTCCTGGACACCATTGAGATCGAGATCAACAATTGGCTCGAGGAGCTCCATGCTGTGCTTAAAGTTCAGCTGCCCATGCTGCGGGAAAACAGTTGCGCCCCCGCATCTGTTTAATCCAAGAGCTTGAAAGAGTCGGTCGTCGCCGAATCCTCTGCTGTTGCCAATGGCACTGATAGATGATGACGAGATCAAGTCGGGCGCTGCGTATAACATGTCAGCCTATTTCTTCCTACGGCGGAGGTACCACTAATGCTATTGTTACTAGCCAGTTTAAAAAAAAGAATTGCGACTTTGACGAGCAGCGCGAATTCGCGGCGGCGTCCTGGGATAACGGGATTGAGAGTGTCATGATATATGCCGGGTTGGCGGTGCAGTAGATTTGCACGTATGGCAGATATGGGTGCGAGATCTACACCTTTGTGGGGGTGTATGGGGTGAGCTTACTTGGAGCAATTATAGCATTGTCAAATCCAATTGTTTTGCTATGCCATTAACAAGTAGGAAACGACGTGAAGCAGTTTGTTTGCATGGTGTAAAGAAGAAGGTTGAAGTCCTCTCTCTGTGACGAAAGCCAGCAATAAGCATCTGGCCGCGTGGATGCTATATAAGCTAATAATAATCGGCGCTATATCACCTAAGGATCGATAGCTCAGTGGTAGAGCGAGAGATTGCAGATCTCTAGGTCACGCGTTCGATCCGCGTTCGGTCCTTTCTTTTTCCCTTTTTTTGCACTTTTTGCTGTTATGTTTTTTGTCCCGTGTCTCATCTTGATGCCTTTATAAGGGCAAATAAATTTGCGCCCACTCAAGGATCGATAGCTCAGTGGTAGAGCGAGAGATTGCAGATCTCTAGGTCACGCGTTCGATCCGCGTTCGGTCCTTTTCTTTTTCGACTTTTTTGGCGGTATGTGATGCCAGCCTCTTTTCGTTGAAAGAGTCTGTAATGCTTCCTTTTTGCTGCGCAGGGGTTGTGGCTGGAGGGATGGTGTCTACTTAGTAGGCGAGATTGTTGTTCTTGTCCGTTTGTCCTGGATGTTATGTATATCACAGGTTGGTAGAGTGTTGAAATAGAAGGGGGAAAAGCACACTACCAACTTCGAATATTTTCAAGCTTATCGTCGTGAATACTTCCATTAGCAAGAACTAGAATTCTTCCGCAAGGGGGCGTTCTGTCTCTTGGTGTAGTCGCTTTTGGAACGTGTCTTCAAATGGCCATGGGTATTTGTCAACATTAACACCATTCTTGCAAGTTGATCCTGTGCATTGATTTGGTGCATTGTTGAATCATAAATGGATGCAGACACGAGTGATTTGAACAGGAGACAGAATTACATAGAGACCCCAAGAGCTGCTCATGATTGAAGCTTTATAAGACATTTCTAGACGTGGAGCTCACAGGTTTCGCCGTCGCCGCCCAACTGCCTACCCTACAATCGTTGGATTATTTCTTATCGATAAGATAACAATGCCCCGATTAAAAAGTTTCCCATGCAATAGCATGCGACGATGCTCGATGAAGCAGAATCCTGACCTCAACCCTCGACAAAATCCACATTCGTTCCAGCGCCTGCGCCCGAAGTCGAGATGCCTGCACGAACTGCTGGGAAGCAGAAGCCGCCGCATAAACCGAACAAGACAGAACTCAAGAAGCAGAAGAGGAAGCGCGAGCATGAGGACTTGCACAAGCTCCAGGAGGCCATTGCCGGGCTGGTGAGTGGAACGGAACGCAAGCTTGTTCATGCTTGTTGACCTGATGGCTAACCATGATTCTTTCTAGGACCCCAAGTCTGGCAAGTTAAAGACGTTTGCCGACTTGTCTTCTGCGATCTCACCCGCGACGGCATCAGGCCTTCATGCGTCCCACTACACGAACATGACCGAGATCCAGGAACAAGCGATCCCGCTGGCATTGCAGGGCAAGGACATCCTCGGCGCGGCGAAGACGGGCAGCGGAAAGACATTGGCTTTCCTGGTACCGGTGCTCGAGAAGCTCTATCGCGAACAATGGACAGAATTCGACGGCCTGGGCGCTCTGATCCTGTCCCCCACTCGAGAGCTGGCGGTGCAAATTTTCGAAGTGCTGCGCAAGATCGGACGACACCACGCCTTTTCAGCAGGTCTGGTGATTGGTGGCAAGAGTCTAAAGGAAGAGGCCGAGCGGCTGATTCGAATGAATATCCTTGTCTGCACGCCGGGACGGATGCTGCAGCACCTGGACCAGACGGCCGGATTCGACGCGAACAACTTGCAGATTCTGGTGTTGGATGAGGCGGACCGAATCATGGACCTGGGATTCCAATCTGCGGTCGATGCGCTGGTTGAGCATCTGCCCAAGACGCGCCAGACGCTCATGTTCAGTGCGACGCAGAGCAAAAAGGTCTCTGATCTCGCCCGACTCAGCCTCAAGGACCCCGAATACGTCTCCGTGCACCAAGACGCCTCAACAGCTACACCCACCACCCTTCAACAACACTACATTGTCACCCCGCTCCCCGAGAAACTCGACACATTATACGGCTTCATCAAGGCGAACGTCAAGAGCAAGATCATCGTCTTCCTCAGCTCCGGCAAGCAAGTCCGGTTCGTCTACGAAAGCTTTCGACATCTCCAGCCCGGTATCCCGCTACTGCATCTGCACGGCCGCCAGAAGCAAGTGGCGCGACTGGAAATCACAAACAGATTCACCGCCGCAAAGACATCGTGTCTGTTTGCGACTGACGTGGTCGCGCGAGGAATCGATTTCCCTGCTGTTGACTGGGTCATTCAGGTCGACTGTCCCGAGGATGCTGATACGTATATTCACCGAGTAGGACGAACAGCCCGATTCCAGAGCAATGGCCGTGCCGTTCTCTTCCTCGATCCCAGCGAAGAAGAGGGAATGATCAAGCGACTAGAACACAAGAAGATCCCCATACAGAAAGTACACGTCAAGGAGAAGAAGAAGAAGAGCATCAAGAACAACCTGCAAGACATGTGCTTCAAGTTCCCCGACTTGAAGTATCTGGGACAGAAGGCGTTCATCAGTTATACAAGATCCATCCACCTGCAGAAGGACAAGGAGGTTTTCAAGTTTGACGCGCACGACTGGGACGCCTACGCAGCGAGCCTCGGCCTGCCCGGAACGCCGCAGATCAAATTCCAAAAGGGCGAAGACATCAAGAGGATAAAGAACGCGCCCCGCCAAGCCATGTCGAGCGACTCAGAATCAGACATGGACCTGGACGGAGAGTACGACAAGAGGAAGAAGGAAAAGAAGAAGCCAGAGGTGCGGACCAAATACGACAAGATGTTTGAGCGAACGAACCAGGACGTCTTGTCAAGCCACTACTCCAAGCTTGTCCTGGACGGAGGCGACGCGGCCAAGGGCGACGACGACGAAGACGACGACTTCCTGGCCGTCAAGAGGCGGCTCAACGACGAGGACCTCGACCAAATCGCCGGCAAGGCGCCCCCCAACAACGCCAAGGTCATACCCCTCGGCGGCAACGACCTCTACGTCGTCGACTCGAAGCGCCGCGAAAAGGCCCTGCAGTCGAAGAAGAAGATGGCGAAATTCCTCGGCAACGGCTCCAAGCTCGTCTTTGACGACGACGGCAACGCGCACGAGGTGTACGAGCTGCAGAACGAGGAAGACTTCAAGCAGCAGGGCCCCGCGGAGGAGCAGCGGCGCAAGTTCCTCGACACGGAGGCGGTCAGGGTCAAGGAGGCGGACTTGGACGACAAGATGCTCGCGAAGCAGCGCAAGCGGGAGAAGAAGGAGAAGAGGAAGGCGAGGGAGGCGGCGGAGCTCGCTGCTGCTACTGCTGCTGGTGGAGGCGATGCGCAGCTTGGTGGCGTGGATGGGGGCGATGGAGGAGAGGATCCGTTGGCGTTGTTGCGTTCCCTGCCTATTGCTGGCGAGGACAACGAGCACGATTCCGATGCGGAGCCGCCGCGCAAGAAGCCCAAGAAGTGGTTCCAGGACGATTCCGACGTGGAGGAGGAGGACGAAGGGGCGAAGAAGAAGGAGAAGAGCAAGGACGGGAAGAAGAAGAAGAAGAAGGGAGGGAAAGTCTTCGAGGTGGATCAGGAGCCGGAGACGCTGGAGGATTTGGAGGCTTTGGCTGCGGGTTTGCTGGATGGTTGAGGGGACCCTGGTTGGAATTTTGGTTGATATTGTTGTTGTTTGTATACATGTATTGCGGAGGTATAATTCAGAGCATGGTGATACTTTGCAGTTTAGAGTTCTCAAGAATTTGTATAAACAGTCACAACGCTGTGGAATATCCAGTCTCGGGCTCAAAACGACATCCCCTTTCTCCACCACGTCTCCCAATGTACGCCGCCAGTATATTGAAACATGATCACATGTCCCGTCCGCAATGTAATGCACTCAGACAACAGCTTCCTACCTATAAGCCATCACAAAGAAAAGACGAGAACAGTCCAACCGACAGACAAAGCAGCACATGCACAAGATACAGCAACCAAACCCCAAGGGGGCCGAATCGGTATTTCCGTTGTTTCTCATTTCAAGATACGTAAAAAGAGAGAAAGAAAAGTCACAATGCCCACCACCTGCTCTTTCCGTGCTGCGTTGAGTATGCGCAAGGGAAAAGCGAAAATAGGGGGGGTATTTCCTTTGTTTCGTCGCGAAGCTCTCATCTGCCCAAATCCGTACACATATCCGAACCTAATCTACGCGTGCGCCTGGCTCTCAAAAAAGAAGAAGACAAGTGAAAGCAATGCTTTCCCAACCAATAAACGAGACCGAGACGATGAAAGGAAAAAGAAAACCATCAAAATTCAAGATGAGATCGTATCAAACCAAACGCTCCTGTGACGCCGCCGAATGCTGAAAGTAGTTCTCGTCTTCTTCTCCCTCTCCCAGTGTTGTTTGGTTCCACTAATTGCCTACTTTATGTCCAAAGAGGCGAATGCGATAGAAACAAGTGTGATTGGGAGCACCGTAATTGCTTACGGCCCGAACAATCACCTGGTCCGTCTCCGCGTTGAGGGCCATCAGTTCGTTGCTGAGACGGTGAACGTGGACGCCGTCGTGGAGTTCCGCGCCCTCGTAGGTGAACTGCGTGACCTTGACAAACTGCGGAGGCAAGTCCGCGGGCGTGTGGTTCCAGTCCGACTCGTCTTCGACCAAGTGAGCAGCGGCAAAGTCCAGCAGACGCTCTCTCACAGCCCTGTCTTCGACCTTGATGTACACCTCGATCTGGCGTGGCCGTGCCCCGGGATTTGTCGTGGCACCGGGCAGAATGTGCTCAATCACGATATGCTGCGGGATGATCGAGTGGGCCATGATGACGCTCAGCTTCGCACCATGCGGGTTGCCGCGTTTGTTGACCTCGCGAGCGGCGCACCAACAGTCGCCATCGTCATGCCACGGGAGAAGAGCCTCGATGGGTGCGTACGGTTGAGCTCCCTTGAGGCCCTTGTCGTTGAGATGTTTGGCGTCGGGCTTGAACGTTGTCGAGGTTTGGGAGGGATCGATGATGGCGCCGGCGCCCACTCCAAAGTAGTTGAGTTGATTCTTGAGCTCCGAATCCCAGTGCGCACGGATCCTGCCCTTGGCCATGGCCTCCAGGTTGAGATCGGCAATGGCGTTGCGCACCATGCTGTCAACCAGCTTGGTAACCTCCGTCCGTGTCATGCTCGAAGAGTCGTCCTTCTTGGCCAGATCGACCGAGTCGCGAATGAGCTGTTCCAGCCTGGGCTGCAGCTCACTGATTTCGGCCATCATCTCCGCTCGATGGTTGGCAAACTCGTTCTTCAGGTACTGGAGGAAGTAGTCCCGAGTCACGATTGTGCTGCCGCTCTTGTTGCTCCCCACGTGCTTTTTAACAAGCTGATCAAGGCGCTTGTCGATGTCCTTGTCCGAGAGAGAACCAGTGATCTTCATCTTGTCCAGTATTGGGCGGAGGGTTTGCTCAACCTTGCGCTGGTTGTCCGTTGCCCAAGCCTCCCACATGTGCGGCAGCTTCTTGGCCAGTCCGTCGTTCGCCTCGTTGATCTTGGAGGCGATTTCTGGACGACCCGCCAGCCAGGCTGCGATGTCTTTCCACTGCTTCTCCGCCGATGGTTCGTAATGTCCGCTTCTGCCCTTGTTCAGCATGGGGAAGCTGCCGTCCTTCTCGATCAGATCCCGAATGGCATGCCAGAAATCTTGTGTGACGACAGGCTTTCCGTCCTTGAGAGTCATGTGCACCATTTTTGGAACGATCGCATTGAGCTTCTCGATTGACGACTCGTGGAGCTTCCCAGCACCTTTCATCAGGCGGAGGTCTCGTAGTACCTGGTTGATCAGATCCTGAAACTCGGCATACTGGTCGCCTCGCAGCTCGTCAAGTCCGGGGAAATCATCCCATGCGCTTCGTGAGGACCAAGGAACGGATGGAATGAAGCGTCCAATCTGAGAGGCAATGTCTCCAAAACCCGGAAAACTTGGCACGGGGACCGAAGGGACGGAAACTGAAGGCGCTTCTTCGAAGCTGGGCAGATTGGCAATGGCAATGCTGGATAAGACGACGGCCAGCAGGACGAAAGAGAAGCCACTGACGGTGTAAACCAAAACCTCACCAATACGCATCAACCGGTCCCGTAAGGAATCCGTGAAAAGGCCGGAGAAGAGGTTGACGACACTCTCCATGGCGGCGCTGAAGAACCAGGAAATAGCCCGCAAATATGTGAGGGGGTTGAACAGCTGTTGCCAGTTGATGGAGTCGTCGGTGAGTGCCGAATCGAGCTCCGAGTCATCGTCAGATTCCGGGTCCGAATATGTGGGAGAGCCGATCTCTCCGTTTTGCCAGTCCCGTTGCCGAAGCTGCCGCCGAGAAGTGCAGGGACAGAGAGACGCGAGAGCACGCCACCAGTTCTCTTGGCGTATTCGACGACCAGGGCCTTCAGTCTCTCGAATGTCGTCTTGCATGGCGTCATCCATCTCGCTGTGATCTGTTGGGAACAGAGGCCCCAGCTGGATGGCGGATTTGCCTGATGTACGCCAGGAGGAAGTAGCTGGAACCGTATGGCCAAGGAGGACATCATCATTCCGAGGGGGTATTGTCCGCTGGCCTGCAAGCCGTGACTGATTTGCTGAGCCCAGAATGGTCGATGAATTGGGGACACGCAGTCTTGCCGTGGACTGATTCTGTTCCGAAAGCCTGCTAGTGCTGGCCCCTTGACTTAACTGGGTGTCAGAATCGGGTGGGCTGACAGGTGCAAGGCTCCTTGCTCCTAGGAGGCTCTTGAAGGCGCCCCAAGCTCTGGTCGGAGCTTCACTGAGTCGGCTCGGCGTACTCTGGTCATGTTGGTCATTGCCAGCCTCGGGTTGGCTTGGTAGAAAGGAAGAAGGCGGGCGGGGTGGTTTCGTCGCTCTGGTCAAAGGAATCTGTTTGACGGCTGGCGGCGGCGTGGGTGACGACCTCAACGAGGCATTACCAAAGTAATCGCCCTCGGCATTGAAACTCCGCAAATCGGAATCATCACTTGGAGTGAGTTCTCCATCCTCATCCTCAGCGTTCTCGTCATCCTCAGATTCCTCGAAGAAAGAATGCTCGAAGGCTGCTCGCGCTGTAAAATTTGCGGCTGTGAGGAATAATCAGCATCATCCGACATGACTAACATTAGGGTGAAAAAAAGAACAAAGCTTTGTCGTGTCAGGCTTCGTCCCCCAAATATACTCACCGTTTGGTTGTGGAGTTGGCTCAGCGTCGGAACCAGATTGTGAAGCGTCGTCGCTCAAGCTGGCTTCTCTCCCCTGGTCATACCTACGAGTGATGGGAGGATTCGGCCGTTGTCCATAACGCCTCAGCTCTTCAGCCTCCTTGGCCTCTTGAATCTCCTGTCTGCGAAGGACGCCATCCATGGCCTCCTGGAGAGTAATTGGCATGCCATTCAAGCTGGGGCGGCGGAGGTTTGAAGGTTCCTCCGCAGCTCCGTATGCATACTGCCGTCTTCCGCTGGGTGCGCCTTTCAAGGGGGGAAGATCGGGCTTCTTGAAATCCTGCACCTGCGTCCGAGTGATGGGCCGCCCAGCAGCGCCGCGCTCTCTTGACCGGAGCCTGCCTCCCCTTCCTCCCCCATTCATCATGGTGAGAAGAGCCAGGCAGTAGGAAGAAAGCGTCGAAAAGTCGTAAGTCGTAGTCGTAGCCTATGAGAAGAGAGTGATGGACGGCGAAAATAATAGTCGAGATCGTTTGAGAATGTGGGATTCGTCAGATATAGGGAGGAGATTGAAGAAAGTCGAGGGTGAGGGCGGATATGTTCTGAAATAGGAGTGTCGCCAGGATCAGATTCACAAAGCGACGACGGCTGTGATCTATAATTGCCGCAGGCTCAAACTCGAGCTCCTTTGGCTACTGGATCCGCGGTTCTTTGTGTGCCAGCCAAGATGGATCCTTACAGGGCGAGCGTTGCGGTCAACAAAGAGCATCTTTGTTACGTTGGGATGAGACGCATGAGCCCAGAAGCAACGGTAGGGAGGCGTAGAGACGTCGCTTTTGTTGGTATCCGAGGCAAGCAATCACCAGCGTCAGAGGTTTCGAGAAGCCGGGGATGAAAGAGAAGACGATGTTTCAGCCTTGCAACGATGTGTTGTGTTTTTTTTTTGTTCCCTGGCTGGTGTCTTTGTGTCTACTTAGTTTGCGCGATGACAGCTTCACTGAGGCGCGAGTAGCGTGACGCGCCGAGGCTTAAGCGGCGCATTTTTGGGTGAAGAATCAGGCACGATTGAGCTGGGTCACGTGCGCGTCAAACGCGCGAAGAGAAGTACCTAGTACCTGTAGCAGGTACTACCTGTTGGTTTTTGACACAGCTTCAGGTTCCACTGCAGTTGGCGCATGAGGCTTTCGTCTTCTTCATGATGCGCACGTTGTGTCTTGTACAGTTGAACACCCAAGTATGGAGCAAGAATAGAATCGCCTGGGGGAGTTTCAGATGCAGCCGCGTTTTTGGAGATTTTGTGCATGCTGCCTTTGTTGGAGCCTGGTACATACAAGTACATCTGCGCACAGTCCTGCAAGGTTTGGCGACGAGTCTCACAGGCACCACAACTTGAAGAACAAAGGATGTAGGGGCTGAAAACGGAGTGAAAGACGTTTGTAGAGTAATGCGGAAGTAGGATCGATGGGTTGATGAAGTTGATGCTCTACCTCGTTGAAGAATCCTCCAAATACCTTACCTTGGATGCAAAGCAGCTGCCCATTTCAAGCAATGCAAGGGCCAGCCAACGGTTGATGATGATGAGCGTCTCATCTTACAGTAATCGCAAGCCTCAGTCGCCATATGGAGCACCCGAAAGCGATCTGCAGCCAGCCGCCCACCGCCCTTTTTAGACCTGCTGATCAGAGATGAATTGCCGGGATGGAGCTGATCACAGAATGAAATTTGAAACAGGCCCTCATAACAAGGAGCAGTTGATCGTACATTGACCATCAAGTCCATCTCTTTCGAGAACACGCACAGCATCGTGCTCTGGCCCGGCTGTACTCAAGCACCAACCCCGCCATGGCAATCTCCCGTGCACTTTGCTGGCCAACCATTCGACAACATAGTCGTCCGCCAACAGCCAACGCAATACGAACCAAATCCCTGCGGATCCCGTATCGTCTCATCCTATGTAGTTGTACCTGATGCTTCTCCAATTTGCCGTGCATCTGAATGAAACATGGCGCTTCACCACAGACTCAGACCCCTCCCCCGGCTGCTGGCGTCATCACCAGCATCGCCGGCATCTGCAGCGGCATCCCGGTGTCCAGCACCCGCGACTGCATCGTCGGCTCTGCCTCGACCGCCTTCATCTCCGTCTCCGGGACGCAGCGCAGCGGCCGGGCCCCAAGATCGTCGCCGGTCCAGCTCGTGCTACCGCCAGCGCCGGCTCTTTTCCAGCCATTGCCAGGGCGATCGCACCCAAACCGTATCCGCACCCCGAACCGCCCAAGCATCAATCGACTTAGTCGCCCCAGCTTGGAGTAGTAGCAATAAATTCCGCTCCCCCCTCCCGCATCCGCCTCGTCTTCTCCCCTCCAACCCAGCGATTCATCTGCATCATCTGCAACTCAGACGACACTCCTCTACCACAATGCCTGTCGGAACTGTTCTCGTCACCGGGTACGGCCTCTCCATTTCCCTCCTCTGACGTGCTCTTCTCTTGGCTCCTCGTCGCTCAGCGCAAGCGGCATTCATGCGCGCATTGCCCCGCGCTGCCCTACCAACGCTTCGCGGGGATGCGCCAGCTTGCGTATGACCCGAGCCAAGACGATCGCAGCTGTTGTTTGTGTGCGCGTGAAACCCTTGGAACGTCTTTGGACTAACGCTCTTGTCTCCTGCTCCCATTTCGCAGTGGCACGGGCTACATCGGCTCCTTCACGACTCTGGCCCTGCTGGATGCCGGCTACGATGTCGTCATTGTCGACAGCCTCTACAACTCGTCCAAGGTGGCGATTGACCGCATCGAGCTGCTCTCCGGCCGCCGCCCCGACTTCTACCAGGTCGACATTACCGACGAGAAGGCGCTCGACCAAGTCTTTGACAAGCACCCTGCCATTGACAGCGTCATCCACTTTGCTGCGCTCAAGGCGAGTCTGCGAACGAGCCCTTGGAGAATCGAGAAAAGCTCAGACGAGGAGAATCGAGACTAACGTCAGCCAACCTCTTGTTCCAGGCCGTTGGAGAGTCGTCCATCATCCCTCTCGAATACTACCGCGTCAACGTCGGCGGCAGCATTGCGCTCCTCCAGTCCATGACGCGCCACAATGTCACCAACATTGTCTTCTCCTCCTCCGCCACCGTCTACGGCGATGCCACCCGATTCCCCAACATGATTCCCATCCCCGAGCACTGCCCCATCGGCCCGACCAACACCTACGGCCGCACCAAGTCCATGATTGAGGACGTCATCACCGACCATGTGACTGCCCAGCGCAACAACCTGCAGAAGGAGGGCAAGCCTTTCGAGCAGTGGAACGGTGCTCTGCTGCGCTACTTCAACCCCTGCGGTGCGCACCCCAGCGGCATCATGGGCGAGGATCCCCAGGGCGTTCCTTTCAACCTCCTGCCACTTCTGGGACAGGTTGCGACTGGCCAGCGCGAGAAGCTCATGGTTTACGGCGACGGTATGTAGCGGATGATGCTCTTCTCTTCTTCTTCTCGTCTGCGCCACAGATGCGGTGTTCTAGATACTGATTTATTTGCAGACTACCCCTCCCGCGACGGAACCGCCATCCGAGATTACATCCACGTCGTGGATCTCGCTCGAGGCCACTTGATGGCCCTCAACTACCTCCGCTCCAACCAGCCCGGCGTCAAGGCCTGGAACCTGGGCTCTGGCCGAGGCAGCACAGTCTTTGAGATCATCAAGGCTTTCAGCGACGTTGTCGGCCGACCCCTCAAGTACGAGGTTGTTCCCCGGAGAGCGGGCGATGTCTTGGACCTGACTGCCAACCCTACGCTTGCCAACAAGGAGCTGAACTGGAAGACGGAATTTACCATGGAGCAGGCTTGCGCGGATCTCTGGCGGTGGGTCAAGAACAATCCTCAGGGATACCGACAGGAGCCGCCGGCGGAGCTGTTGGCCGCTGTCAAGAAGGCGTAAGGGTTTAAGCTTGGAAAAAGGGGTTTGGAAGAGCAAGGGAAGAAACAGAGCAAAACAAAGCAATGACTTGGATGAGATGCTTCAATTAGAGACGAGGACCTGGTTTGGGTATATCTCGCCATGAGGCGACATGTCACACATTGGATACTGTTAGACAATGGATCCTTTTGTTATACCTTCCTATGAAACACAAGCAAAAGCATCAAAGACACAAGTCTGATTCATAGAATTAAACAGTATAAACTCTAGCTTTCTCGCTACTTGTTTGTATGTGCATCTCTTCATCTACATCTCTATATCAGTTCTTCGCTCAACACGCCTAGTCAATCTTGAGCAACAGCTTGCCCGTCGTCTTCCTGCTTTCCAGGTCAATGTGCGCCTGAGCAGCGTCCTTGAGAGAGTAAATCTTGTGGATCTTGACCTCGACCTTCTTGGAGAGGACAAGGTCGAAGAGCTCAGACGTGTACCTCTCAAGGTCTGCTCTTTCAGCGACGTAGCCATTGACAATGGGCCTCATGAGGCGGATGTTTTTGGGGCCCAGCTGCAGGATGTTGACAGGGGACACGGGTCCCGACTGAAATGAAGGATGCATTGGTCAGCTCGAGATTCCTTTCATTCTTCCTTTCATTCTTCCTCTTCCCCTTCTTCTTCTTGTATGATTCAGAAACGAATTGCGTGAAAAAAGACTTACCGCGTTGCCAAAGGAAATGAGATGGCCCTTGAGCGCAAGCATCTGCAGATCCGCATCAAACGTCGCCTTGCCGACGCCGTCAAAAATAACATCAATCCCGTGGCCCCCCGTAATCTCCTTGACCCTGGCCACGATGTCATCGTTTGAGTTGACCAGGTAGTCGGCGCCGTACTTCTTGGCCAGCGCAAGCTTCTCGTCCGTGCTCGCCGTGGCGACAATCTTGGCCCCGACGCTGCGCAGCATCTGCACCAGCAGCGTGCCCACGCCTCCCGCGGCGGCATGCACCAGCGTCCACTGGCCGGGCTTGACCTCGCCGGCCTCGCGGATGAAGGTCCACGCCGTGAGGCCCTGCAGGAAGATGGCCGCGGCCTCCTCGTCGGACAGGCCCTCGGGGACGAGGACGACCTTGTCGGCGTCCACGGCGGTGTACTCGGCGTACGTCGCGGACGGGGCGCCGGCCATGTAGGCCACGCGGGCGCCGGGCGCGAACTTGCCGGCCACGGAGTCGTGGGCCGCGACGACCTCGCCCGAGGCCTCGCGGCCCATGGTCAGGGGGAAGGAGGGCGCCGGGTAGAGGCCGGTGCGGAAGTAGGTGTCGATGTAGTTGACGCCGGCGAAGTGGTTCTTGACCAGGACCTGGCCGGTGGTGGGGACGGGCACGGGGACCTCGTTGAGCTCGAGGACTTCGGGGCCGCCGTTTTTGGCGATCTGGACGGCCTTCATTGTTGCTGGGATGGAGGATGCCATATTTTTTTTTGCTGAATGTGTAATGTATGGGGAAGTGTGAACTTTGTTGGGTGGTGGGTGATTGATGCTTCGAATGCTTGAGGTGAGTCTGACGATGGTGGTGTAAGTGCGAGCCGAGTTTTGTAAGCTTGAGGTAAGGAGGGGCAGAGGGGCAGATGAGGAGGGGCAGCACCGAGGTTATCGCTTCTAGAAACGCTTCGATTGTCTGGAGGGGAGACAACCAACAGGCAGTATATGATTGCAGTTGGCAAAAGAACTTGCGGGTTTAACGCTCAGAGCTTGAGTCGATATCAACACGCAGTGAACATTAGTAATTGGATGCCCATCTTTTCCCCCACGGCTTGAAGTGGACGGATCGTCTATATCCACTCTTGAAGGGAGGGCTTTCGAGATTGCGCCATTCAGCCTATATGTACTGACATCTTACATTGACCTGATAGATGTGTATGCCATCGTTGATACAAGACAGGAGTTGATATAACAGAACTGTATCTACTAGCCTAACCCAGATAAACTAACATCCAGTAGTAAATTCAGGGGAAAGGAAATCGATTGACTAGAGGCCTTTAGATCTATCTAGGGCCATAGTAGAACAGCCTTCAACGTCATGCGTCCCCGAGAATGCACTTACAGTGGCTTTAGACAAGGTAGGCAAGTCGAAGTGAATTAAAGTCTTGTGGCTTTGAATTGTCTGTCAAACTCAATTGCCGACCTCCTACCTACCTATATAATGGTCCTCCCACCAGGACGACGCGAGACAGAACGACCCCCAGTTCATCGTCCACACCGTCGATAGCCACGAACCTCGCCTCCCTCCAGCATAAAAAAAAGGCATCGCACATTCGAACCCCTTCCCGAGCAAAACTCCTTCGACTTCACAATGTCGGGTCCTCCTAGCGCCGAAGAGCAACATCTCTACTACTATGGCCTCCCCTCCCTTCCCAAGCTCATCGCACGCTCAAGCTCAAGCACCCAAACCTGGACAAATCCGCAAAAGCCCGGATGGTCCGCATGGACAGGCACTTGTAACATGTATCGGAAGATGCTACAGCCTGCTGGAAAGCACCCTCTGCTCCAGCAACTCTGGAATGACGCGACTTCTTCTCTCAGGGTCCAAATCATAGACGCAGTCAGCGACATGGATTGGCATGCCGTTGATATCCTGCGGGTCGGGTTTCTTCATACGGAGTCACTTCCCCCTATCACGCTTATGGTGGCTGTTACACCAGACACTTTACCCTGGAGCAAAGGACATGCTATTGCGCTGCAATGCAGAGCTATTCTAGAACAGCATGCTATCCACGATATACACTGCGAAATACGCGAATCTGTCGTACCCTTGAGAGACTTGATACAGGTCGACCAACCTACATTCGAGAAGCAACTGGAGAGATGTAAAAGAAACACCGCATATTATGCCACGAAAGCTGACAGTTACTCTAAGCGCGGTCAAGTGGACGTGGCTGCTGCCTATTGAGTCAAAGAACAGCGCCGAGGCTCTTGCAAGAGCCATGGAGCCTTTCAAAGCTGCTTCGTCAAGAGTGATAGGCCAGCTTCTTCATTCGCCTCAGTCATCATGTGCGAATACTGGCGCTGAGTGGCTTAGAGATTGGGCGTTGGTTGAATTGCTGTCTATTAGTCATTAGGCTCTGCTGGACTCTATTAAGAATACCTAGGTAGGGTACTCATACCAGAGTATAGATTCTGGCATCTTGTTCAAAGAGGCGAATCTGGATGGAAAGGGCTTGCAAATCATCCAAGTCACCCGCCTCTAATTGCCGGCTGTCTGGAGCTACTCGAAGAAGTTGTTCCTTATAGAGAGCTTCTGAATCCCTCTGAATACTCTGATGAGCTGGCGATGTGTGTAGCAAAGCATGGCGCCTCGAGTGATTTGACCATGGGCCTTGGCAATACCCTCAAGTCAGTCATTCGCACCACGGAAAGAAAGATTATAAGTGAAGAATGGGCAATCACCTCGGTGCTCAGGTCGAAAGACCAGCTTCCCTCTTTCTCGGAACCTGGTGATTCTGGGTCGTGCATCTGGGATATGAAAGGACGCCCTGCCGGTATCCTAATGGCAGGCAATGGCAGTGGTCTGGACGACATGCACGACGTCACCTATGCAACGCCGTTAGAGCTCCTTCTTGAGGATATCAGATCCCATGGCTTTGACGTTTCTCTTGTGTAGGGAGGTTTATGGACGGCGAGACGTTCTGGCATAGTCTCTCACTGATGTTGCCGCCACTGGTTGTATCTGAAGACCCTTCTGGTAGATCCAGATAGCCTTGGTTGATGGAGTCGGTTGTCCTTTTACCTTGTGATACAACTTCCTACCCATGATGTATCCCCGATGGCGTCTTCCCCCCTTTTCCTGGCTTCATGTCTCGCTGAATACGGGTACTAATTGAACATAGGTGCATGAGTTTGATTGGATTGGATGACGTCGTGAGGGGCGGATGTCAATTGCTTTCCCCACGATATGGAATACTATGGCAATTGGAGACATTCGATATCGCGATAAGCGTCACAGCCCCGCCAAGGTCAGCCTTACAATCGCCGACTTCAGCTGATGGTTGAAACAGGAAAACACATCAATCAACTCCAGCATCTACCAGATTTCCAGACACTCAAGAAATGCCGCCGAGGCTTCCTCTCAAGGGCTTTCTGGCCGCTGCCCGGTCTGCGCTGACAGCTCCCCCAGCGCAAAGATCCAGCCCCCTCACGCTGGTCGTCGGCAATGAGTCTGCAGGTACAATCTCACCTGGATCAACCACCTTTATGCATATATAGCAAGCAAGCAGCAAGCTAACATTCACTGTCAAAGACCTCGATTCACTCTGCTCAGCCGTAGTCCTGGCATACATCCGCACCAATTCACCCCCTCACACGCTACACATTCCCCTCTCCAACATCCCCCGGTCGGAGCTCGTCCTTCGCACCGAGATGACTGCGGTTCTTCAACGAGCTGGACTCTCTCCCGCAGACATCCTCACGCTTTCCGAACCTCCTGATCTGAAACCGGAAGAGACGCAGTGGTTCCTGGTGGACCACAATGCTTTGACGGGCCAGCTGCAGAAATTTCAGTCTCGAGTCATAGGTTGCATCGACCACCACGTTGACGAAAACGTCACCAGTCCTGATGTGAAACCGCGCATCATCGAGCCCTGCGGGAGCTGCATGAGTCTCATCATTGACGAATCCCGCACCGCCTGGGACTCCTTCCCGCCACTGGAAACAGGACAAGGAGTAGACGCAGAAGATGCGGCCGCCGAGGAGGACGACAAACTGGCGACACTCGCGTTTGCGCCCATCTTGATCGACACGCTCGACCTGAAAGAAGAGCACAAGGTCAAGGAAAAGGACATCCGTGCCGCAAAATATCTGCATACAAAAGTGCGCCAGCAGCAATTCCAGCAGACCAAGTTCTTCGAGGACATCACCGCCGTAAAGGAGGACATCTCGCAGCTCAGCTTCTACGACATCTTCCGCAAGGACTACAAAGAATGGGAAGAAGCAGGACTGAAGCTAGGCATAAGCTGCGTTGTGCAAGACTTTGACTACCTGCTCGGAAAGGCAAAACAGCCCGACGACTTCATTGACGAATTGGCTCGATGGGCAAAGGAGAGGAAGCTTGATGTCGCAAGCGTTATGACGACGTCGAACCCCGGCGGCGAGTTCCAGCGTCATCTGCTCGTGTGGGGGATCACGGACAAGGGGGTAGAGGCGGCGAAGAGGTTCCCTGGTATGGCGGAGGGATTGAAGCTTGAGCGGTGGAAGGATGGGCTGTTGGATGGGGATGATGGGAGGAGGAGGGTGTGGAGGCAGAGGGATTTGGCGTCGAGTAGGAAGCAGGTTGCGCCGTTGCTGAGGGAGGCTTTGAAGGGGGTTGATGGGACGTCTCAGTCACAGCTATAGAATGCGTTTTTGTTGGAAAGAGTAAAAGAACACTTGCCAATCGCCACATATGGCTTGTCTGGCTATGTGAATGGATTCTATGATACATGAGTGAGGCTTCAATGGAGCGCACAGAATGGCCAGTCCTCTATCCTTATTCTCAGCAACCTTCTATTAGCCAAGTCACTTCTATAAAGCTCTCAAAGCAGACAAATATCATTGTCGTGAGTCCCGAGCACTCTAACTGTCCCTGGACGGCATTTCTCCGGTCAAGTTGCGAAGCGTCTGCGCCCTGTGCTCCCTCGCCTGCTCCCCCACGTAATGATGCCGCATGTTCTCAACCTCCTTCAACACGCGCACAAACTCCCTGCGCGCCAACTGCCGCTTGCCAAACACATCCAGCGCGTCCTGAGGAGGAGGGTGATGCAGCAGGCTCTCAGCAGAGGGATCGGCAGCCAGGATACACGCCTTCAACGATGTGTACAGCGATCCGACTGGCCATACCTTGGGCTCTTCCTTGAGCATCTCGGGATACACCCAGCGCAGGGCATCGGTGCACAGCTTTCGATCGCCAGTGGCCGCCATGACGCGGTACGCGTACTCGTACAGCTCCGGTGATCGAGGCAGCATGAATCGAGCCGGTGAGCGGAAAGCGTCCCAGAACTTGTCCCAGTCTGATCGGTGCGCGTATGCTGCCATGAGCCGCAGAATATCGCTCGTCTTCAACGCAGATGACTGCTTGGTGGATAATAGATACTCCACGTTCTTCTGTGCCTGCTGCAGCTCGGGCCCATATGCCGGAGACGTGACAATGGATGCAATGAGGGTGATGAGCCAATCCTTGGACATGACGGGGAGGCCGCGCTCCTCAGCCATGAGACTGAGTTGATCTACCAAGGCGAGTCGTTTCGACGCAGTATCTTCCGCAGTCGCCTCGGCTTGGAAGACGGCCGAGACGAGGCCCTGGAGAGTCTCGCGACTCACTGGAGTTCCGGCCACTTGAACGTCGTGGATATGCCGCCGCAGCGTGCTCAGATCCAACTTTGGACTATCCGGCTGATCTTCTGTTACTAGAGCTTCGGAACCAATTGAAGTCACTCTTGACTCACTGCTCTGAGCAGGGGCTTGAAGGCGTCGCGCCATGGTCGAAAACTGCCGCTGCTGCTGAGAAGCCAGTTTGAGGGCTTGCCACTGCTGAGCGGAAGGGCTGTCGGGCATCTGGATCTTCGCCGAGACCATTGATTCCAGCTCTGATGGATCCACCACCTTCTTTCCCTTGATCTTTTGCATCTGCTCCATGTTCCGCTTCAGTATGCCTCGCCAAAGGGTTTCCAAATCAAGCTCGTTTCGCCTCGATTCCGTCATGCATTGCACAACCACCGTCGTTCCCGTCAGCGGCGTGCCGAACCCAGAAAACCGTCCACTTTCGTCGTAACTGGTGGATTCCTGCGCTCCGTGGTCGTGCGCTCTGAAGTTGACGCAGACCCAGCCCGTCGAAATCCCGTTATCCGAGCCGGGCAGAATCATTGTGTTGGTTCCCAGCATCTTGGCCTTCTTCCTCAGCCTGCGCAGCTTCGTCTTGAGCTCTCCGGGCCCAATGAGCCCGTCCGCCCGAGCGCCAACTTGGTGGTTTTTGCGCAGCCATCGTACGAAGCGCCCTGCAGAAATGTGCAAGTGCCTCTCGCTTCGCGCCGTTCCGAAGATCATGATGAGGTTGGGACCAAGCGCTGCCGGCGGGTCGAGATCGCGGAGGTCCAGCATGGACAGCTCGTCCAAGCCCATGTCCTCGTATATGTACTTCATCATCGGCTCGAGGAGAGGGGGCGCATCTTCGGGCACTTTCGGCAGCGATGCAATGTGCTGCAGCGGAGCACGTCGGGGCGGTTCAACATCCAGAAACCACGGCGTATCTGCGGATTCGTCGTTGTCGACAATATCCTCCTCGTCTCTTAGCCCTTCAGCCTCCGCCCTGGCCTCTGCGTTCCTTTGCGTAGCAGTCCCGAACTGCTGGCTTGCGTTCGGAACACCTCGAAATCCAGAGCTTGCCACCGGCCTGATGCCCCGCGAGGCCGATTGTCCGATGCCAGCCAGTGGCCTGGACGCAACCGCCCGCAGGATGGCCTGCCGGCATCCGCAGCAGCCCAGAGTCGCAGCCACGGGGCGGGAAATCATCTCTGCTGCCTTTCGTCAGCGCTTTTGGCGGAAGATGAAGCTATTTCGACCACAGGTGAAGTCTCCAGTAGTGGCACAGGCACAACTTTTTGCGCTGCAGAAAAGCTGCCCGGGTGGCGTTGGTGGGGCGGGCGCCATCATTTTGCTGGCCACACGTGACGGTTTGCCTGATTCGACCAATCATGTGTGGCCTGCATGCTAAAACGAAAAGAAAAAAAGATGGAAAAAAAATCCAGCAGTCCCGCATTTGGCGAAAGTTGCTTCTCGCACCACCAGTATAACTCGATACTGGCGGAACTTTTTGTTCCTCCCCAGCGCCACTCCTCTCTCTTTTCTCCCTTCTTATTGTCTATTTTGTAACATTCAGACTCTTCTGAATCTCCGTTCCAATTCTTTTTCTGTATATCTCGTCCGTCTTCATTGGCGGTGCGATTGATATCCGCATCTCAAAATGCTGCCGAGGCACGCGGGCCGCAGCGCCTCTCTTCACCATGCAGCTGCTTTCAAGTCCATTCGAACCTCTCCCCGACTCTCCTCTCTCCAGTCCTGCATCTCTACACTAAGTTCACGCGGAGATGTGGCAAGGCATCTGCGGCCATGGCGCCGAGGACTCGATCTCGGCTTCGGCTCGCACGAGCGAACGCTTGCCACGGCCGTCGACGACTTCAAAGTGGACGCAATGCCATACAACAACCTCTCAAGCTCATCAATACCGCCATTCGAGATCCACGCATTCAATCCAGCGTCACCGTTGACCATTCCCGAGCCGGGAGCCCCAAAGGCTCAGACGAAGACCAACACCTTTGGCGTCCCAGGCGAACCAGAAGATATGCTCATGGTGTTTGACGCATGCCTCAGAGTAGGAAAGCTGGAAAGGGCAGCGCTTGTGTTGAAGCGCCTCAGCGCCGTGGGCACCACATCGGACGAAGAGCGAATCGTTCTCAACAACAAATACTTGCGAGCGTCTCTCAACCAAATGCGCACCACGCCCGATCGAAAGCAAGCTGAGCAGCTCCACAAATGGTACGAGCTGCAGATAAGAAGCAAGAATTTGCCACACACCGCCGAGACAATTGCCTGCATGCTCAAGGCATCTCTGCTGTCCGAGCGGGGAACCAGATTGGAACGTCTGGTGAAGCGATATATGGGCATGGCACCGGACGAAGCTGGACTGCGAGTCCTCAGCATGGACGAAATTCTCAGCGACCAGGACCTCGCCGTCATCACCCGAATCTGCCCGACGTACAACTTTGCCCCTGATGAAGGAGATCTAGAGGGTGTAGCTCTTGCACCGGAGAAGTCTCAAGAGGCGGAAGCATCGTCCACACTGGGGACCGAAGCTGGCAAATCATCAGCTTCTGAGAGTGTTCCGGAGCTTATCCCAACCCCGCAGCGCGGCGAAGGTCTCAGTACCCTGAAGAAGGGCCTCGGACTCTTGCTGGGGCTGCAGAATGTCGACATTTCCAAGCTTCCTTATTCAGATCGCGTGGACATTCAACTGCAGCTGGAGCGGGATACGATCAGTTCGGCAATCGAGAAATGGCGCCTGGACAACAAGACATTGCAGAAGCGGGGTGTCACAACAGCTCTGGCGCCATCCAACAAGGAAGGGTCCATGTCACAGAATTTGGCGTCCTGGATGAGCGCCATGGAGACCCGGATCTACCAAGAGCTCAGACTGATTGAACAGTCAGAAGCAAAGAAGTCGAAATCGGACAAGGACCTGACAAGATGTATCTACGGTCCTTTTATCCAGCAGGGTGACCCGGCACGCCTGGCGGCTGTCACCATTCTGTCGGTCATCAACCTCGGAACTGTTCTGGGCGTGGAAAAGGGCCTTCCTATCAGCAGGCTGATTACGCATATCGCAAAGGCTGTCCAAGAAGATATCGAGATGTATCAGAAGGAATTGGCCGAGAGGAAAGCTCGACGGGAGCGCAAGCTGCGCTTCGTGGGCGACAAGGGCAAATCAAGCAAAAAGGCCAGCAGCAAAGCTGCCAGCAAAGATGCAAGCAAAGATGCTGGCAAAGAAGAGGAGCCACCTGTTCTAGTCGATACAACGGAACAGCAATCGGCCCTGGAGGAAAACAGCCGCAGCCCCTGGTCTCTACATATCAAGGCTCAGGTTGGCTCAATTTTGCTGCAGATGTTGATGGAGTCCGCCAAGATCAATGTTGTGGTGGAGGGCTCGACATCCAAAGAGCTGATCAGCCAATACCAGCCGGCCTTTACTCACCAATCGATCCTCCGAAAGGGCAAAAAGGTGGGAGCTCTCTTTTTCAACACTCACTTGGTCGAGCAGCTGAAACGAGAGCCCGTGGGCGACTTCATCGCCAAACATATCCCCATGGTTGTTGAACCCAAGCCTTGGCAATCTTTCACTGAAGGTGGCTTCTTGGACAGCAAGACCAGCTTTGTCCGAGTGAAGCCAGGAGATGTTGAGCAGAAGCTGTACAGTAACGCGGCCATCAAACGTGGCGACATGACGCAAGTGTTCAAAGGACTGGATGTCCTTGGCAAAACACCATGGATCATCAACAAGCAGACCCTGAATGTTATGATGGAGGCATGGAACAGTGGCGAAGAAATCGCCAACATACCACCACTCAACCCGAACCTCACAATTCCCCCCGAACCGGATTCTTCAGCAGATCCTCTTGTACGGAAAAACTGGATTCGAGCAGTCAAAGCGATTGAGAACGAACGCTCCGGTCTCCACTCGCAGCGATGTTTCATGAACTTGCAGCTAGAGATTGCACGAGCCTTCCGCAACCAGACGATCTATTTCCCGCACAATGTCGACTACCGAGGCAGAGCATATCCCATGCCGACATACCTCAACCACATGGGTGCCGATCACGCGCGAGCCATTCTGAAATTCGCCAGAGGTAAAGAGCTGGGGGTTAGAGGTCTACGGTGGCTGAAGATCCACCTTGCCAACGTATACGGCCTGGACAAGGCCAGCTTTGACGAACGCGAGGCTTTTGCGGACGAGAATGTGGCCAACATTATCGACTCGGCCACCAATCCCTTGAACGGCAGCAGGTGGTGGCTCAAGGGTGAAGACCCCTGGCAGTGTCTCTCTGCTTGCTTTGAACTCAAGGCCGCCTTGGAGCTTCCCGATCCCACGAAGTTCGTATCGCATCTGCCAGTTCACCAGGACGGTACCTGCAACGGACTTCAGCACTATGCAGCTCTCGGTGGTGACACGTGGGGAGCGAAGCAGGTGAACCTGGAGCCTGGCGACAGGCCTGCCGATGTATACTCAGCGGTCGCCGATCTCGTCAAGCAGGCCATTGAGAAGGACATGGAGAACGGGAATTCATTTGCACAAGCACTCCATGGGAAGATTACCCGCAAAGTTGTGAAGCAGACGGTGATGACGAACGTGTACGGCGTTACATTCTCAGGAGCAAAGAAACAGATTTGCAAGCAGATCGACGCTTTGTACCCCGATCTGGGTGAAAAAGTCGGCATTTCCAATATGCTGCTGTCGACCTACATTGCCAAACAAGTCTTCCAAGCCCTCGCCACCATGTTCAAGGGTGCTCACGACATCCAATACTGGCTTGGCGAGATTGGTGGACGCGTGTGCCGAGCACTGACCCCCGCCCAGCTGCAGCAGATCGTGGATCAATATGGTGAAGGCGATGATGGCGCTTCTCGCACTGGCAAGGCCAGCAAGGCGACATCAGGCAGAAAGAAGGTCGAGTTCGATGATCTCATCCAGCAGTTCCGATCGTCTGTCGTTTGGACAACGCCCCTTCGCATGCCCGTCGTTCAGCCTTACCGCAAGACTACTGCACGAGAAATCAAGACGTGCCTCCAGGCCGTCATCTACCCTATGAGCGACCAGACGGATCCCGTGAACAGGAGGAAGCAGCTCCAGGGATTCCCTCCCAACTTCATCCACTCCCTGGACGCTAGCCACATGTTGCTGTCAGCGCTGGAGTGCCACGCTCGGGGACTCGACTTTGCTGCTGTCCACGACTCCTTCTGGACACATGCGGGCGACCTGGATGTCATGAACGAGGTCCTGCGTGAGGCCTTCATCCGAATTCATGAAGAGGACGTTGTTGGCCGCCTGGGCGCCGAGTTTGCGGCGCGTCATCAAGGATCGATTTACCTTGCCAAGATTGACCCCGACACGCCGGTTGCCAAGAAGATCAAGGAGCTGCGTAAAGCCAGCAAGCTCTCGCCCAAGGAGGAGCTTCTCCTTGAGCACAAGCGCAACCAGCTGAAGCTGTCCGGGAACCCCTGGGACCTCGAGGCCGCCAAGAAGATCGTCACCCCGGCCTCCGTGTACGAGGAGATGATGGCTGCCGAAGTCGACATGGACATTCAAGAGGATGCTAAGGACATTGGCTTGGGTGCCATTCCGGAAGAGGCTGAGCTGGTTGATGCGGAGGACCTCGAGGCCCAGACCGACAACTCGGCCGTGTCCGCCGAGTTCACCGAGCGGCTCATGAAGGACATGCACTCGTCTTTCTTCGAGACCCAGGTTGCGGGCGAGAAGGCGCCTGCGCCGCAGAAGAAGAGGAAGACGCCGCTGCCTGTTTGGCTGCCGCTGACAATTCCCGAGGTCCCCAAGAAGGGCGACTTCGATGTCAAGCGCTTGAGGGAGAGCAAGTACTTCTTTTCTTAGACGTGTGTGGATGGTGTTTTGTATATCTTGATTACATTCTTACTGCTACGGCCGTTTGTTACGGAAGGGACGTTTGGAGAGGATGATGGGGTGGATTGGCGTTGAAAATATGTGCATTTATACGGCGTTTTAGTGGGTTAGCAAGATCTCGGGCGCATTTTCAGCGGTTTTTGATACATCTTGTATATTAGGATTTGCTATGACCACGCTTAAAGAGTGGTTGGTCAGTTGCACCTCGTTTTGCACTCTATCATCACGGCTATGCTATGATAGATGGCTGAATATAGTGAAAAGAAGAAAAAAGTAAGAGAAAGAATCATGACAGCTTCAGCGAGTTTGTGATCACGTAAATGGTCTTGATTGTCTATATACAAACATTATTTACCTGACAGTAGCGCCCTTGAGAGACTTGACTGTGCAAACACCGCCGCTCACAGTCACCAGCCTGCCGACACCCGTCTTACCCAGCTGCTCAACAACGCTCGCATCAAATGCAGCCTCGAGATTATCCGTCGTTGTGAAGCCCGGCGCAAATGTCTCCCAAATCTTCTTCTTGGGGTTCAAGACACCCTCAGGCTCGCCCTGCCATCCCTCGAAGAAGACGCGCTCGCCGGCCTTGGCGCCCTCGGGGGGCGTCACCAGCTCGACGGGGCCCTTGTGGTCGTCGACCTCGCCCTCCTTGACCTTGGGCGACGCGGCGAGGACCATTGCGCAGGACTTGATGCCGCGCATCTTGACGGGCTTGAGGTTTGCCACGACGACGACCTTGCGGCCCTGCATCTCCTCGAGGGGCACAAGGCCGTTGAGGCCGGAGCACACGGTGCGGCAGACCTGGCCCTCGTACTCGGTGGTGTCCTCAGTTCCGGGGGCGTCGCCCATTGCAATGGTCGAGACGTAGAGCGAGTCGGCATCGGGGTGGTTGATGGCCTTGAGGATGTGGCCGACGCGCAGGTCGATCAGGCAAGGGGACAGGGGAGCGGCAGCGGCGGGGGCCTTTTGCGGCTTAGGAGCCTTCTCCTTCTTCTCCTTCTTGGGCTTGTCGCCTCCAGCGGCGGCGGCAGCAGTGCCCTTGGCTTCGGCAACGACCTCCTTGGCCTTGTCCTTGACCTCCTTTGCCTTTTCCTTGGTGCGGTCGGCGAGGGTGGCGTTGTTGCCTCCGGAGGCGGCAGCGGCAGCGGCAGCCTTCTCCTTCTTGAGGCGCTCCTTTTCGGCCTTTGCGTCGACGGGGGGCTTGACATACAGGACCTCCTCCTGGTCGACCTTGACCTTTTGCTCGTCCTTGAGCTCCAGCCCGAAGACGGGCGCGTTCTGCACAAAGTCCACATGACGCACGATGTGCGGGAGGCCCTTTTCGCCGGTCCGCTCCTCGGGCGTCCACTTGGCGACGATGGGCGCGAGGGCCTCGTAGATGGCGACGTCGGCCTTGCTAGGCTTGCTGCCGAGCAGGGTCGTCCGGCTGGAGAGGTGGCCGTTGAGGGTCTCGAGGATCTCGGACTTGCTGTCGGCGGACTTGAGGCGCTCCGAGGTGGTGAGCCACTGCTGGATCTCGGCCTCCTCGGTGGGCGTGTACTTTTGGGAGCTGAGGGCTGCCATTTTGACGGTGAGGAAGGTTACGGGGCGGAAGCGGAGCGGGTGGGAGATGATGCTCGGGAGGGAGCGGGGGAGGAGGCGACGCAGAAACAGCTTTGCTGGTTGGGGGTGGATAAGAAGCCGATTTTGGTGGCTTCTTTCTCTGGCTTGTATGTGTGTGATGATGTTTTGTTGGTGTGAGTCTTGAGATGGACAATTTTTGATAGCGGGGTCGGTCGATCGTGGTGGGATGGAGGGGCAAAGAGTCGAGGCTGGCTTGTGGCGCCTCTTAGCCACCAGCCACGCTCGATCCCCGGGGATGAAGAGAATCGTGGCTTAACGCGATGGAAGGAAAGGAAGCAGCACTTTACGCGCAACACCAAAATCTATGAGCAAGAGACACACGTGATCGCGTTGCCATTTCGCGTTTCGCTACGTCACGCCGCATCTCAGCTCTCTTCACGACTCCCTTCCCTCGAAGCTGCGAATGTGGTGAATGCGGCTTGGATTGCGCTGCAATTCACTCTTGGTTCACTTTTCTCTTGGTTCCTGCATTAGCGCAGCTTCTTCTCTTTTCCCATCTTTTTCCCACGCGCCGAATTTCTTGTGTAACCTTCACCACCCTTTTTGTGAATTCTTGGCTGGCTGGCTGCATCAAAGAGTGTTGGTTTAACATTTATCGGACTCTCGAATTCCGTTTGCACTTCCTCTACTTCTATTACTTTAAGGCTCTTGTTTAATTGATTCGTCATGGCGAATACCTCGGCCTCGGAGATTGATTCCATAATGTCGAATTCACGGACGCCGACTACGGCGCCCTCTTCTCCGCCAGCAGATCCGTTTGACGACCAGGAAGACGTCGGCCTCGTTGACGAAGACATCATCAAGGAAGAAGCGCGGGCGCGTTCTGCAAACAATGCTCTCGAAGAAAAGCGCCGTGCTTCCCTCCTTAAGCAGCGACGGAAGAAGAAGGCTGAGACGAAAGCCGAGCGAGAGGCAAAAGCTCGAGAACTGGACGAGTTGTTGCAGAAAAGTGCAGCTTTCAGTGATATTCTCACGAAAAAGACACAGGTACTTGGGCGCGTCGGAAGCAGCCTTGATGGCCAGAAGCTTGGGGAGCATAATCTCCAGATGGCCACGCAGCCCAAGTGCATGGTTGGCGGCACGATGCGAGAGTACCAGCTCGAAGGACTCACCTGGATGTACGAAATCTGCTCGCAGGGCATGAGTGGCATCTTGGCTGATGAAATGGGCCTTGGTTAGTGAAGCGTCTTGTCTCATAGCTTTTTCCATTCGCTGACCCATTTTAGGCAAAACGATCCAGACAATCTCCTTGATAGCGCTGCTTCGAGAACAAGAACAATATCTCGGCCCTCATCTCATCGTCGCTCCTCTCAGTACACTATCAAACTGGATTGATGAGTTTCACAAATGGGTACCGTCCATCCCGATTGAGATGTATCACGGCAACAAGGCCCAACGAGAAGAAATCTTCCGCAAGAAGATTATGAACCATCTCAAGTCTGGTCGGCCTACCGAAAAGTTTCCTGTTGTCTGCACGTCGTACGAGATGGTCTTGAATGACCACCATAATCTGTCGCGCATTAAGTGGGAGTTTATCATTATTGTGAGCATCATCACTCCCGTCCTCTGGGCTACCCACTAATGTTCATGGCTTAGGACGAGGGTCATCGTATGAAGAACGCAGATGCAAAGTTGTTCCAGCAGCTCCGCCAGTTCTCCTCTGCTACTCGTCTGCTCATCACAGGAACGCCACTACAAAACAACCTAAAAGAACTTTGGTCGCTCCTACATTTCCTGTTGCCTAACATCTTCACCGATTGGGAGGCATTCGAATCCTGGTTCGATTTTTCGGAACTGGGTGACGAGCAGGGTACTCAGCAATTTATCGAGGACCAGATGAAGCAAGACTTAGTCAAGAAGATCCATCTCATCCTGCAGCCACTTTTGCTCCGGCGCATCAAGCAAGATGTCGCCGCGTATCTTCCAAAAAAGCGAGAATATGTTCTCTTTGCTCCCATGACGAAAGAACAGACGGACTTGTACAAAGTCATTTCGAACAAGAGCATCGACACCAGATCATACCTCGAAGACAAAGCTGTGGAAATGATTCGTTCCAAAACGGCGTCTCGGGCTACTACTCGATCCTCTTCACGCGCAAGGTCTACAACTAAGAAAGGCGAGGACGACAAGCCGGTGTCGCTGCCTCTTCGACAAAGTGCCAGAGGCAAGGATAGGTCAGCATCACCAGCCAATGCTTTCAGCCTCATGATGGGTAAGCGGGGACCAGGACGGCCTCCTAAGAATGCAAAGTCCAACCCCGAATCTTCGCCCACTATTCAGACACCTAAGAGAAAGAGCCCGCCAACGTCTCTTGCATCCGATCCCAAGAGCGCGAAGTCCAGTCGACAGTCGACACCTTTAAGCACTCGTGGCCGTCGCCATGCCGGCCGTTCCTACAAAGAGGCCGACTCCGATGAGGAGAAAATGTCTGATGATGAGTTTGAAGAAAAGTTGGCTAGAGAAATGGCCACTGAAGACAGTGATGACAAGTCTGCAAAACCAATGTCTGCTGAAGACACGGAACTGGCACAGACTTTGGACATGGCCAGTATGTATTCCGTCAAATTCTCCATCACTTCCATACTGTTCTTGATGCTGACAAGTAGACAGAGAAACAGATCTCGCGCAAGAAGCTGGGCAACCCTCTAGCTCAGCTTCGGTTGGTCTGCAACAGCCCTCACAACTTTTACAACCCGTGGGCCGTGGCAACTGACATTCCAGTGGATGAAAGTATCGTCACAGCATCTGGAAAAATGCTTCTGCTGGATCGCTTATTGAAACACTTGTTCCTCAGCGACCACAAAGTGCTCATTTTTTCCCAGTTCACTACGCAGCTCGACATCTTGGAAGACTACTGCAGAGAATTGCGTGGTTGGAAGGTTTGTCGCATCGATGGCAGTATCGCTCAGGCCGATCGAAGGGAGAGCATAAAGCTCTTCAATACCAATCCAGACTACAAAATCTTTCTTTTGTCCACACGTGCTGGTGGTCAGGGCATCAATTTGGCTTCTGCGGACACTGTCATTCTGTTCGATAGCGACTTCAATCCTCAGCAAGATTTGCAAGCTCAGGACCGCGCACATCGTATTGGTCAAGAGCGTCCAGTGCTGGTGTATCGTCTCGCTACCAAGGGAACCGTTGAAGAGTCCTTGTTGCTCTCCGCGGACGCGAAGCGGCGACTGGAAAAGCTCGTTATTCGCAAAGGCGGATTCAAGACGATGGGGCAGAAACTGAACGAGAAAGAAGAAGAGCTGGATCCGGAGACGCTGCGAGCGTTGCTGCTCAAAGATGGTCAAGTGTACGAAGTCTCAGGAGGAGACGACATTCTCAGCGATCAAGATTTGGCGACAATATGTGACAGGACTGAAGAAGCCTTTGAGAAGGCCGCAAGAGGAGATGGAGATGCAGACGCCTTCAGAGTTGTAGAGACGGGATCAGACTCAATCAAGATGGCGAGGAAGAGCTGATGGTTTTGATGGAATGGATTTATGGCTTGAATGGCATACAATGGCTACTAATTAGACGCATATTCATGAATCAAGGACTTATGATGGTTGCTTATAAGGAATTTCTTTCCGTGTTGACTTGACCGAAAGACATGAAGGGATGCAAACCGTGCTATTACGGCCTTTCAGAGGGTACCGTAAGTCGGTCGGCTGTGATTTTTCATGGAGGGCAGGAAGCAATCCCTCATGAGTTCACGGAGCGGATTGATTGAGTCAGTGAGAACTCATTCAATAACTTGACAGCGATTCAGACACCTCTTGACGTATTCGGATTGGAGAGCGGTCGAGTGCCTCATCGAGTGAGACGAACATGGTCAGACAAGACGACGAATCCAGACCATGCGAGAGGCTCCTACTGTCGACGAACCTGTCATGATGTCCTTGGTGTTTTCACCAGTGTCAGGCACAACATGAACCTATGTAAAAGAGTCGAGATGACAGAATGAGGGAGTGGGTAGCTAGCCAGCACCCTCACTTAGCTTCCCAGCATCCCCAAGTTTATCAATACAGAGTCATATAAGGCTGGGTTTACTAAAGGCATATTATAATACTAAATATATTTCGCGATAGTAGAGAAAGTAGAAACGCATATCTGGTTTCTATTGTGTCCAGTGGTAGACAGTAGCAGTAGAAGAGATGCATATAGATTTGTCGGGATGTTGGATAAGTAGGTAGCCAAGTAGGAGCGCTGGCTGGCCACCCCCTAGAAGTAATCGAGAAACTGTCCTGTATCATCAGGGCATTGACTCTGGCGCTTTCTGATGCTATTACTAACTAAATCTTGCAATTCCATATCGCAAATCGCCTTTTGTAATTACGTGTCCTATGGAATATGTATGAGTGCCGGCTAACCAAATTTCAAGTTTTCAACTTCGCACAGGGATCCCAAAGGAATTGATTTTCTTTATCAAAGTGGTGGACCACTCATACCTCATGCTTCTCCGGCTGTGTCTGCATCTTTGCACTGCCTCGTCGTAAAACTACTACCTGTCGACACTTGCCTTCGTCATCAAGAGATGAGAGAGATTTCACAGCATTTCTGACCACCCCCAAGGCCTGAAGAAGCTCGATTACCTCTCCCTCCGCCTCAAACCCTCAGCCCAATCATGCTTCGACAACCCAAGGGAAGTTCTCAATTGGCAACGCGTTGTCCAATAACTCAGTGACAACGAATCCTTGCCCGTTGTAAGCTCAGCCAGCATGTCTACTCCCTGCAGAACCTCTCCTTCACAGCAATTTTAACCCCCCCCCCCAAGGCCTGAAGAGGTATCACCGACTTTCCAGTCTCCACAATAGAAGGCGAAGCTTTCCGAATGCCTTCTTCTTCCACAGCATTTTTAACCTCCCCCGAGGCCTCAGGTAGGCAAACCTTTCCCGACTCTTACTCCAATTTTTCCAAGTAGGCCACGAATCACAGCCACGAATGGCCCTCCTTTTCTTCTCACAGCCTTCTGGACCGCTCTCGAGAGCTGAAGAAGTGCTCCATTTCCAAATCCTACGACCACTTATACTTCGCCACGACGCGAGGCATACTTCAGGTTCCCATCTGATTGCACCCTGGTCAGCTTGAGTTATGAATTATCAGAATTGTCGTTTCACAGCAATTTTACGTCCCCTCGAGGCCTCGAGCACGACAATATTGGTACCTCTAGCTCATCCCCCGACCCGTACACCAGCAACATCTTCTCAAAATCAACCACCTTCACCATAATTCTTCGTTCAATCTCCATATGGCAGACCAGAGGCGCGTCACATCACAAGTACCCTCTTCTAATTAGTTGTAGAAACGGGCGCAGAAGACTCCATTACGATTACTCGCTTTTTTTCTCAATGGATGTGGAGTAGACATGTGGCTTCGAAAGCATCACGACAGCTTCTTTCTACTTATAAAGTTCATGGAAAAAAGAAAAAAAAAAAGGACTTGTGATAGCTCCTTCAAGGTAATCTACCTATGTAGTTCTGACTTAGTTTCACTGCCCCCTCGGGCCCTGCGTGTGATGAACAGAGACTTTGAAAGCTCAGCCCCCTCATCACCAAACAACTTTACATCCCGCCAACATCATCTTCGACCAGAACCCGGCATGAGGATGCTCATTGTATGTTCGACAATAGGCTGGTATCTCATTTCTTGACTTGATATACGCCTAAGGTTAGGTACCTATATATAGACCGTCATTATGAAGCAACGCTCGCTCAGCCTAATCCAACCCAATTCCCAAAAGCATCATGATCAAAACTTCCCATCCCTACCAAAACAACCAAAAAGTCAACAAACAACTCCATTCAAGCAAACCAGTGAGTAGAACCCCCCTAATTCAACTCGGTAACATACCCAATCTGCCTCCTCGCATCCGCCGACGACAGCGGCGAATCCCCCAACCTCCGCGCCAGCTTCTCCTGGCTCTCCACCAGTCTCCTCTGCGCCTCCAGCCTCCGCTGGATCCGCTGCTCAGACGCCACGTCGATGCGCTCCAGCTCCTCCCTCTCGCCGATGCGCATCTCAATCAGCGCGCGCGCGTTGCCCGCCCGCTCCGCGTTGAGCTTGTTCTCCCACTCCAGCGCCTTGCGCTGTCTCGCCTCTTCGGCCTCGAGCTCAGATGCCGCCATGGCCCTCGAACTCGCCAGTGTGGCTTCTGTCACCGCTCTCTGCTCTGAAAGACGCCGTCTAAAGGCATCGTTCGCTAGGCTCTCTTCCAGCTGAGCCTTGGAGCGGACGGTAGCGAGGTCCTCAGACTGTAACCTCCTGCGGCGAGCATCCTCCATCTCTGCCTTTTGCGATTGTATCTGCTGCTCAACAGAGGCCAACTCTCTCTTCCTGGCCAATGCAACGGCAAAGTCCTGAGATTCCTCCGCAAGCCGCTCCGAGCGAGCTTTGCGGAGGCGCTCTCGTACCTCTATATCCTCCGGCAACCCGACGGCTCCCTCCGGTTGAGTGCCTTCCTTGGCATAGAAAACGTCCGTGGCGCGGTTGGCGCGAAGAACAGTAAGAAGTTCATCACGGACATCGGACGACGTCAGAATCCTGTTGACATACATTGTCGGCGAATATACAAACGTTTCGTCTGCATACTGGTTGAATGGCTTGTTGATGAACCTCCACATGCCGCTCTTCAAAAATGCGCGCGTCGTAGATACTGGATCTGCCGCCTCAAAGCAGAGGTACAGCATGGACTTGCCATCCAGCTTGATGGTAAGATCGCATTTGGCCTTCTCAACCAGGAAGGTCATGACTTTTTGCATCTTTCGTTCCCGCTCAGGCGTCATCTCCTCGCCGTCGGATCCATGCAAGCAGACTTCTCCGAGAGCACTGCGACCGTTGTGGAGCGGGCTGGGAAAGTCCGGATCGTGGCCTGCTTCTATGAGTACCGTGACTGCTGTAAGGTTCAACTCCCTGGCGGCGTTGTGTAATGAGCCGTCGTCCTTGGACGGCTCTGCAGCAAGGAGAGTGGACATGATTTTGATAGCAACATCGCCGCCCAAATGGGAAACCATGGCCATTGGAGTTCTTCCAAGAAAGTCCATGGCATCTACATCAGCCCCTTCTAGTAAAAGCAACTTTACGATATCCGGGCGACGTTCCCGAACAGCCAGCATGAGAGGAGTTGTTCCCGACAGCTTGGTGGCGACATTGACCTTGGCTACATTGAATGTCAGTACACGTCGACCGGCAACTCATTTTCACTGATCGTGATTCACTCACCTCCCCGCTCTACCAGTATCTGAATCAGATTAGAGCTAACTTTCTTCTGCGGCTGGGCAATGGCCCACGTGAGCAGCGTCATCTCCTCTTCCTCCTCAATCTCTTCGTGAAGCTTGTATAGCATGGACTGATCATGATAGTAACCGGCATCCAACAGCGTCGTCAAGATGGTCGAGGATCGAGGATACTGCGAAATGGCTTTCCCCAGGACCGGCATGGAGCCGGCACGAGTGGCCATGACATCAAGCCGAACGTCTCCCTCGTGATATTCTGCAAACATTTGGAAAAAGTCCAACACTTCGTCCTGAGGGAGTGCAGTGTCGAATATGCAGTGAAACGCAAACGTGAGCGTTTCTGTGGACGGGTGACACGCAAGGAGCCTGTGCGTCCATTCGACGTTTGCTTGTGATGCCGCAAGCCGCAACGGCTCTCCATTCTGATAGTTGACGTTGGGACCGTAAGAAGTAAGGACGTCGAAAAAGTCGTCAGCAAGCTCCGGGTTGGAAACGACACTATTCATGACTGGGATGAGGGCTTCACTGAGAGCGTCGCCCTTTGCACCCTTGGTCAGTAGCATCTGCGCTGTTTCCAAACCGGACCGCGTAAACCAAGAGTCAAAGTTGTCGGCTTTGAATGAGTTGTTAAACGCCATATCAATGTCGTGCTGCGGAATCTCAATATCCAACAGGAGAGGCAACACCGAGGAGAGAGATTTCTGTACAGCATCGACCAAGGTCTTGCACCCGTTGGCCAAGGGTGAAGCGCCGTAGTCCAGCAGAAGCTTCACCAGCCTCTCCTCGGGATCTTCCTCGTTCACTGCGTTGTTCAAAGCAATGTGTAAATCTTCTGCCACGGGTAAGTCGGCCTTCATAAGATCGCCGATTATATGATACCGAGTGTCACGGTTCAGGCTCCAGCACGCCTTAAGTGCCCGGATCAATGTAGGGGGCGAGACTTTCTTCTGCAGAACCGTACGTTAGCTTCACGCAAAGCAAGAAATAGCGGCCTCTTTGTTGCTCACTTGGCTATCGCCCTCGTCCCAGAGACCAAGGAGGAGCTCCAGGTTTTCGATAAAGGCGCTTCTTGTGGCCGCAACGACAGCTTCGCCATTGGTATAATTCGGGTCTGCCCCGGCAACAAGCAGTACCCTCAAGATGGCCTGGCCATCTTTCCCATATCTCGCTGCCGTCTCCAGCTGCGCATCAACAAGCTCGCCCCTGAACCCCTTACCCAGGAGCAACTCAAAGATCATAGCCCGCTTGCTCAAGTCCCGGACCTCAGTAGCTGCTTGGAATCCCTCCTCAAGAGTCGCATTGCGGACTTGCATATCCGTCCCCAAGAGAACCTTGAGCACTTCCACGGAGCCACCACGGCATGCTTCGATGACGGCTTGGCCGTTATTCTCCGACATGCTTGCGCCATGAGACATGAGAATGTCGCCCAGCTTGACATCGCCCTCACGGGCGGCAACCAGCAGGGCGTTCGAGGCCGCGGTCGACGATATCTCATATGCCAACAAGCGTTGGCACAGGGTGTTTCGGTTTGGGCGATTCTTGATTTCCATCGCTCGAGTCAGTGCCATGCTGCGGCTGCCGACTGAGTGGTTGGAGACTTGCAGCAGAATGTCAGTCACATCCACAGACTCCTTGGATACGGCGAGAGACAAGGCTTCGCCGTCTGAAGCATCAGCCTTGCTAGCTAGAGTCCGTATCAGGCCAAAGTCCTCGGGGTAGGTCTTGATCGCGTGGATCAGCGCCTGATTGACCTCCTGCGGCGATATCCCAGCCTCCACAAGCCTCTTGGACAGCGTCAGCCTGTTCATAGGGTCTTGCAGCCTCAGGGCATGAGGGAGTGCGAGGCGCAGAGAAGCTTGGTTTAAGCGGCATTGGGGTCCGAACAGTAGATCAACGATGCGAATGTTGCCTCCCATGACTGCATGACACAATGCTGCGGCTTTGTATGCATTCGGATCGGCCCCGGATTCCAGCAACAACTCCAGGGCAGCGAGTGGCAGCTGTTTCTGACCGTGACCTGTGGTCTGAGCAAGGAGCTGCACCTCCTGAGCAAGAAAGCTATCCAAATCTTCCTTTCGATCAGACCGCGGTAGTAACACTCGCAGCTTGCCAGTCTTCCCGTCGGATGGGGTTGTCGAAGCAAGGGTTTGCAGCGCTTTGGTTACCGACTGACTTGTGGGCTTTCCCAGGCCAAAGACCAGTTCCAGCACCTTGGGGTCGAGGTTGAGCACCGCTTTCTCGATAACTACGCCGTCCAGCGCATTGACATCGGCGTAACCTTTCTGAAGCAGCAGCGAGAGGAGTGACATGTCGACAGGCTTCTCTGTCAAAGTCTCTGATAACGCCGTGGCAACTTCGACCACGCCGGCAGAGGCGCCCGCAATGAGCAACGATGTCATGATTTCGAATCTCGTCCTGTGATCATCGAGCCGCATGGCATCGTATGTTCTCGCGGCTGCTGTCTGCGGAGTTACCTTTTTCAGTAAAGGCATAAGAAGGCGGACATCTTTTTGTGCAATGAGAGGAGCAAGGCCGGCGCCATTGTTGAAGTTGATGTCCGCATCCCGCTGTAGCAGCAGGCCAACGAGTGCTTCATCTCTCTTGGAGATAGGTTCAGCAATGGCATCTTGGAGGGCGGCATGTAAAGTAGAGGAAGGTAGCTTGTGCCTGAGGAACTGTTCCACCATTTGGTAGCGGTCTGTGCCTGACAACTTCATGGTCAGCGGGAAGACGGCTGTCAGTGTCTCAGCCGAAGGCCGTGCAGCCAAGAGTTGCCTCGTCATCTCTATATTCGACTGCATTACCGCGGCGGCAATGGCCCTCCCGTTTTGATAATCAACAGATGCAACGGCATGACGCCCACTGGTCATGGGCTTATGTCCATTGGGTTGCGTCGTTGGGAAGTGGGTTTTGAGAAGCAGCTCGACCGAATCTACATCTCCAGCTTCAACAGCATCGATGAGAGCCCCGTGAAGCGCCTCACCGTTGGCTCCCTTTTTCAATAACAGAGTAAGCAAGGAATAACGCACTTCAAAGGCAGCCTGCTTGGGAATGGCTGAGACACAGCTTGACGCAGCCGGGGGGCTCAGCGCAGTTCGCTCGTGGAGGAGTGAATTGACCAGATCTAGTTGCCCACGAGCAATAGCGCCTTTCAGCATCGAGGCGTCGTTGTACTCTATAGAAGCGCCATACATGGCCAGCAGGTTGGCCATGTCGTAAAACTGAGTTTCGCACGATAACTCGAGTGCCTGGGACAAAAAGTCCCCTCCGGCGCCGGCACAAAGTAAGAGCTCTGCCAGCTCCAATTTGGAGTGTGGGTTCATCGATGAGTGCTCAAAGGCAGCCTGAAAGGCGCTGTCCAGCCCTGGACGCTGTGGCGGCAGATTTCCCATGATGATGGCCACTGCAATGTCCTTTCGACCCAGTTCAACTGCTTGCCTCAGGGCCTCGGCATGCCTATGGTTTCCATCCGCCGTGGAGCGGCTAAGATAGAGCACGGTCTGCAAGTTACCCGCCCTCGCGGCATCGATCATGGCGTCAGATATCAGGGCAGCAGGAGGTCGGCCCTCTGACTGGAGGACCAGGCTGACGATGCCAGACATTCCATGGTTGGAGCATGCCTGGCGAAAGGCCGTTTGTGTCTCGGTCAGTCGCGAGGCGTTGGCGCCGTACCTCAGCAGATTCTCGACGATCTGGGAATTGCCGTTTCGAATAGCAACGGTAAGAGACGCATCGAGCGCAAGAGAGTCGGCGTGGGGAAGCAGGACGCGGACCATGTCGGACATGTTTCTCTCCACGGCAGACCTCAGCAGCTGCGTGCGGCCTTCGAAGCTGTCCAGGCTCTTCCTCCTGCTCAGGATGCCGCTCTTGTGCTGCTGCGAGCCCGCCAGGTCCACGCCGGCCGCCGTCAGCTTGAGGATCAGGGCCTCGGCGACGCCCGGCGAGCCGGAGTTGTCGATCCACTGCCCCAGGACGTCGAGCACATCCTTGACATCCACAGCCTTGCCCTTCTTGAGGCTGTTCGAAGAAAAGGCCCCTCTGAGGCCGCTCTTGGGACGCGCCTTTGCCGATTCAGCCATGCGCTGCTGGACAAGAGCCTCAGCCACCTCGTCGTCGGCGGGCGTGCGGAACGAGGGCGGCTGCATGGGCCGCGACAGCGGAGGAGGAACGGGCGGGAGGACGATGCCCCATTGCTGAGACAGTTGCAGGATCCTGCGCTCGCGCTCGTTGGGGGTGAACGAGGGCATGTTTGCCCGTCAATACCGGCTGATGAGTCGTAGTCGTAGTACTAGTACCCGTAGGCCTGTGGCGCTGGCATTTGGGGTTCACTGTGAACCGTTGAGGTCTCAGCTGCGGTGGTTGTCGCAGCCAGGAACGCGCGATGCTCAACGGAGCAGGCCGGAGTTTAACTAAGCATAGGTATGGTAGAGTCGATAACAGGTGTGAGTTTGGTGATGAGAATTGATAAGATGTCAGTCGTCTGTGAACGGGAAAGGACACAAAGCAGCAGGCGTCAAAGGATTCGCTTCGGTTCGACGTTGCTGGTTCGCGGTTCCTGGATGACGGCTGTCGAGGTGCCCCGTCATCAAATGCTTGTCTCAGCTCCAGGGATCAGTCGGTTCAGCTACTGTCTGGTGGGGGCGGGCGCTTGCCGCGACAGCAGCTCTAGTGGCCTCTAGTGGCTCTAGCGCTGCTGCTCCCCTAATCCGCTAGTATTAGCTGGAACCAGGCGCCAAAAGAGGCAGCCCAGGCTGTTGACAGCTGGAGCCCGAATAAAGAGGATCGCGAAGAGAAGGGCAGCAGCATGCAAACAGCATCTACTTGAGTGGCATTAGAACGCTGGGATGCAGGAAACGGTACCAAAAGTCGAAGAATAGCCCTAGGTTATGTGATGCTCAGTACAAGAGAAACACCAAGGTACTCTTTCACTCGTAGTTGCCTTGATATCAACACTTGACCAGTTCGTACCGCCATCGACTTACACGTCCAAGTCGTCGTGCACACAGCCTGGTTGTCGATTCCGCCCACAACAGCCGCTTGGACGGCTTGATGCATTAGTGACCGTCCTTCTAGCGTCTCTCTCGCTCCACGCGATGCTGGTGATACCTCTTTGGACCCGTTTGTGGCATCATCGTGCTCAGTGTGGTGGCAGACGGGTTGAGACTGTGCAAACGACCACCATTACCATGTTACGTATTCTTGCAATACTGAACTTGGTATCGGAGCAACATCAAAGCTTCCCTTGAAGCCTATATTAATGATTACATGCATTGAGGCCAATTGTACGATTTCTCACCTGCCCTTGGCACCAATTTCTGTGATTGATTCCCACAAACCCTCGTATGATGAAGCAGAGCCCCCCCTTGGCTGCCGCTCAGCCACTTTACAACGTCCTCCTCCTGCACCGCCTCGATCCCCAGATTTCCCGTGGGAGGGTTGCGCGTCCTCTGGGGATCTGCCAACGTCAATTAACCTTTACGGTAAACTTTGTGTGAAATGAGATGACGACAGCTTATTCCGAAATTCTGCAGCTTTCTATTCCATCTTTCTCCTCTTAGTCTTCCTTTTGGATGTGTCCATTGGTTGGATGACAACATTCATATTCCATCACCCCTAGAATAGTAAGTTGGCACTATTTGCCGGAATCGCCACAGCTAGAACTATGTACATCCCGCTTGATATGTCAATAAAGTCAGCCTCAGGATCTTCCACAATAAGAACTCGAGAAAGATAATACGTACCGTTGACCCTTAATCATTCATTTGCAAGTACTTGAAGGAAGCAGCAAAACAGCGGCTGAGGTTGGAATTACTGTCAACGATGACGGGTTTACCTCATTCTGTGCTGACATATCCGATATATGGAATCACGAACCAGTTCACCCACCTTTGACACCAATCCAACCGAGTCCTTGGTGAACACACAAAGACCAATCCAGTACACTTCTTACGGCACTTCTCATAGTGGGAATACATTTGTTGTGCGGAACAAGATGATAGTGGTCTTGCGTCTAATAACGATGTCTCATGCTCATAACTGTTGCGTCCAACACGGCACCATCTCGATCAGCAATCCGTGGTGGGGACAGGAGCGAAAGCACAACTACCAGATGATTACAAACAGTCCAGTCCAGATTCAAGCAATCACTTCAAGCGAAGTGAATCGTCCTATGAAAGTGGTTATGGACCATCACGTGCCGTTTGCAGATGAACCAGAATAAACCAATCATGGACGCTGCATACATGTACCTACTGTCAACAGGAGAAATCTCGAACGGGCTTTTGGGCAAAAGATTCTCTAGGAATTAGGCATCAGGAGCGGCCAAAACAGCACCAACGCTCATTGCTTGACAACTTGCCAATCCCATTATCCTTTATCCGCGAATACCCTCAAGAGAACATTGGCAACTACGGCACGAAACAACAAAATGAAACCATTCCGCAACAGTCTCCTCTTTGCTGGAGCCTTTCTTCTCCAACTCGCGTCGGCCTCCTTCATCCTCGCCCAGAATGACCAAGGAGCTCAAATCGCATGCTGCCCTCAAGGCAATGACCCTGCCTCCCCCGACTGCTGTGACGCGAAACGCCATCAACCGGGATCGGACAAAGCTGGCTACAGATGTTGTTCCCTAGAGCAGTTCGCCAAGAGTGTCGTCTGCGGCAATCTGGGAAAGATCATGGTCGACGGCGAGTGCGTTTGCCCCTCCAACATGATCGAGGACGCCAGTGGAGTCTGCCAAGTTGCCATTCCCGCACCATCTTGCGAATCCGGCCTCCATGAAGGTAAGCATACTGGGAGATGCTTCATCTATGCTCTAGCACCTTTGAAGCGGTTAGCTGGTACTGATGATCTAAGGTATAGGAAAGTGTTACCTCTTTCAATTCACAAATGGCCTATTGGGGCCTGATGGGACAGGTCAATATGATATCGTAGATGAGAGTCGAAAGTTCTGAAAGTTCCAGTTCTGCAAAACCGAGGCTTGCTCCGGCAGATCGCCCATCAATCCCAACGACGAATTCCGCATCTACGATGTTCTGGGAGACGGCCTGACTGACGAAAGTTTCGGGCTGTGGGTCAACTGGCCAGTAAATACACCTGATGGCCGCCTTGGAACCACGGAGACATGGGGCAAGGCCTCAAAATTCTCCATCAGTCGATGGACTGACGGGCAATACTGTCTCTCGCGAGTTCACAACACGTTTGTCAACCAGCAATGCTTCCCTCTGTGGGTCGTCGAAGTGCCTTGCGATATTCACGCTCTTGAGAATAACTGCATCGGAAACTATCCTCGCAAGATATTTGATGAGGATCCTACGACTAAGAAGGCAATTGAACGTCTTAACCTCGAAGAGCAGCTCTATGGCCGGAAGATAGGCAACAGGAATTCAATGGCTGAAGACCCAATTGACCTCTTCGTTGCAAAATTGATTATAAGGCTGGAAATGGTGGTCTACCTGGTGGTTCTCTTGTTGACAATCAGATGCTTCTCACATAATCAGCGGTAGTGAGTTGTTTGACTGGCTTAGTGGAAATGCTTTGGCCCGGCTTGGTGAGTCGCGATGCTTGTGATGGATATGGGACGCAACCTTTTGTTCTCTTTAATGGCATCGGAAGACTTTTTATACAGAAATGGAAAACACATTGAGAGTCTGGACAGTAGCTGGCTGTGCTGAGGGAGTCCCCTCAAGTATAGCATATGTTGTTTAAATCTGAATCGAGATGAAGCAGATAAGCAAGATTTTTGAATGAGAGGCCTTGGAATTGCATTTCTGGCCTTTGAACCCATTTATATCACTGATTATCTACGGTCCAGCCTTGCAATCAATCGCCATATCTGCACATGTAATATGTCGAGACAGATGCAAGGCCATCTTACTAAGACTCCCATCTTACGTCCACCTCGACTGCCCCTTGTCAGCATCGACATCATCAAGAAACATATCACAAAAGCATTAACAAAGTAAATCAATACCCAGAATTATGTGTTCGTATTCAATCAACACAGTACCATGTCCTCGCGCCTCGTGTACTAGAGTCCGTCAAGAAATAGCAGTCTTCGCAATATGCACCCATCGTGCCAGCACAACGCCCTTCGTAAATCCAAGTCGTATCAGAACAACCCCCCAAGGTTTATGCCCAATCAGCAATGACACGAGACGGCAAGCCAGGCTCAATCGTATCCAGCTTCACGAGAAGCTCATCCCAAATCTGCTTCTGAATCGCCTGTCCAGTCTCATTGGTCACCCACTCCGGAATATGGTCCCTAAACAAGAACATCAGCATCAGCATCACAAGGTACCCAACGCAACAACTGCAAGGAGGAAACTCACTCTCGAATCTCGCACGAAGTCAAATACTTCCCATGACTCTCCTCCCCAGCCTTGACAGCATGCACCAGCGTCCTGCTTCCCATCTCGGCGCTCCGCCCCAGCGCAACTTTGGCGAACCATGCCTTGGCCCGCGTCCAAATACTCAACTCCTTATTCAGCCCCGTCTTGCAGAACCCCGGATCGACAACATTCACAACGACCCCGAGCTCAGACACGGGCCTCAGGGAAGCAAGCTGCCGCGCAGCCATGTGCTCCAGCAATTTCGTCACCGTGTACCGGTTCGTAAAGTCGCTCTCCCACTTGGCCCTGTCATTCAGATCGTCCAAGATGCCCTCTGCGGGAAACTTCTTGATGCTCTCGCCGCCAAAGAAGGCGCCCATCGACCCGACAACCACAAGACGAGGCGTGATGCCGTGCGTCCTCGCAACGGCCTGCATGTGCGGCAACGCCTCAAAGGCGAGCAAATAATTCGAAATGAAATTCACCGTCAGGTGCGACTCGTTGCCCTCCTTGACCTGCCACCCGGCATGCGAAACGCCCGCATTCAAAACCAGCGCGTCAACCCTCTCCACGGTCTCGATCCGCTTGCCAAACGCCCTGACGGACTCGTACGAAGCGAGGTCCAGCGGCCAGATCTCGACGACATCCTTGCGGCCGCCGGCGGCGTCGCTTTCAATGGTCGCCTTGGCGGCCTTGCCGCGCTCCTCGCTGCGCGCGCCAATGATTACTTTGCCGGCCTCAAGGCGGACGAGGTGCTTGGCGAGCTCATAGCCGATGCCGCCGGTGGCGCCGGTGACGACGTAGGTCTTGCCCTTGACGTCTTCGGTGGTCAGGGCGATGGGGAGGTTCTTGCGCTGGTTGGGGAAGAAGTCGGCGAGGGCCTTGGTGGGTGCTGTTGAGTCTGCGGGCATCTTGAAGGATTGTAATGAGGACCGATGGACTTGGAGAGGAGCAGAGGAAGAAGCAAGTAGATCACGCCGTATCAACTATACTCTTGAAAGAGTATCAGGCTGAATAGGACGAGAGAAAGACGACAAAGAGGAGAAATAAGAAACAAGAAGGTTGAGGTAAAGAGCAGACATGTTTCTCCCCAGATAAGGTCACACGTCAAGCCCATTAAACAACACAACCCCCGATCCCTCATCCAATCGAGACATCCCCAACCCGCCAGGCTTAGTCGATCCCGCATCTGCCCTTGACATGACGACTGAGTAAAGCAGCCTGGCTAGGCAATCAAGGGATATACGCAAGGCCGCTCTGCCCTGCATGTTACTTTGTATCAGCCATGTTGTATTTTCCTTCGTAAGCCCAGCCAACCTCCATCTGTCGTGCAACTCTGATAGGTTTCAATCCCATCTCACAAAGGATGTGCTTTATCTTTTGCAGCTGGAGGTACAGCACACCTGATGTCCTGCCTAGAGATCAAGCACTTCTCGTAGTAATATCCCGAAAACAATCGGCAGAGTAGCATTGCATATGTCGTATGCGTAGCTGAGCTGGTGCCTGATACTTTCACCTCTTTACCGAGTATCACAGCCAAAATAAACACCCATCATCCTGTACCAGCTAAAACATCCTATTCGCTGTCTCCTAACGAAGCTCTCCGACAAAGGTGAAATCCCACCACAACCCATCACACCGCCCCAACACCCGGAACATCATCCAAGACAATGTCCAAGACACTCAACACCAAAACTTCTCTCCCAGCAACCGCTACCCCGAAATCCCTACAATAGCCGCCCATCACATGAGACTTGGTCAGAACGAAAAGTCGGCTTCCCAAAAGCCGAGACATTGGTTTATAGGTAAAGTACGTAGGCGTACCTGTCAGGCACACAACAGTTCTTACGTGGAATATTAGTACTAGTCGCAGATACGCTTATTCCATCCTTCCCCCCTCGTCCTCCCCTGTAATGCAACACACCATCTCTTCACACGGATACCAAGGCAAATCATATCCGTCGAATCAAATGTGGCCTACATATGCAAGGGGTTAACCAACCTTGCCAGCCACCGGCCATCTCATAGTACTAGTAGTAGTATATGTATCCTCACCTAAACAACAGCCTTAACCATAACCAAGCAATGCTCACCATAGCCGGCAATCACAAGCAAAACGCAACATCACGCTGAGGCAAAAAAGCAAATCAAACATCTAAGTGGAAGATTATATGACAGATGCGTAAACGTACAAAAGCAGGCACAACACATGTTTGGCAGAAGGGAAAAAAGAGAAAAGCCAAACATGCACTGCGCTCTTCAATAGACACACACAGTCCGACGAGATACGCCAAAGACAGTCGTGCTATGATATGAGATTAATCTACACCCCAAATGCCCTCCTTCCATCTCCTTCTTTTATACTTACTCCCTTCTCAAGACCGATAGCTTCGACCGGCTGGCGAACCAGAGCCCCCGTACCACTAAGAGAGCTTCTTCTGCCAGCCGACCCAGCTGCGAGAAACCACGCGCCAGATCTTGACCTCACCGCTCCTCAGGTCATCCAGCTTGTAGCTTTCTTGCTTCACCTTCTTGCCGTCTCTGCCCTGCTCCCAGGCCCTCACCTTCTTCTTGGTGCCATCCCACTCGGCTACGATGCCCACGTGGTCTGGCTTGCCAACCTCGCTGGTGTATTTGGCATGCATGGGCCCGTGCTTCCCTTGGAACTTGGCATTACGGATGGTGATGATGTCGCCGGGACGAATGACATCGTGCTGCTGGGTGGAAGCGTTGGCCATGTTGGCGTAGACGAGGGCACCGTACGATCTAGTGCTAATAGGCAGCAGGGCATCCTCTAGTGGTCGGATCATTTCCAGAACAAAGCTCGCCGCGGTACCGTCGCCCACAACCTGGTCCTTCTTGGCACTGGCCGCTGCAATGATTTTTCGACCAAAAGTGTCGTAGGCTTCCTCCATCTGGTCTTGTCGCATCGCCTTGGGAGGACCCTCGTGCCGTTGCTCTAGCTCGACATTAGACGGGTCATAGGGATCGTAGCGGGCCGTGAGAATGGTCTGCGAATAATCTTGGAACAGGATGAATGTTTCTCTGCTGATGATCGTCTTCTCGCCTTGGTTCGTCGTGGTTGACTCGTCGCACTCAAAGTAGATGTCCTTTCTGCCCTGGAGGACCGGAGGGACTTGGTTCGACTGCTTCCACCAGCCGCTCTGCACCGCCAAATCAATATCTCCCGCGATAAAGCCAGAGTCCATCGACGGGCGGTGGTGGTCAATTGATCTCCTGGGAGCGCTCAGACTGGGCCTGGGCAGATCGGCAGAGGTTCGCGGACGCGCACCTATCGGAGGCGGGACCCTTCGATCGGGCGGCGACACAGCTCTCGAGTTGTCAGATGAGAGTGCAGTCGGCTCCTCGACAATCGGAGATTCCGCGACATCTTCTGGCTTAGGCGCACTCGCGTTGGAGATGAACAGAGCATCGTGGCTTTCCTCCGACGTGGGCGACATCACCTTTGGCGGAGGCGCAGGAGGCGGCAAGATCGGAACAGAACGAGATAGATCGTTCGATCTCCTCGGCAGGGGCGGAGACTGCGGCACAGGCGGAGGAGCTGCTCTCGGCGTCGAAGCAACCGGGGGTGGAGGAGGCGCGTCTGGCGGTACGTCGGTGAAGGGCGACTGAAGGCTGGTCTCTTCCAGGCTAGATTCTTGATCATTCGCCGCCAAAGCATCCTTGTGAGGTACAGATGAAGCAATGTCCGTATCGTAGTCACCCTCATACTCTGTTGCCTCTCCAATCTCTTCTCCTGCCTGTGCAGGCCTAGTCGGCGAGGCAACTTCAAAGTCCGCCGTGGATCGTCGGCTTGGCGCACTGGGTGGTGGAGGCGGCGGTGGGCGAGATGTTACCGCAGCAAGCATGGACGCAGCGCCCGGCACAGGAGGCGGGGGTCTGCTAGCACGTTTGCTGGTTGGAGACGTTGGCGAGAATGCACCAGGTCGGGGCGGCGATTGCGGAGGAAGCGACGCCTCGAACGACTGGACGGGAGGTTGGATCGGGGATCTCAATGCAGAGGCCGACGATTCATTGCCCTCACGGGCCCCATTGGAGAGTTCATCGTCAGATTCGGATCCCTCTGTAGCTGTGTTAATAGGAGCGGCAGCCGGAGGAGGGGGCGGGGGCGATCGAGCTATGCAGCCAAAGGATATCAGCATGTGAATAGACTGTAGGTAGATTGTTGGCTTCACATACCTCCGGCAGGAACGGGAGGGGGCGGCGGACGGGCTTTGAAGAGTCAGTATCGTGTACATTATCATGATGGCAGTGGGCGTATCTATACATACACGCTGAGGGAACTGGAGGAGCAGACAAGTCTTCTTGGGGCACAGGCGGCGGTGCTCTGTGTTCCGCAGAGGCTACAGAGTGTTAGCAGGCAAAGATGAGATATTTTGGAGTTCTTAACGCCCATATGTGCCTCACCTTCTTCGGGTTGAACAGGGGTAGCATCTCCCTCTTCGGATTTCTGTGCTAGTTCAGCCTCCGGTTCATCAGACTTTGCTGTCTCTTCGGCGGGCTTAACTGGAAGTCCCATGCCCGGGAGCGCCATCATGGTGGGAACAGGAGGAGCGCGCGGCGGCGGAGTGACATCCTCTTCCCGCGTGACGGCCGACTTTGTGGGCGGCTTGGGTGCCTTCTTCTTCGGCAGGCCACCCCCCATAGGAGGTGCTGGGGCACCAAACATGCCGTGGAAACCCATTCCACCGCTCATCTTGGCCATGCGCGCCCGAAGCTCCTCTCTGCGCTTGACTTCCGGGTCGACTTCCTCCTCTTCTTCCTCTTCCTCCTCCTCTTCCTGCTCTTCCTCCACTGTTTCCTCTGCCGCTGGCTGTTCTACGTCAGCAGCGGGAGCAGCGGAAGATGAGGCAGTCGGGACTTTCGAAAGTCGTCTTGAAGCATTGTCGTCAGCATCGGCTTCTGCGGCTGCACCATTAGCAGCTTCTTCTGCAGTAGACTCCGTCGCACCAGGCTCAGGTTGGGGTCGCGGCGGTAGGGGAGCCGGCTCAGAGGGAGTGGCCTCCAGCGAGGCCCTCGGGGCAGATTCATCAGTGGATTTCCGTTCGGGCGCCTCGGACCCTTCCGCAGCCTCGGGAGGAACAGAAGCTTGCGAATCCACGCGCTTCTTAGGTGGCGGCGGCTTCTTCGGCTTCTCTTTCTTGGCCAGCGCATCAGCATGGCGTTGGGCCTGCTCCATCTGCTGCTTCTGGAGAAGAGCAATGCGCTCCTTGAGGCTGGTAGGCTTGGGCTGGTCTTCTTCGTCCTCTTTCTGAGTTTCGGGAGCAATCAATCCGGCCTTCTCAGCTTGCCCCTGGGTCTCGGCCACCTGCTCCTTGACTTCGGGATCTTCGTCTCTTCGGTAGACTCTGGCCGCGGGGGCCTCGCGAGGAGGGGGAACGAATGCATTTCGGCTCGGGGGCGGGGCCACGAATGGCTTCTTGATAAAGCTCGATGCGCCAGCGCCGCCGAGGCCACTGGGCTTAAAGGGCGCAATGGGGGGCGCGGCTGACTTGTTAAACGCTGCAATGCGGTCTTTGAAGGAACTGGGCTTCTCAGACACCGGCGGAGGGGCGGCCTTGGGTTTCGGAGCGCCGCCAGCTGGAGCGGTCGAGGCCGGAGCGTCAGCAGGCTTGGGCGAGGTTGGCAGAGGCACCGGGACTGGAGCGGGAGCTGCTGCTGGCGGGGGTGCGGGAGCCGAGGCGGCAGCAGGCGCGGGCACGGGCACGGGCGGTGCGGGAGCGGGAGCGGGAGCAGGAGGCTCTGCCGGCTGGGTATGCTTGACGGGCTCCGCGACTCGCTTCGGCGAGAGCTCTGAGGCCACGTCAACGGGCGGCGGTGTCGATCGCGCAGCCGCGTCGTCGGCGGGAGCCTCCGGAGGGGGGGCAGCGGGAGCAGCAGCGGCGGCGTCGGTCTCCTGCTTCTGCTTCCTCACGGGTCGCGGGGGCGCCACGGGCTCGAACTTTTCGACAAAGTTGCGGGGGAAGATGCCCTCCCTCTTGACGCCGGCGTCGTCGACGTACTCGCCGCCGTACCAGTCGGCGTCATCCTCGTCCGTGACGGCAATGACCTGGCCGGCGGGGAAGTTGAGGTCGTCCTCGTGCGGCGACGAGTACTCGTACAGCGCCTTGACGCGGAACAGGGCGGCCATTGCGGGTGGTGTCGTTGCAGGTGGCGGCAGTTGCTGGACTCCAGCCCAGACAGCGTTCCAAGGCGGTTGGGGAGGCTTGTAGAGGAGGAGGTTGTCGTCGCCTGTGGGGGCGCTAGAGAAGCCGTTCCCTTGGTCAGCCGGTGAGTGGCTGTGGTAAAACGTGGGGAGGCACTGGGTGAGGGGGACGGCCGTCGCGTAATTGCTGGCCAAGCGGCGGTTTCAGCCCACGAGCAGCGAGTCTGGATCTGGCGAGTCTCGGTGTGCAGCAGAAACAAGCAAACGGGGGGGTTGAAGGTGTAAAGGATAAAAACGGCGCAGAAGAGGCTGTGAAACGCGGTGGATCTCTCGGCCGCCAGGTTGCTTCTGCTGAGTGTGAGCGTTGAGTGGTGTGTTTGTGTGAGTGCGAGAGCGAGTCGAGTGTCGACGTCAGCGCACCATGACAATCAATGACAGGCGGCGGCCACAGGGCAATGACGAGGACGGCGTCCAAGTAGCAGTACCTGGAGGACCGCCCGGATGTGCTAACGGGTACGCGGACGGTGGCGGAGGGGCCAGACAGTGGCAGCAGCAGGAAGGGGTCGATGGTTTGTCGCCTCAGGTACCGGTACCGAGGATGTGCCGCATTCGTCACTTGGGCGGTTGGAAGCTGGCAGGCGGCTGTCCATTCAGCGAGACAGGAAGATGGACAGAGAGACAGGTTGCGGTAGGCTCTCTCGAACCTTCAAATAATAGCCGCGACGGGGCTTTTTAGGAGCTTCCAGGCTGCAGTGGAGCGATGATACAGGCCATACGGCGCATCTGAACCTGGCCTTGCACAACACGAAACGTGCTAGGCCAGGTATGCGAGATCACATTTCTATTTCCATCGCCATGCCGTCAATGCAGGGGGATGCCCTTCGTTTCCGATTCTGATTCTGATTCTTATCCTGACTCTGCATCGCGTCCCCAGGACTCGGCACCGCCTTGGCGACTCGCAGCATTGCTGGATCTGACAAAACATTCGACGACCCGAGAAACAATAGTCCAGACGCTCCAGCCCAGCTCCCCGGACCTCCGGCCAACACAGCCTTCCTCTGCCGTCGTGCCCGCGGCCTGTGGCACATAGGCACAGGCACATGCACATGCACATGCACACAATGTCCAAGGCCGTCCATGTTTCCATTGCTCCCGCCTGGTAGCATATCACATTCGGACACGGCGATGATGCATGCTTCGTACCTACCAGGCACCCTTGCGCGACTCCCGTCGCCTTACACAACCAAGACAAGCACGTCAAAGCCCATTTGCCCATCCATCCATCATTTTGTCTTCCCAGCGTTGCGCCACCGGCTGCGTGTTTTCGTCCGGCCGAGGCGCCACAGGCAGCAACCCCTCCAGCTCTCCTGTAATCTGTAAGCACTCTTCTGACAGGCTGAAGGCGCTCCATAGAAGCAAGGCACGGCAGCAGCTCTGGCTTCCATTTCTAGTGGGGCCGCGGCTTCACTGCCGCCCAAGGCTGTAATTATTCTGTATTCCAAAGGCTGTGCTTTTTCTGCACCACCGCACGCTTCTAGACCCTTCAACCAACACCGGCATCTCCAGTACCTAGGCAAACCCGAGACGCGCAAAGGACCACACAAAGGAGCTTTCAGGCATCCCATGGCGAATTCATCCGGCAAGCCCAAGGGCATCCTCAAAGACTCCATCACGCCCTCGGGCGACTCCAAAAAGCAGACCGCACGCGAAATCGCCATCCACCACGCAACCCTCCTTCAGCACCGCAAAGACCTCGAAAGCCAGATCCTCGACAGCCTCATCCTGCTATCAGAATATCCCCTCGTTAGGGAAGCCCCCTACAGCTCCGCAAACCCAGCCCCGTCCGACATTGCAGACTTCAAGGCCAACGTGCGACTCTTCCAACCTTCAGACTACGATGACCTCATCGAAGAGCGCAATGTGAATGAACTTTGCGGCTACACGCTCTGCGCGAAACCAAGACGCCAGACGGGCGGCGGCGGGGAGTGGAAGCTGACGAGCAGCGGCGAGATTGTCAAGCGCAAGGAGCTCGAGAAGTGGTGCTCTCAGATATGTGCGCGCAGAGCCCTCTTTGTCAAGGTCCAGCTCAACGAGACGGCTGCTTGGGAACGAGCCGGGATTCCCGACATCCAGATCGATCTTTTGGACGAGGACAAGTCTATGGAGACGGAGGCTGATCGGACTGCGCGCAAGCTTGGTGAGCTTAAGCTGGACGACCAGCGGCAGGCTGCCCGAGACTCGGCTGCTTTGGCGATGGAACGAGGAGGCAACGGGATCAACTCTTCCATGGACAAGGTCAAGGTTACGCTGAAGGAAAAGGACGTCGTGGCGCCGTCTTTATTGGCCGCTGGGACTGCCAGTTCAGAGGATCATTTACTTGTCGATGGCCATAAAGCAAAGATACCCGAGGAAGAGACAAAGGAATCAGAGTAACCGAACCCTGGTGAGGACGAACAGGGGAGCATAAACTTGGCGTTGGGTTGTCATTTTCATCAAGGCTTTAGCATATATTGAGGGCGGAAAAAGTTACGTGGTTTGGGCGCAATAATACCCGTTGACAGTTTGGCTTGATCGGACATCCTCGCCCACAGCAGTTTGTTAGGTAAATGGGACAAGAGTGGATAGCAGATCCAGCTCAATGAGATCCTGCATTCAGTCACATGCACACGACAGCGTGACGAGAAGGGACGGTTCTTGGCAATCAAGCGTCATCTCGAAATTAATCAGAGAATCGGCGACACCTTGTGGGGTAGAAGATCTTTCTTTTGTGCGAGATCTATGCACTCACTACCATCCTGAGACGCCAACCTGCAAAATGTTGCAAAACCAGAGACCCAATTTCCCACAAAAAAAGAAAAAGCTTTTTAGTCGCGGCGAGGGCGGTCGCCGAATCGTCGCTGGCCACGCTCGGGAGCCTGAGCCTGGGAGACGGGGATGACGTTGGTGGGGATGGAGTCGAACTATACAGAAACGGGTCAGTTATACGATCCCTCTGCCTGATTGTCGAGCATTCGGGAGGTCGTCGGGGGTGAGAACATACGCCGAGATGCTTGAGCAGGTCCTTGGTCTCGTTGTCGACGTCCAGCTGGCCAGCCTCGGAGAAGTCGAGAGCAGAGACCTCGGGGACGAACTGGTCCTTGCGCTCACGCTCCTCTTCCTGAAGCTTGAAGGAGATACCACGGACGGGTCCACGCTGAATGCGCTTCATCAAGTGGGTGGTGTAACCGGCAATCTGTATGTCCAACCTCGCCGTTAGCCACATGATCCCCCTGATTCGTTTCTTTCTTCTTCTTTTTCGTTCCCGATCTCGAGATCGAAATTCTCCCCTTCAAGTGCTGATATGGTGCTGTCTGACCTTGTTGCGCAGGCGCTTGGAAGCAATGATGGCAATCTCATCGCAGATGCGCTTGTTGGTCTCGAAGTCGAGGGTCAGGCGGGGGTAGTACCGCTCAATGATGACCTTGGCGGACTTCTTGACGGTCTTGGTACGAACGCGACCCATTTTGACGGTGTTGGCGTGGTGGTGGTGAGGACTGGTGGTAGTGAGTGAAGCGTTGCGGAATTCCTATCCAAGGAAAACTTGGTGGTTGAGCAGCCGCGGTGGGGTTGGGAGCCGAATTGATTAGGGCTCGGATTGCATGCACGTGTGTGGTCACGTGCAATATTTCCAAGTGCAGATAGACTTGTGTGAAGCTCAGCACTAGCTATTCGCGGGTTAACGTCATTCTGTGCTCAAGCTATTCCCTTTTAGATCATTCTGGAGATGTAAGTTGAGGTCAAGGAGACACTCAGACTGACGAAACATTTGAACTTCGTCTTTTGTTCGTACTGCTTTACATGTATGATACACGGGTAGATTTGATAGCATTTTCATAATATACAGTGACAGGCAATCATTAACGCAGCCCATCTTTTCTATCCGTCGCGCCCGTAACTGCCAAAACTCTTCCGCCCTCACTCATAGCCCCCTTTATGACTTGTCAAAGCGGGACGACTCCCCCAACACCTCATCAGCAACACGGTTCAGACGAGTCTCGTTTGACATACGCGTTGACTGCTGGTTAGCCGGTTCGCTGGGAACATAGCCCTTCGTCGGGCCGTCGTGGTAGATCTCGGTAAGGCCCCTGCTCTCTCGCGCGATGACCTGGGCCTCGGGGCTTGTCTCTCGCAGCTGCAGGACGACCTTGCCGCTGGGATCAACGGTGGCGGTCGCAGCCTCGACGTAGGCCTTGGCACCACCAAACGTTGTGGTATCGAGGTGCATGATGCCGTTGAGAACACCCTTGGGGACGGACATTCTGGCTAGCGTCCTCGGGTTGAACTCGTTGTCTCCGGAGGGAGTGTCGGCGACGAAACCGCCTACGCCCAACTTGGGAGGGATATGACCAGATCTGGGATACACCACTCGAGCCAATGCGGGCGTTTTCTTGGCCTGGGGCCCGTAGACAGGGTGGTTCTCCATGAATGAGCTGGTCCGCAGGTAGCTGATACCCGCCGAGGGGTGGCTGGGGGGCGGGCCAGATTTGCCGTAGGGGCTCTCGGGAGCAAGGCTGTCTCGATCAGCCCAAAAGGCGTGGATGAAACCAACGGGCTGTCCCAGGGGCGCCAGGTCGAGGAACTTGGAGACAAGCGCATACAGCGTCACCCGGTCGTTGCGCAGCGCGCGCAGGTATTCTGTGAACTGCGCCTCCGTGATATCTCGCACCTCGAATTTCGGAGGGGCCTCCTTGCCAGCGTCCAAAGCAGCCTTGTTCTGGCTCGTCGTGATGTCGTCCGCCAACTTCTCCTTGAGGAGTGCCCGGAAGTGCGCCCTCTTGGGACGGACCTTCTTGTTCAGGTACTCGACAAACTCTCCCTCCGTCATCCTCGCAAGCCACGGGCCCTGGAACTTCCATCTCCGGTCGTCGCCCCGGCCGCCCTTGAAGTCTGTGAAGTCCATATCCTCCTCGAAGACCGACTTGTGCCACAACTCCGACCGTGTTGAAGAGGCATGTGACTTCTTGTCGGTATTGAACGGCACGGACATGGCCACCCGCAACTCCTGGAACTTTTCTAATGACAGCGAATGGTCGGCCGCGGAAGCAAAGTTGGTGACGTTCTCGACAGTGTCCACCTGCTTGACTCGGATGTAGGGCGTCGAAGTGGCCATGGTAGATTTGAGAGGGAACGGGCGCTTGAGGCCCCAGTCGCCCTTCTCTCGTGATGCCAGCGGCGAGGTGAGGGACTGGTGCTGCGGATACGGTCTCGTCATTGTCGCGGACTTGTGATCGCCGATATGGAGGTTCGTCGACGGCGGTTCGGGGAGCGGCTTGGGGATTGAGAACATGCGCGATGTCCTCAGCAGCGCCCCCCCGGGCGATACGGCTCTGCCCGACATTGTGACTGTCGGAGCTCGTTGGGAAGCGCAATGGGCCTGATGAGGATCGATGCCACTTCATACGACGGCCGACGACTTGGATGCAAATTCTCGTGCTGGAGTTGAGCGCAGCTTCCAATTGCCGAGGTTGATCCGGCGATGGTCCCCTCGTTGTGGCGGGGTGTGGCGCATGCAAGGTTCCAAGACGCCCCGCCAAATTTCTTGCAGTTCCAGGGTAAGGTCACCTTGTCGTGTAAGAAATTCCCCAGGCAGAAGATCAGAAATTCACCGTGAGAGGAGGCAGATTCTGAACGCTTTCAGGCCCAAACCAGGGACTTTCATGGGTCATATCGGGGGATAATGCTGATGACAAAAAGAATGGCGTCCAACGTTTACTCAGCTCCCGCCCTCACCTTTGAACTGGTTGCCAAATGCTCAGTCAGTCTCATGCCTCAAAAACATCGAGTCTTGATGTGACTCCATACTGACTGAGACCACTCCAAGCCAGACAACTCGAGCTCGCGCCTCCATTCTCACACTTCCTCATGGCCCAGTTCAGCTACCGGTCTTCATGCCTGTTGCCACCCAGGCTTCTCTCAAGGGGATCACTTACGAACAGTTGGAGGACACTGGTTGTCGCCTCTGCCTGAACAACACCTATCACCTGGGCTTGAAGCCTGGCCAGGAGGTTCTCGATGCCGTTGGTGGTGCTCACAAGCTGCAAGGATGGAATCACAATCTACTGACAGATAGCGGAGGGTAAGTTTTATTCAATTCTTCACCCGAGACCATCGTGAGCTGACATATCACGGCAGCTTCCAGATGGTTAGTCTGCTGAAACTCGCCACAATCACAGAGGAAGGCGTGCGCTTCCTGAGTCCTCACGACGGCTCACCCATGCTCCTCACTCCAGAACACTCAATAGACCTGCAAAACACAATAGGCAGCGACATCATGATGCAGCTCGACGACGTCTTGGTGACCACCTCGCCAGACAAAGCCCGCATGCGAGAGGCCATGGAGCGCAGCGTAAGATGGCTCGACAGGTGCATCGCCGCGCACAAGAATCCGGATAGGCAGAATCTGTTTTGCATCATCCAGGGAGGACTGGACCTTGAGATGCGGCGAGAATGCTGCAGGGAAATGCTCGCTAGAGATACCCCTGGCATTGCGATAGGCGGGCTCAGCGGAGGAGAAGCGAAAGCAGACTACTGCCGCGTTGTCGAGACATGTACGGCCCTGCTGCCCGATCTCAAACCCCGGTACGTCATGGGCATCGGCTACCCAGAAGACCTCATCGTCAGCGTCGCTCTCGGAGCAGACATGTTCGACTGCGTCTGGCCAACAAGGACAGCCCGGTTCGGAAACGCAATCACGAAGCGCGGCGTCCTCAACATCCGCAACTCAAAGTACGCTACCGACTTTGGGCCTATTGAGCCTGGTTGTGGCTGCATGTGTTGCAGAGAGGGCGAGGACGGCATGGGCGTCTCAAAAGCCTACATCCACCACAACGCTTCCAAGGAGACGGTGGCGGCACATCTGTTGACTATTCACAATGTTTGGTATCAGCTGCAGCTCATGCGCGAGATTCGGCAGGCGATTATTGAGGATAGGTTTCCTGCGTATATACGCGAGTTTTTCGCAGGGCTGTACGAGGATAAGACGCAGTACCCTGAGTGGGCTGTGGATGCACTCAAGGTGGTCGGCGTTGACTTGACGGAGTAACAATAGATTTCTCATGGACTCGTTAAGAACTGTTTCCATATTTACCCTTTCGATATGCTCGGCATTTACATGGACGTATCCAGACTTGATCACATATATATACCCAGCCTAGCCGCCCCCTTAACGTACTTGCTCGTAATTGAAATATGGTATTAAAAGCGGCACTCCCAGTGTACATGTACATACGTATATCCATTTAGTCAATCATCTCTTCATCAGATCTTCCAGCCATCGTTTACACCATCGCAACAAAGCCGGCTATCGCAAGCACACCGGCCGCCAGGCCAACACGAGCAGTCGGCGCCGCATTGCCCGATGTCGTCGTAGTCGCAGCCCGAGTCACAGTAACAGTAGCTGGACCACCCGAAGCAGTCGAGTCGCCCGTCGCATCGGGAGGAGGGAAAGAGCTGTCATCCGTCGCAGTCGAACTCGAGGGAGCGGTCGTCGTCGAGGAGATGGTGCAGACGTCGCTGAAGTGGTCACAGAACGTAGCCATCGTCTTGGCCACTGATAGGTACACCATGTTAGCTGTTTGTATGGGGATGATCACGTCTGCACAGCAAACGGGGGAGGTTTCTGGTGCAACGAACCGTTGGAGGCGGTTTCGGGCTCTCCTTTGCCCGCGGTGGCGGCCCAGTCTAAACATGTCGAAGCATATGTCTCAATCTCATCGGTCCACGTAACATGGCCATCCAACGCAGTGCGGCAGCTATTGTGTGTGTTGTAATTCCCATCAGTTCATGTCCCTCAACAATACTGGAAAGCTTCAGTCAAAATCATACCAATAGCAGTAAGCCTGCTCTCCGAACGGCAGATCCGTAAAAGAAGGCGTTGCACTCGTACACTCCTGGAAAATGCCCACCATCTGGATACACGCAGAAGCGAGCGTGATTACGGGAGACGTATTCGTCGTGCCAGAAGCCGTTCGAGACGCAGCACTTCCCGATGCCCCGGTTGCGGAAGAAGCCCTGGTGGACTCAACGGTCGATCCCTCCGCCGTCACGCGCGATGTTTCTGCCGGAACGCTGCTACTTGGGGTGGAGGCCGGCGAGGGGGTTGACTTGGAAGGTAAGGACTGGATGCGGGAGGATTGGGACGCAGCAGATGTTTTGGGGGGCTCTCCGGTGGCCGTTGCACCGGCTTGGCCGCGGCAGACTTCGGGAGAGCCTCCGCAGACGGTGTAGAGATAGTCGTAGGCTAAACAATGTTAGCAACGTTGTATATATCGGGCGTCTACCGGGACGATTCTGCCCATGTGAAGCATTTCTGGTACTCACCGGAGATCTGCGAGCCCAGCTGAGGCGCCTCCGAGCTGAGATAGTCGGCGCAAGTGCTGTAGACGGGAGCTACATCAGTCGTCCCAACACAACAAGCACACGCCGCCAGCTTGAGCGGATTCGCAGTCGACAGCGCCTCGGACCCTCCCACCTCCGCGATGCAGCCCGACACGAAGGAGGCCGCGACGGTGCAGAACTGGTAGCCCGAGTCGGTAGGGTTGAGGGCGTTTACAACCTCGCCGTAGTTGATGAGAGGCAGCGTCATGTGTTGCGCGGCTACATGGACGCCGCTGGCCAGAACGGGGATGAGGAGAGCGGCGAGAGACATCTCGAGGGCTGGTGGACTGGGCGAAACAGAATCAGGGGAAGCAATGCTGGGCTGGGTATCACATGGAGCAAGGAAAGGAAATCGACGAGGAGGGACAGCTTTTTGTTTACTTTGTACGGTGAAGGACCCTCCAAGCTCCTACAGCTGAACATGCAGCAGAGCCGCCGTTTATTTTTTCTTCTCAATCACAGATTTCATTCCTAGCGCCGCCCCCATTCGATAGAGAGCCATAGCACGGGAACGAGTCAAGATGGGCAAAGCGAGGCGCATGGAGCCGCGACCGTTATGCAGGTTAAGCGACACGAACAGCAGCAGCAGCAGCAGTAGTAAGACAGGGAGGGGAATGCCTCTGTGAGCTCTTGAGCTTGTGTTCTCTTTCCGCTCTTTATTTTGTTGAGACGCGGCCAATGGTGGTGCGGGTTCTGGTGCGGCTGAGGATGTAGCCAAGGATTCGAGCGCTGGCTAGTCGCGGAACGGCTCGGGGGTGGTTGGGGAGAAGGATCCTCCAGGTTGAATCGCTCGGAGGAGGGAGATGGAACGATGATGAATATTGTGCGGGAGGAAGAGGGATTGTCGTGATGTGCTCTGTGTTGTTGATGCGGAAGATGGTTTGATGAGATGATGAGAAGCTATACTAGGTATTGATGGTGGTGAGGTTGCGTGTAAGTGGGAAACGAGAAGCCATGTTCGTACATAGGTGGCAGCGATTTTGAGTTGCGGATGTGCCTTGACCTGACCAGCTAGTCTAGCGGGATGCCTTGTGGGCACATGCATGAGGCGCTATTGACTTGGCAATCGGGGTGGCTTTCCGTGGGTTCAGTGGCGATGTTTGGGACGATAAAGAGTGAGACTGCGTGTCTGTACGAGTTTGTATGACTCCGGAGTGTGCTTTGCTCTGGGTTGTTCCGCCGTGATATCGGCTTGGGCTGAGACGAGCAGCCTGATGTTGCCTCTCTGCGCAGTGAAGGAGAACCATAACAAGAGATGCCCAACCGTGGCATGTTTCTGCCTGTGTAACACTCCGGAATTGGAAGTGAATTAATGTCGCAACGTTGGTCGATTCCTCCAGTCGTCGCGCCTCGGTTCACCTCGGTTCATGAACCGCCAGCACATACTCCCACTGGCTCGCCAACCTGGCCCGAGTTGCCTCTTCCAGTGCAAAGAAATGAGTGAGCCATCGCAGCATCAGGATCGACTGTTACCCTATAAAACGCTGCCCATTGTGCCATGTCAAACAAGCGCATCCAGCAGACGCTGATTTGCTTGCGAAAATGACTTACATGAACCTGCCTCAAGATTGGTGTTGCTATATCTCCTGCGTCTGCAAGGCCTGGAAGACTGTATGGAAGACGGCGTACAGGACATTGATACGTTACCTCGATGCTTCTCTTCTTCTTCCATGAGTCAAGGAGACAAGCATCATGGCTGTCAAGATCGAGTGCTGGCGTTACCCCAGATGTAGCTTGATAGGTAAAGATGGAGGCAGAGCAGAGCGGGGACCGCTAATCAAATCAACCCCTTTCTGCACTCCATTCTTTCGGCTTGTGCTCCGTATTTCGTGCCAACGTTCCCCCCATGCGCGATGAAAGGAGGTTATTTTTAGGTGACAATGTGACATGACCGGAAATTTCCATGTGACAGAGGGGACAGATGGATATTATCACTTCGTACTCCCTCATTGTGATGGGGCCTTTCTTGGAATGTGTACTTGATATCCGTCCTGAAGGATGTATGTACTCAATCCCTTGCTTGGTGATCGCCACACGCCGTCTGAGGCCGTGAGACAGGACAGAACAGGCGGAATACGGCTCGACTGACAATGTGCACCGTTCGTCGGATATGGGCTCCCGGTCCTTGTTCTGCTAGCCGACTGTGCTAGACGGAGGTACGGAGTACAGTAGCAGCAATATCTTGGGCGATATCGCTTGCAGCCGTTAATCGGAGGCGCCGGTTCCTGGTTTCATGCACCTCCGTCGACCCCGTCCAACCCGTCCGGCCGCGATGCTGCTCAATCGGACGTCTTCGGCTGTCCATGGGATGCAACGCTGACGACCGGCTACAAATAAGAGGAGGGCAATGCACAAAAGCCTCTGCTGTAATTCGACCACGTAGAAGATGTATTCCTGCCTGGAGGTCCACTGCTGCACGACGCCCGCAGCGGCAGAAGATGGGCTTTTACGAGCGTCCAACAATCTCATTGTCCGGATGCCTTTGACTGGCCGAGGTGGCGGTTTGGCTGATGTCATGGCATGCGGCATCCACTGCGCCGGGCAGTATCAGGGTCTCTGTGTGGCCTCGACTGTGGCCTGCATGTGTCGATGCATGGAGTATCAAGTATCACGGAGCACCAAGAATCATCCTGGGCTTGGCCATTCCGGCTGGGTAAGCCGGCGTACAGTAGGGAGTATGCACACACAAACAAGCAACTCGTACATGTGCAGGCAAAGGAGAAAGTGCTCCCGTATGCTCCCATATGCTCCTCAGCAGCGAAGACAAGAAGAAGTGCCGTTCCGGAAGCCAAACGGCTGCCCCCTTGCCTCTGCTGGGGAGAAACGAAGCGAAACACCAGAGACTCGGGCGGATGCGAGTGAAGAAGCAGCGCCGATGCTGTGGTGCCCGACCAAGGCAGCCCAGTGGCAGCGCCCGACCGGCTCATCACAGTGACGTGAATGAAGCTTGGAATGAATTGAGCTTGACGGCTGCAATCTTGGATGCCACACCCCCCGTTGTGTCTGGCCCGGCACGTGATCGCTCGGGGGGCAAGACAAGATGGAATTAGGGGAAGCGAAGCGGCTATGACGATGGCGATTGTGAAATTACATGCTCCGTTCGGCCATGTCATTAAACGCCCCGAGCCACAGGCGCCGGAGGAGCGTGCCAGCCTGGAGCCTGAACCTGAACCAAACAACAACAGGCCGAGACAAAAACAACGCAAGGAAACCGCAGATGCCCGTCGTGAGGCCATCGTCGCACGGCATCACGCACAGCAGACAGCCATCGCAGAGCATCGCAGGGCGTCGCAGCGCTGCAGAAACCTGAAAGCCATCAAATCGCAGGCCGCATCGCTCACGCTCCACCCACACCAAGCACCGGCGCTCACAGACGCATACGCATACACATCTCGGCCACAAACGGCATCCACGCACACAGAGAGAGGCAGACGCAGACGCAGAGCCGGAGCAGCAGATACCGACCAGATACTCAGCGCTCTCAGACACGCACAGGCTTCCTCGCAGTGTTCCTGGCGTCTCTCCCTCTAACGCATGTCGCCTCGCTGCAACCCACCGAGTGAGCCGGTCTTATAAGTCGCCCAGATGGCGTCTCCGCCCAATGCTGAGCCGCCACGGCGTGCAGCAGCAGCAGCAGCAACCTCCAGCTCCAGCTCCAGTTCCGGTTCCAGCTCCAGGGACGAGGGCGCAGGCCTATCGCAGTCACTCAGCCAGCTGTCACTGGGCCAGCGTGGCCCGCGATCTCCCGGGCTCTCGCCATCGCAACCGCCCTCGACGCCCTTAAATCCCCCTCGCCATGCCTCTCCCTCTGCCTCTCCCTCTGCCCGCGCTCCCTCACTCAGTCCCTCAGGCAGAGAGTCGCGAACTGCAACCCCCACCCTCGTCCGCAAAGCCTCGATGAACTCCCTGCACTCGGCCAGTGGCGTCGGCCCTTCGCGGCCACTGTCCAGGCGCTCCAGCCTGCAGCAGGTTGTGTCACCAGGCTTGAGGGCGTCGTTTGGAAATCCCGAGCCCGAGTGGCGCCCCCCGGTGACGGCCAGCTCCGTGGCCAGCGGCCACTTCAAGGATGAGCTCGAGGCCCATCACGGCCCCGTGTCCACACTCTACACCGAGACTGTTGTCGTCCTCAATGATGCCGTCTACGGCCATCGCTTCTCGCGCCCACGCACCCCCAAGAGCGCTCTTAACACCATTGTCGAGCGTCCTGAGCGCATCAAGGCCAGTGTCTTGGGTGTGTCTGCGGCCTATGTTCGTCTCGGTGAGCGTCACAGCGACGGCGCGCTGCCCATCTTGCCCAAGAGCAATGTCCACATGCTGCCCAGCATCCCCTTTCGCATCCACAAGACGGACCGGAGGCTGTCACTGCTGTCCCCTGCCGTCACCAATGTACATGGTACCAAATGGATGGAGGAGTTCAAGATGATGTGCGAGTCGGCCGAGGCGGTCTTGGCTCGTGGAGGAAAGGAGCTGCAGAGGCCGTCCATAACCCGAGGCCCCGACCATGCTGCTCCCGAAACGCTGCACGAGGGCGACCTGTACCTCTGCAACCAGTCGCTGGAGGCCATTGAGGGTGCCCTGGGCGCAGTGTGCGAGGGCGTCGATGCCGTCTTCTCTGCTGGGCCCCGGCGTGCCTTTGTTGCCGTACGGCCTCCGGGACACCATTGCTCTGCCAACCTCCCGTCAGGCTTCTGCTGGGTCAACAATGTCCATGTGGGAATCATGCACGGAATCCTCAACCATGGCTTAACGCACGCCGCCATCATCGACTTTGACTTGCACCACGGAGATGGCTCCCAGGCCCTTGCCTGGGCGCACAACTCTCGGTCCATGGCCGCCACCAAGAATCATGCCGCCTGGAAGAAGACGTCCATTGGCTACTTTAGCTTGCACGACATCAACTCCTATCCCTGTGAAAACGGAGACGATGACAAGATTAAGAATGCCAGCATCTGTATCGAGAATGCGCATGGACAAAACATCTGGAACGCCCACCTCCAACCCTGGAAGACAGTTGAGGATTTCTGGGATCTTTATGAGACTAAATACTCGATACTTCTCGACAAGGCACGCAGCTATCTGAGAGGCCAAGCGGAAAAGCTACAAGACGCAGGCGTCAATCCGCGAGCCGTCATCTTCCTGTCCGCTGGCTTTGATGCGAGCGAATGGGAGAGCGCAGGAATGCAGCGCCACAAGGTCAACGTGCCCACTGAGTTCTATGCTCGCCTCACCCAAGACGTTGTCCGCCTTGCCGCCGAGGAGGGCCTCTGCGTCGACGGCCGCATCGTCAGTGTCCTGGAGGGTGGCTATAGCAACAGAGCACTGACCTCCGGCATCATTAGCCATCTCAGTGGTCTCGTGGGGAAGCAGAACGTGCCGCACCGGAGCCGGCTTTCTTTCCCGCAAGGTGCCTACGATGAAGAAGAAGACAAGCACATCCCGCACTCCCCGGCTTCGATTAACCCGTACGATCCCTCATGGTGGTCGGCTGGAGAAATGGAGAAGTTGGAGGCCGCGGTAGCGCTGCCCGATATCACGCCGAAGAAGCCGCATGTGGTTACGCCCCCAACCTACTGTACGCCGACGCAGGCGTCTACGGCCAGGGCTGTGGACCCCCTCAGGATGCGACGAAGCATGTCGACTCTGGTCAACAGGTCGACTGTCTCCAGCCGCTCTCCATCTCCCTCGCCCCCCGAGGTTCCATGGACGATTGCTGCTAGCGAGCTTTCGAAGCTCCTCATCCCACGAGATCGCCAAACCGACAGCTGCACCTTTGAGGAATTGAACGCCGATGCGGCACGGGTACGACGAGACAGGCAGTCTGCTGGCGTTCCGGAACTCGATCGATCAGCTTCAAGGATGTCGCTTCGCGACCGCAAGCCCAGGGTTATCGACCCCATCCAAGAGGAGAACCAGTCCCGGCAGACGAGGGACCGAAGCAAGACTGTAGCCACCGCGACACTTGCGGCAGAAAAGGTAAGCATGAGATTTTTCTCTCCCGTCATCCTTTATTGAACGACGACTAACCTGAGCTGCCAGGCGACCGCTCGCGGACAGACGCCACAACCCCTTATTGGCACGCCTCCAAAGAAGACCAGTCGACGACTAACCGCCTCGTCGGCTGTTCCTACGCAACGCAGTGTTTCTCGTACCGCAACATCTAGTCAGGATTTGCCGCTTCGGCCTTCAACCTCTGCGGGGCCTATCGCCGGGAGGCCTCTCTCAGTTGCAGGAAACCAGGCCCAGAGCTCTGGCTCTACCGGAAGAATCACCGTCAGAAAGTCGCGGCCCACCTCGTCCAACGGCGAACCTGCCCTTAGGTCGCCCATGCTTGAAGCCGGAAAGGAAGCTCTTGCGGAAAGAACTACGGCACCTGCAGTATCAAGGCTGGACGCTACTATTGACGACATGGATAAGATCACCAAGGGGATCAAGAAGATCAAGATCAACCTGATCACCCAGTCGCAGAAGGAGGCCCGGGAGAAGGCCCGCCTTGAAGCCGAAGCCGCAGCTGCAGCCGCTACTGCATCCGGAGAGCTGCGTCCCTCGTCTGCCAGCACCAACAGGTCTGTAGAGTCCGGCGGCCTCAAGACACCGAACAGCAGCGTCGGCCGCAGGCCGACTATCAACGCCACGTCCCCGGATGGTACCATGCCCGCGCTGTCGACTGCTTCTGAGAGCACCCTGTCAACGCCCAACTTGGAGCACTCTACGCCCCGCACTGTTTCTCCCGAAGCGAGACAGGCCGTTCCCAACGTGAGCTCGCCTCGCTCGGCCAAAGCCATGGATGAGGCCCACGAGTTCTTCCAGTACCAGCCTGAAGGCCCACCCCCGGTGTCCGTTTCGTCCCAGGAGCCGCTTAAGTGGCTTCCCCCTTCGCTCCCAGCCGGGCCCCCGGCTGTACAACCCGGCCTCGTGAAGAAGAGCAGCACGCTTTTCCAGTATGGCGGCAGCGGCACCATTCCCTTTGCTAAGCAGCCAGCCAACCGAGACCCGTCCCCTCAAAAGGTTCAGAGGAAGCCCAGCGGTCCTCTCCGGCCTGCACCGAGGTCTCCACCCAGGAAATAGACGGCTGATAAGGGAATGGAAAATGGCGATGTCTCTAGATTTCTTTATTGTTCAACGGATTGGATGGTATGGAACACGGAATGGCTAGGAGTTTAGTCTTTGCTTTTCTCGTCTTATCTTGCGTTTCATCTTCTTCTTTGTCCTGCTTAGCGCTTGCTTGAGCTCGGTCTCTCCCTTCTCCTGGTTTTGAGACCAATTGTTTTTCTAGCTTGTACACCCTTGTCAAATTACCTGCCCCTGGAATGCTGGGCTGCTCTCACTCTCTCACTTAGAAGATACCCGTTCCCTCCCAAAGAAAGAAGGAAAAAAAATCTTGTCAGAAGCAATTTACTTTACTTTATTATAGTGACAATTCAATGTTTGGTAGATGCTATCTATCGAGTTTCCTGCTTGTATTATATGTGTCTCTAAACCACAGACTTCCAGGAACAATGAATGACCTCCGATCTATTATAGCTTGTCACATTCCCACATACTGTATCCCTATGTATAATGAGACAGTTAGCAGGATTTATCAAAAGTGCTGCCGAAACTCCTTTAGAGACACGGCCACATCGTTGAGCGTCGCTTTTGCGTCTTCTCCAGCGTCGGGATGATTCTGCCGCTGAAAGGTCCAGACATGCTCGACGCCGAGACTCTCGAGGAATGCCAGGCCGCGGCTGTAATTCGTAGCGACTTGCGCGATTCCATGGCTGTCGTCGGACATTGTGAACTTTCCGCCGAGCTGAAGCCATTTCTACAAACCACGTCAGCCATTTCAAATAAGAAAAAAAAAAAAGAAATTGCTGTATGAATGGGAGAGTAGGGTAAGTCAAGTTTTTTTTACCTCTGAGATGACTCGTCCCGGATAAGGCTCGTCGAGACCCTTCCTCAACGCCGCAGTATTGCACTCAAGCCACGCCCCAATCTCCACCGCATACTCCAGATTCCGACAAATCTTTTCCCACACGGCAGGCCACAGTCTCGGATCCCTCCCCGGATCCTCGCTCATGAGGCGAATCAAGTCAAAGTGCCCCACGACGCGCGGCTTGAGCGCCCTGAGCATGTCAAACTGCAAGTCATAGTAATCGGCGTAGAGCTGTTCCTCGGAGTGATTTGACGTGGCGGCGAGGGCGGCGGCGTAGGTGGGCTTGTCGTAGTCGATGGGGATGCCGTGGACGTGGTGCACGGAGCCGATGAAGTAGTCGACGAGGGGGGAGGCGTCGAAGAGGGCGCGGACGTGGGCTGCGTAGGAGGGGCGGATGAATTCTGCTTCGAAGGCGATGAGGATGTGGATCTGGGTGCTGTATTGGCGTTGCAGGCGGCGGGCTTCGAGGAGGTAGGATGCGTGGAGTTTGGGGAGGGTTTGGAGGGAGGTTTGGGGGTCGGAGAGCTTTTTGAGATTGTCAGTTTGAGGATGTTCAAATAAGTGAGTGAATGAGTGGTTGAGTGACGATGGGTTGGTTGAGTGGGTGAGTGGGCGAATGCGAGTTGAGTGAGTTGTTGACATGTGAATATGTGATGAGGAGGGGTTGATGAAATGCTGTATGACACAAGACGTATAAAAGTGTATACTTCAAACCAAACGATTGGAGACGAAAATCAACATGTAAATCAACGAAGCCCACGACGCACCTCTTCAGGATATAGATCCCGCTCCTCATAGCGAGGCATATGCTCGGTAAGGCCCATGGTCTTATACCCAAGCGAAATGGCATGCAGGACAATGTCCTCCAGCTGGTCGACGGCATGGCCAGGGCAGAACTGGCCCGAGTGGGAATGCATTGTAAAGGCCATTGTGACTGGGCTAGAACTATTCAGAATATATGGCTAACGAGGTTTTGAGAAGAATACGGAGTACTGAATCGTGAATTGCAGATGGAAGGAAGTTCAATGAAGCCCATGATTATGCTCTATTTTTTCGCTGATCGGCTGCGAGATCGCTTGGACCCGTAGACGGGAGGCCCACAGTTTGTTGATGACTTGGGACGGATTGGGGAATTTTGGGGTCCGTGAGAGGATACTGGGACATGATTGGTTGGTAGGTGAAGAGCCTACTTATGGAAAGGTCACTGGGTTATACGCGTACATAGTACGCAGACATCAAATATCGAAGCTATGATTTATATGAACATAGAAGAAAAACAACACCCATGGTAGTCCTTGTTATTCATCGAATCCAATCCATCCGTGCAGTCAAAGCACCAGCCACAGACTGGTCACCTCACTAGCCACAGTCTCCAGTCGTGGCACGTGGCTGCCCGAGGCAGATTTCCATCGATATGACAGCGCCGCTGGTTGGCCACTCAATAGGTAATCCCTTGGCAGGGATCTCTTTGAGCTCCTCAAAGGGAAAGGACCCCACTTCTTGTCAATTGTGGGATTAAGCTTCAATGTGGGAAGGAGCACACAGGCTTCGGGAGTTACCTTATCCAGCACGTCTCAGAACCTTGAACTGGGATTCTGCAACTCTTTTTCTCCCTCATCACCAACATCGTCGTCATTGCCATCAGCGTGAAAGCGCTTGAACAGACTCTCGGATGTTTCCAAGCACTACGCTCTCACTCACTACACGTGCAACGACGTCGAGACTCACGGGGTACAGCTGGCACCTCGATGCCAAACGACGATGACAGAGTCCTTTCAGCAAAGGCCAGAGGAAAGAATCATGCATAGCCATCAAACTCTGCAGAAGCAGGCAGAGAGACGGCCTCGTGTGTTGTGCTATTCCTGGAGTTGAGTCCCATCTGTCAAATCTCCTTGAAGTGTGTCTCGTGTCTGTCTGTCGTCGTTCGCGGTCCGACCATCTCATGCATGACCGCGCACCTCCGCTTGGGGCTGAAGCAGAAAGGCGGGCTGTCACTAAAAGCTCGGGACACCGGCAACGGCTGCGCGACGCCAAACTCGACTCGATTAGCAGCGCCAGGATGGAGGACGGACCTATTCCGCGCTTGGTGTCTTCGCAGCTCAGTGTTGCAGCCGGGAAGCTGTTGAAGCTTGTGTCGTGATGTTCACAAATAGGAAATGGAAACACTCAGCTCATGTGCAAACCAACTACAGAGCACCGCTCTCACTTCAAATCATTCTTCATCTCAGCCGTTTTTCCCTCATCGTGGTCTGTATTGGACCTTCGCAAAAGGTCCCCGGAGTGGCGGGGGGAGCGCTTAGCATCCAATATTCTGCAGGCTGAATTGGGCCCTTGTTGTCCCAAACTGCAGCTGGACATGGACGCCAAACCCAATGTGACGAGCCTCCAATCAGCGCCCGGACCCGGACGGAGAGAGTTGGTGTGCTTCATTCCGCTCTGCTCTGCCAGGCGGGGAATCCATTGTGCACTGGCAGGTCGACGAGAATGCCTCGCCCATGTCAGTACGCGAATGAGGCGACGACATGTCCACGACCCCTGCGAGCAATCAATGGCCCGCTCCAAGCGCACGATGCTACTCCGGAGTGGTATTAGATGCTATCGGGACAACCCTTCCCCACGAGGATAGCCCAGCCGGTCTGGCTTTATAATAACGGCTGGGATGCCGGATGAAAACTCGAGCTCGACCTTGCACCTCGTCTGTCTCTCGTGTCCTGCTTCTGTCAGTGAGAAGTAGAGGTGTGTCCAACGGGTGACGCCCCTGAGTCGAACCCGATCTTTCATCATGGCCAAGATGCAGAATCTACCGACTTCGCTCGCGCTGCTCCTTCTCGTGTCGACTGCCTCATCTCTGCACATCCGAAGTCGGCCAGCAGATGCTCAGGCCACGCCAGTCGCGCATCTGTCGCATGCGGCAGCGCCGCCCATCATTACTCCCGGTCCCTCTCCGGAACTCTTGGCCGAGTTGAAGTTTGCACGCGCTGTGCCTACCATTCCAGCGTGTGCTACTGACTGCGTCGCGTCCGCCGTCACAAAGTCGACGAACTGCAAACTGGGGGACACCTTGTGCGAATGCAACGCTGCGGACGTCATCAACAAAGGGGCAGCCCCTTGTGTCCAGAGCGCCTGTGGATATGTTGGTGCTGTCCGTAAGTGGCCGTCGGAAGCTTGATGCTTTGTCGTCAGGAGGTCGAAACTGACAAGGTCAATAGAGGCTCAGGTGGCGGGTGAGCAGCTGTGTATAAGTGTGCTTGCTGGACTCATTCCCGGCTCATCATCCGAATCTGCCCCTGAGGCCACCGCTACCAACAAGGACGACGACTCGCCTAGCCAGTCAGCCGGCTCTTCCTCATTAAAGGAAACTTCTTCACCGTCGAATAGCGCATCTCCAAGTGGTAGTAGCACCTCGTCAGGAGGCTCTGGAAGCTCATCAGGAACTTCCAACGGAAGCTCGAACAACGGATCGTCAGGAGGATCAGATTCTGCTGATTCAGATGGTTCATCGGGTTCCGGAGCTCTCCCTAAACGCAAGAAGAAGGGACTCTCCGGAGGTGCCATTGCTGGCATCGTAGTCGGCGTTGTAGCCGGTATCGGCCTTGCAGCCGCCGTCATCTGGAAGTTCTGCCTCAACAGAGCAAAGGGAGGAAACACTACCGCAGCTGGAGGAGACGGAGCAGCGCCAGCCGCAGCACCCGCTGTAGCACAACCTCAAACCGCCCAGGTCCCTCCCGTCGATCCTACTAAGCTCACATCCACGACGCCGCTGTCGACGCCCAGCGAGCTGTCGAACAACCCCGTCACTGTTTCGAGCATATCGCCGTTCCAGGGATCTGCTGCTACGACAACGCCTCCTGTACATCCTAATGCGGCTGAGCTGCCTCATGGGTCATATCCCCAGCCGCCAGCCGCATACGCATATCCGCCTCATCCCATGGGCCAGGCGTATCATGAGGTGCATGCACAGCCGCCAGAGATGGCTGGTAGTACGCATTTGCCGCAGGAGTTGCATGGTGGAGGGCCGGTGTATGAGATGGGTAACTGAGCGTCTACTCGTTGAGGGTTGAAAATTGGATGAGTATGAGTACATGGGAATATGAAGGAGCTAGCTAATGTATGTAATTTCTAACAATGATATCCACGTCTATGTCAACTATTTGAAGAAAATCGCAGCGCTTCTCAACATTATTACAAAGACTGTCAGGCACGTCTAAAACCTCCTCATGATCCTTGACTTCCACCAAGGCTTCTTTTCGCCTCCATCGGTCGTAGTATATCCTTCTTCCTGAACATCATGCTTCCCGACAATATTAAGGAAAACCTCGTTGAGCGTCGTCGGACTGACGCTGTAATGTGCAACGCCAAGATACCCCTTCTGCTCCTCCAACATGATCAACAGCCGTCCCCTCGCACTCTCACTCGTGTTCGCCGCGCCCGCGCCCGCGCCCACCGGCAGCGGCGGCACCGCGGACGAAGGCATCGAGAAGCGCATCTGTCCATGGAACGTCTCCTGTTCGACCTCTGCGCCGGGGAAGTTGTTCAGCACCCACGCGCGGAGGGCGTCCATCTCTGCGGCGGACGAATGGGGTGCCGTGGCCGCGACAAGGTGCACGTGCAGGGTGTCGCCAAAGCGGTGGCGGAGCGCGTCCGTCGAGCCGAGGGCGAGCATGCGGCGGGCCATGATGCCCGCGCGGGTGGCCAGCGCGTCGGCCTCTTCCATGCTGTGCGTGGTGAGGAGGATGCTGCGGCCGGGGACGATGGCCTCGAGGGTGCGCCACATGATGCGCTTGGCGGCGGCGTCGAGGCCGGACGAGGGCTCGTCGAGGAGCATCACCGGCGGGTTGCCCGTGAGGGCGATGCCCAGGGACAGCTTGCGCTTGTTGCCGCCCGAGAGGGTGTGCGCCATGACGTCCGCGTAGGCCTCGAGGCCGACGGCAAGGAGGACGGCGGGCACCTGGTGGTCGACGTCGGGGATGCCGCGCAGGCGCGAGTAGTGGCGGAGGTGCTCGCGGACCGTCATGTTGTCGATGGCGTCGAACTGCGGGCACACGCCCAGCTTGGCCCTGGCGGCGGCGCGGTGCTTGGTGATGGAGACGCCCTCGACGAAGACGTCGCCGCCGTTGCGGCTGGGCGCGATGTCGCCGCGGATCAGGGAGATTGTGGTGGACTTGCCGGCGCCGTTGGGGCCGAGGAGGGCGAATACTTCGCCGTGCTCGACGCCAAAGGTGATGTTGTCGACGGCAGTGTTCTTGCCAAAGGCCTTGGTCAGGTGTACGACGCGGAGGCCGTCGGATGCGCCGTCTGGACCGTCTACGCGGACGAGCTCTTCTGCAATCTCTGGGTCGTCAATCTCAGGGGAGCTCTTTGCCTTTTCAGGGGCATATCGACCGGCGCCGCTTTCGATCCAGATGACGATCGAGAACCAGAAGATTGCCTGCAAGATAAGGTACAGCAGAGGACCGCCGTACGCAACCATTGCTGCAGGGTTCGGTTGAAGTCGGTCGTTGTCACACGTCGTTGAAAAGATGTTTTGGCCGACCATCAATGCGCGGACGAGCGAGCCCGTGGGGAAGATGGCAGCAATGATCCAATGTGCTATCAGGACGTTTCGATCGGTGTATGCGGCTGGTGAAAGGGTAAGGATGAAGAGGTACGCAATGATGTAGACGGCGAAACCGACCGATTGAACGACGGAAGTCATGGCATAGGTCGCCATTGGGCTTGCGCAAAGGAGCGAAAAGAGGTAAGAGATGATGATTGTTGTCAGACCGTAGAAGATGAAGATGGGAAACAGATAGCCCCCATTATACCATGAATCTGAAGACACGACAAGTAACATGGCCGCCAAGATCATGGGGACGGCAATGATGCCAAAGTCGAAGATGACATGTGCAGCCCAGACCGGTAGGGTACGAACACCGCTGGAATATTGCAGGCTGCGGACATTCTTGAGGCGCTCGGTGTTGGGATACAGACCAAAGAGACCGGGGAAAATGGAACAAGCAACAGCAAAGTAGACCACGAGTTGGAGTCCTCTGCCCGTTGAAGGAGCCACGGGATAATCAAGCTCTTTGTAGGACGTTGCGATGGTAGTATTAGCGAGGATCGTGTCCAGAAAGCTTTGGCCCAAAACCGCAGAGTACATGGAAGAATTGTCCGTCTTGAATGCCAGCGTCGGCGCTGAGTTGGAGTCGCCGAGCCAGAGACCGGCAGGCGTAACGGTCCTCCGATTCTTCTCGATAAAATCCTCCATAGAAGCGAGTGAATCTACAAGATCGATGGTGATGTTGCCGAGTGAAGTAGAGCTGTCACGTTTTCGGGAGCTGGCCGAAGTAGGTAGCATTGGCTTGAATAGGTCTTCCACCGAGGAGCTGTCAAATTTGGACGATGGGCCCCCAACAAGATGGGCGGTATCCAAGAGCTTGAAGAAATCATCATTTGTTGTATGACTGCTCCTCTGCGTGGGTGAACAGCCGACCAGCTCATCGTTGCGAACAAGCAGTTGAATCACCGCAGCGGCGACGATGGGGACCAGAAAAGCCGCCGCATAGGGGAGCCAATTCGTCTTGAGAACCGTAAACCGCTTTCTCAGAAGCACGCCCGTCTGCTGGACCATGCCGATCTGCCGTCCTGTGAGCAGTGCCGGATTCTCGTCAGCCAACGGTGTATTATCGCTTGCGATCTTGGCGGCCTTTTCGTTGACGACATTGGGATGCCTCTGGGAGCCATCTCCGTGGACCTCCTCAGCCAAGTGGAGAAAGACGTCTTCAATGGTTGGGCTGGAGGTTTTGTACGGGATGCCCCCAGCTTCCAGAGCCCGGATTACTTTGGCAGCCTGGTCCGAAGACGATGACAGGTAAGTCACGTTGTTTGTCCCAACCTTCTTTGTGACGCCTTCTATATCGGGCACCTCATTCAAGCTCTTCGGGTTCAGCACATGAATGCGGTAGCCCGCACCGTAAGTGTCCTTGAGTTGAGCAGAAGAGCCTTCAGCCCTCAGCGTTCCTTTGGACAGGATAGCAATGTTGTCGGCAAGCAAGTCAGCCTCATCAAGGAAATGAGTCGTCATGATGATTGTCCGCGAGCCACGCTCTTTCAGAAGGATGTCCCAAATCTTCCTGCGCGACAGGGGATCGATGCCAGAGGAGACTTCATCAACACAGCAGACAGAGCTTCCGCCAACCAACATCAGTCCCAGCTGCAGCTTTCTTTTTTGGCCTCCAGAGAGAGTCTTTGACCAAGCCTTTGCCTTTGAGCGTAGTCCAATAGCATCGATCAGAGCCGCAATGGCGGTGTCCGACGTCTTCTTGAGAGGGTCTTTGATGCGGCTGAACAGACGGATGTGTTCCTCAACGGTCAATTCATCCCAGAGAACGTTTTGCTGGGGAGCATATCCAAGACCGCCAGACGTGTCAACGGAAATGTTTCCACTCGTAAAATCACTGATACCAGCAATCGCATCAAGCGTGGTACTTTTGCCGCTGCCGTTGGCACCAAGCAGTGCTAAGATCTCCCCCCTTTTGGCCGTCAAGGTGAGGTCATCCACAGCCACTACCTCTGGCCTTGGCGGTGAGACAAAGGAGAAGAATTTGCGCAGCACACTCGGTTTGTAAATCTTGGTCATGTTTTCAAGGCGGACCGTTTCTTGGAGGCCACCGGCTGTATTTGGGAGGGCTGTTGATTTTCGGGTTCCTGTGCTCACACCATGTAAAGCCCGCTCTACAGAAGCTGCGGCGGCAGGATACACAATCATCTGGATGATGAAAAAGATCCAGTGAACGATACCGGGCAGCCTGGACGTGCCACTCGGCGGTGCGTGTGCTAAATCCGCCGCTTTTCCATCCTGTTCGAACCGAGCAATGTAGATGATGAAGTAGACGAAGTTGCACGGGGTGAAGAGCAAGCTGAGGACAGCGACTGCGGCAGTGCTGGGGTGTGGAACGACCTGGGCCACGATGCCAAGCACGAGCCAGGTGACAGCAGTGACTATTCCTGAAAGCTGAGCCTTTTTGAAGAAGGATGCTCCGAGAAGAGACATGGAAGTCATGGCGATGCCGCTGAGAAGGAAGAAGATGATCAGGATGCCGAAGCTAGTGTTTGTCCAAATGAGAACTCTTGCAACAATCGAAGCGACAATCCAGCCTGGCATGTAGGCGATGATAAAGGCGTGGTGATTGGAGATGAGCCTGGCGAATTGGCGATGCCAGCCCTGGCGGGTGGGCATCATGGCGTCGATCAGCTGGGACATGCCCTTTTCTCGTTCCGTAGCAATAAAGCCAGGCATGTGATAGCACACTCCAATCATGGCGGCTAAGAAACTCACACTCAGGTATTTGATGAAGGAGCTTTGATATTTTCGCCGCAACTCAGCCTGGTGTTCGTCCTCGGTCAGTTCGGTATAGGGGTACTGCTGCGTCGTTTCCGGAAAAGAGGATCCCGATTTGAGACCAGCAATGGCAGCGTCCACGGCTCGCTGGAGAGGAAGTGCGTATATCTGAGCGTCGTTATTGCCCTTGTCCGTCCGAAAGCTGCCCCCAAGGCCAGCATCAGCACGCAAAGTGTAGTTCCAGAAGTCATCGCTGCCTTCGTCAGGAGAAGAGTAAAACACCACAGCACCGAAGCAGTTGGAAGTGCCGCGGATGGTACCTCGGCAGATGTATCCCAAGTCGGATTCGTCTTGTATCGTTGTTGCATTCTTGCCGGCTCTCGTGACCGTATCGGAAATAGAGTCGACGATACGTTCTATGTCGCCGCCAGTGTGGCCGCTGTTGACAAAGACGACGGTGTCTCGACCGCCGTTAGCCTTGGAGAGGGCGGTCTCGAGAGAAAATATATCGACTGGAGACCCAATACCGAACTTGTCGTCGGGTTGAGTGAATTTCTGACCAATGCCGATGTAGACGGTGAGGACGATGGGAAGCACGAGGGCGCTGTAGACGGTCGAGGAGATGTGACGAGTGATGACGATTCTCAGCGTCTTCTCAGTCAAGGCCCAGATCTGGCGGTAGAGGGCCATGATGGGCAGAGACGGGGGATGCCCTTGCGGTAGCTTGGCTTGTGGTTTGATGTCTGCCATGCGCAGCTGTATTGTCTGTAGGATGAGGGAGACGGCAATGGGTAGTGAAAGACGTCAGGTCAGCTCCCTTTTTCGAAGTTGACGATGAGAAGAAAAGGCTTCACTGGGTTAGCCATGATTCTAGATCCATCCAAACACGTCGTGGAAGGGAGGCTGGCTTTATATACACTGAAAGCATTGCGTCCATCACATCGTCTCAGCCCTGGAGGAACTAGCTTGCAGAGAGGCGTACCGGCCGCCATGACGGATGGCATTGATCTTCGTCGAGGCAGACAGGGGTCAGACGGTTGGGTGGTATCTCGCTTAGCTCTGGCCTCGCACTCGTGAGGTCTGGGTCGCTGGAACGAAGCAAATGGGAAGGAAATGAGTCCATGCTGCGCCATGATGCTCGAGGTGGGAGACGTGGTGTTGTCAGTGGCTGGCAGAAAGGCAGCGATAGGATCCAGAGGTCCAGCTGCCCTGAATGCCCCGTAGGATTCCCCTGCCATAGGGCATTTAGTGCGCCCACCCCGCTAGCCTTGGCGAGCTAGCAGCGCCAGGTATGGCCCGCAACGGTTTAAGGTGTGACGCTAAGAGCTGGCCGTGGGGCTGGGGCTGGTGAGCGCCACGTATTTCCCGAACGGGATCAGGCACATGTGAACCGTGAAGCGAAGCGACAGTCAGTTGAGTGACGATTCGAGTTCTGTCAATCACATGTAGCTACGTCTTCACCGAATCAAACCTTTACATACGTCCTTAGCCCCCCTCTCGTCTCGATTCGCGAGGCAGATCAACAACCTACAGTTGCACAGCCGTGTTGAAAGGCTCCAAGAAACATGAACTAGGTACCTAAGCAACCACCAAGCCTAAACCAGCCACAGCTTCAAGTCATCAAACCACCCACCTGAGCCTCAACACGGCACCAACCACCACTCCCCGTCGAATTCCCTGGCCTTTACGAGCAATACGGCCCTCACGCGGAGGCAACGCAAAATCAACGCCTAAATTCCAGACTCCTTAGCGCCGATCCCTTGAAACGTGGGCCAAAGACATTCTGCACTAACAGCCGAAGTTGAGCAGCGCCAAGCGCATCCTTTGCATGTCGAATACGCGCAATACGGCACATGCACCCGACGAGAGTTGATGAGGACGTGGATGGTGATTGGTTACCGTGCATGGAGTGCGGGTGCGTTGGTCATTTGGGAGTTTTATGGCCGGCGGAAGCATTTCTGCTTGATTACGTATATGTTTGTTGAGACTTATAGTCGGAGTAACTGAACATGACTCGAGAGGAGAGAGAGAAATATACAGCATCTCTGCAAGAGGCAATCCTTTCGAAGACGGCAAGTCTGCGAAAGGACATTGTTTCGAGTGAACCTCTAATCTGCTATAACGGCGGCAGCATACAACGGTGTCGCTACTCATGGACACTACTTGACGCGTATCGTGATCCTCTCAAGATCCATCCCCGGACACGGTACCCGATTCCTCACTATTCTCCAATATCCAACCTACAAGACACAAAGATACAATCACTCATGTCTCAAACCCCTGAGCCTATCGTGTACTGACATATCCTACTCCTCATCAGATATATCAAGGCTCGCAATCATCGACTCCAGCTCCAAGACAACCATCTCGTAGATGGCTTGCTGGAGCCTGGGCTTCTTCAGATCCTTGCCGTACCCGAAGTCGCAGTCAAGGACTTTCTGCGTCAACTCTTGGTATACAGGCCCCAAGTAGCACGGCCGCGATGCCAATCGACGGACCTCCTCGATGTCATTGTGGTCGATGCGCTCCCATCTCCCAATCGCCAGCAGCGCGGCTCCCAGGCTGTATAGCGTTATATTTCGCACCCCGTGCTTGTATTGTGCCTCTTCAAAAGACTGTACGAGATTGGCTGGCGACTCGACGTCCATGACAGACGGGGAATCTCTGGGCTCGAACTTGCTGTGAATCAACTCTACGCCAAAATGCAGCGTCTGGAGCGACATTGTCAAATCTTCTCCTTGTTTGAAGAACGCAAGATCTCGAACGCTCCAAGCTTCTTTGAGCCACGGTGTTGAATTGAATTTGAGCACGGCAGACACGAGCCGGTGAGCTAATTGCAGCTGGCCCACGACGGTCAGCCTGGTGCTGGCAGACTGGCCGAGTGCTTCATCCATCAGCATCACATCGTCGGGTACCATGTTGCCGCAGTGGGAGCTTGAACAGGGGAAGAAGCAGTGACGAAAGCCTTCCTGCATGCGACTATCGATATGCCCTAGACCCTCTGCCTTGCATATGACACCTGGAGCTGAGCAGCGTCTTGAGAGTTCGCGGCAGAAGTGGCCCGTAAGCTGTAGGTTATCTGTCGAAGCAACTTTCACTTCTGTCGGGGTCGTAGAGGTGTATGACGCCAATTCTTCATCGCTGCTAATATTAGAGTCACTGCCGACGCTGGAGAATCTGACCCTTTGCCGCTTTCGCCGGTCGTTCTGCGAGTTGTCCGCTTCCGAAGCTGGAGCCAATAACCCTGCGCTGGACCATGTGATAGAGTCTATGGTCCTTGACCGGACTTGGAGCCTCGTCAATGTCGTCTGTAACAGGGCTCTCTGCTGTAGCTTGGAACCGTAGCATAGGATTGCAATTTCCATCTGCACGTCATTCTCCGCTTTGGCGTTCAGGAACAGCCTGACAAAGTGCCCCAGGTGTGGCGCCCGAGTGCTCGACCAAGCCGTCCTTAATGCTTCATGCAGAGCCTTTGAGGCCCTTCTTATAGCTCCATATGTCCCGAATTCCAACGGCAATCTCCCTGCTCTTGCAGACGACTTCTTCGCAGTATAGCGTGGAGGCTTCTGTAGCTGGTTGACTTGCTCTCGAAGACGTCTCAGTCCGCTGTTACTTTTTTCGAGGCGGTCGATTTGTTCTTCGAACGACTTTTTCTCGAATGTGATCGTAACGCGTTTTCTCAACTTGCGAATGGTGTCTCTCAGCGGCTTTCGCCTGAGTTGCTCATCCTTGAGAGTAGCCTAAGTTAAAAGTCGCATCCGCAACCATCACTGACCCGACTTGGTTGTATTCTTACCCGTTTCTGCTCTTCCTCTAAAGGTGTGAAGCATTGGAACGCTCTCCGTAACGCTTGCATACTCTCTTCAATGTCGTTGACAATATCAGTCATCGACCTCGCATTTCTCCCCAGCACTGATTCAAGCTTCTCTTGGAGGCTATTTGCTTCCCACTGATTGTGTGCGGGATCCTTGATCATGTCTTTGATGATATCTTGGTCCTGCAAGGCCAGCCGTAGGACCAGCTCAACTTCATTGAGGAAAAAGTCCCGCTGCGCTCCAAACCTTTTCCGTATCCTTTCAACTTCGGCAGAGTAGTGGCAAAAGATCTTGAACTTCACCCGGATTGACTTGTATACGTCGATAGCGTTCCCAATCGTGGGCAAGATTCCGAGTGTTTGATATATTGGATCCATTTCGTAAACGAGGCGCCGATGCTGCTGGTTGTCGCATGTAAGCTAAGATCAAGAGGGAAAATTGTTGGAACCTGCCAGAGTAGGCCCAGATGGTAGAAGATAGAAGCAACATGAGCACGCTCTCCATTTCCCAAGCTCCGGGCAAACGAGGGGAGGCGGAGCGTGCATGATGCGGCTGAGGCTTGAATCCTCCGAATCTGCCCAATGCAGCCAAGTCTTGCGCAGGGCTTGAAACACAACTCATTGGCATTCACGCGATCCACGTCACTGATAGCACGCCTCCGCACCATCAGCTGTGGCTGTGTTTGTGTCGTTGTCCATGTGATGTTGATGTCGCTCCTCGTGTGGTTTGTTCTGTATCGTCACCCTTTCTGCCGTGTGCGATGCTGGACCTGCGACAACGCATCCGTAAAACATCCCTTTGAATTCAAGGATCTCGTAGAGATCTGATGGTTCTGCCTTGTTCTTGTTTGCTTCTGCGATCACACTGACATGAGGCAGAATGGCAGCATTTCTTCCGTCTCAAGCTGACTTTGATCCCGTCAAATATATCCTGGAATGGCAGTCGCAACAGTTGCAGGTGCAGCCCAGCGACTATGTCGAGGAAGCTGCCCACCACAACGTGGTTGCTAGCCTTTCAGCGAGCTTGACGTCTCTCTTCAAAGCAATCATTCCAGCGCTTTCACTTCCAGAACAGGAACAAGACAGGATCCCTCAAACTGCTCGCATCAGCCTCGAACGCAGTTGCAGTGCCTTGATCCTATGGTCTGACGGCTATGGAATCGCAGAGGGTCGCCTAAATGATACCCTCAATCGATCAAGGAAACTTCGCTATACGACCCTGAAGAACTTGCTGCATATTGGGCGCGTGCTCGTCGAGAGTATGTGATGTATTTCTATTACTGGCGTGTTGGTCATGATTGACAGACCTGACATGATATTTTACTGTCGTCTATAGGATTAGTACCTCTGATCCATGTTTCCGAGAAACCCCAAGAGCTTTGCTCCAGCGTCGAGTCAAATATTGAAGAGGCAGCAAGCATTATCATTGAAGCGTCCAGCCGACGGAGCGATGATTCTTCGAGCGATGCAGCCTCTGATTTCTCAAATGACGATATCCATGAGATTGCCGAAGATCTCAAGACGGACACCCTCGTTCTATCGAGCCTTGACCCCTTGCTTAAATGCCCTATCTTCGACACTCAGTACAACGTTGCTGCAGATGGCCTCGCTTCTTCCACCTGGAGTCCCGAGCAGCTCTTTTCGAACAGGATCGAACACAGATTCCCTTCGGCAGGCACGCCGCTTGCCTCCCGTCTAGGGAGGATAAATTATGATCGTTATCTACGGTGCCAAGCGATGAGAGACGCCCAACAAAGAGAAGAGCCTCTGTCCATGATGATCCAGGAAGGGCAAAGCCACGCTGGCACGATGGTTGCCGACAGCAAACTCCGTGACTCTGGAGTCGGCAAGTCTCTAGGCATGTCTGCCGCACCCAAAATATCCTATGCGGAAACCACAATGAGCTACAACCACGAAGGCCAATCGGTGCGAATACCACCTCTCTCGGAAGAAGCCAAGTCGGGCCTTCTTTTCTCTTGCGTTGCGTGTGGCCGCACTATACTTATCGCAAACAATTCCGGATGGAAGTAAGAAGCCCATCCCCTAAGGGTTGTAGACAAACTAATCGCTTCTTAGACGGCATATCTACCTCGACCTTCAACCGTACATGTGCTTGGACATGTCATGTCCGCATAGCAGCAACACCTTTGAAAGTCGCGAGAAGTGGATTGCTCATCTGGCACTGGACCATGAGATGGCGCCCCATTGGGAATCTATTCATTGTGCTCTCTGCAAAGAGCAAACAGGGAGAGGAAAGATGGCCGTCACCATGCATTTTGCTAAGCATCTAGAAGAGATTTCGCTATCAGCGCTACCCATCGATATGGCCTCGAACGCGGCATCCGAGGATACTATCAGCTTCTTCAGTGAATTGATTGACGGGGAAAGTGATAGGAACCGTGGACCGCTTCCCCTTGAGGGTGATGCAGCAGCAACTGAGACTAGGCACAGCGTACAGAGTTCCCATGACCTAGACGGCCCAGATCCCGATGTCAAGGCGAGGAGCCTCGGCACGCCTTCAGATGATGAAGCTTTACGCATTGCTGCCGCGCAAGGTGATTTGGAAAGTGTGGCACGGATCTTGCAGGGCAAAGATAGCTTTGATCGCCCCGAGGCTATGGTAGCTGCGGCAAGACACGGGCATGACCTGGTACTCCAGCTGCTTCTTGATCTCGGCGGTGCCAGCCCAGACCCTTATTCGGTTCATACGTCACTAGCAGACATAGATTTTCCAGCCCCGATGCTGGCCGCCATCGGGCAGAGGAATATCAAGGTCATCGAGATACTTTTGGAGCAGAAAGGCTTTGATCCTACGCGAACTTTCAACGGCGAGACGTACCATGAGATTGCTCGCCGCCGGCAAGGACCCAACTGGGAAAAGGAATATCATATCTTAAGAACCGCCTACAGTAACTATAAGCAAACGCACATTACCTCGGTTGAGGATAACTCGCCTGGTACCAGCGCTGGAGCAGATGACGTAAATCCCATAGTCTCTCATACCGCTCAACACCCTCAGTGTAAACTCCCGGGCACGAATGCTTCTTTCCTACCTGATGATTCATCGGCCACTGAAGCACCAACCTCGCGGGTACGCTCCCGGGTCAGACCTAGGAGGCTTCGGGGAGATCTTGAATGCCCAGTTTGTGGCGACTCGTTTGACGAAGGAGCTGAACGTGAGAGACATATCATGTCCCTGCACATAAAGGTACGTCTATCAGAGCTATCATGGCGACATGCCATCCTATTTCATCAATTAAGTAATAATTTTTTTTAGGATTATCATGACTTCCTTGCCACGGTGGAAACTTATTTCAAAGACCAGCAGGACAAGTACGCCAGGTTCCTCAGTTTTTTGTCGGTGACGATGAGCCGCCCCTGCTGGAGATGCTACATAAGCAAGGAAGGTATACCATACCTATCTACGAGTACATTGGTTAACAGATTAAATAGGTCATGTGCAACGCTGTATTTCCCAATTCATGCTCGCGATGTCGATGCATTGGAGTTCCTTGCGTTGTCAAAGCTACAGAGCCACTCGGGCGAATCATGAAGCGCGTGTAAGTTTGAATAACACAAACGCTAGACCAGACATGAATATGCTCATGACGAACCTATCAGAGATATATATCAATCGATTGTGGGCATCGGGAGCTTATTCGAAGGATATCCTACTTTCGTTACGGACGAGCTCAGCAGTTTCCTCCCACCTGGATATCGGATCGAGGCGGTTGACCATTCGAGGATTCAGTTCTTCGCACCGGATACCAGACCACTCATTATCGATATAAAAGGCGCGCCAAAGGTCCCCCTGAATTATATTGGGCGTCAGAAAGCTGGACTAACTGAAAGCTGGATGGCCAAAGTCAAAGTAAAGTTATCGGTCATGCATGCCAAAACATGAATCTGTACGCTAACTCGTTTCCTTAGAATCGTTTTATTGGCAGCCCTCATGTATACGGACAATTTCTCGAGAACCTGCGGGATACCAAAGACATCGCTCACTCCACTCAAGACTTGGCCACCAAGAAGCTGTTTGGTGCAAACAGGGATCTGATTGGTGAATTTCAGATACTCGTTGCTAAGGGAGAGCTCAAAGAGCTCAAACTCGACGACTCACTCTTGCAGAGAGCCCGTAATGCTCTTCAATACGGTACTGGAAGCCCTGAGGGGGTTTATGTTAACAGAGGAGGGGTGGATCAGGGGTCAAATGAAGCTGTCGAGGTGGTTGATAAGGGTGAAGCCTCTCATTCGACTGAGATATTGTGTTACATCTGCCATGAAGCTGGTTCTGGCGATTTGATACATTGCGACAATAGCGACGTAAGTCTTCTTTCATTATCCTTACTTAGATTGATATCACGGAAGTCATGCAGATATCTAACAACTCAGTAGAGCTGCGAAGGAAAATGGTTCCATCTGATTTGCGTCGGCCTTTCCTCTGCCCCTGCAGCAACGGCGAAGTGGCAGTGTCCCGAATGCTGTGACCGCGTTGATATCGCAGAGATAGAAGAGTCCTAGCCAGGAGGGTCTGGTAAGGAAAAGCTTCCGTCTTCTGGCAGCATCGGCTTTGCTCAACCAAATCCGGACATTTAAATTTGCCCCATACGAGTCTCCATGACAACCTTGGGGTGGACTTTCTCAAAGCCTAGGCACAAGTCATAATGGAAAAGAAGGAGAATCAAAGAGAAATCAGAATCCGCTGGTCATATTGTAAGAGATGAGGTTGTTATTAGAACAAGGAACAAGGTAGGCAAGGACATTGACAGCGCGCGAGAGAGTATGCATTCTACAGCAGTTGGCACCTTGAGAGCAGATCTCTAGTCACTGTCGTCACCTAAATCATGCCTTTGTGAAGTTCTACCAGATTCTCCAGAGAACTGGATGATTCCAAGTTATCATTGTTCTCGATGACAGCCTTTCTCCAAGCGAGAGAGATGTAGTGGGATTTCGGCAGCAACTGAAGATGCAATCGAGATGAAATCCTCGAGCGAGCAGATCCCGATTGCTGAACTCTATAGGGAAACCCGACAAGATCCGATGTTCGAAAGAGTCAATTGATGTAAAACCTTTGATTGATTCCATTGACAATTCTTCCTCTTTCGTCTAGTTGCGCAGGATTCTCGAGCTTCTACTGGTTGGCCATGATGTTGAACTCTGATCCGAGTACCCCTATGACGTCAAGTTAACCCCGAGATGAGTCCGGTCTTTCGCATCGTTTGTCAGCACATCTGGATGTGGAAAACAGTGAGAAGTGAGATGATGCAGCTTTGGAGCTTCTTGCCGAAAGAGGTCAATGCTGAGTGAGCATCAAGTCTTGAGTCAATCGAGTTGTGGGAGACAATACTCGAAGCTCTGATTGTTCTTGAGGACGGTTGTATCCGGAGATTTGAGATGAGATGAGATGGTGTAGATTGATCATATACATCTAGATAGCCGAGATCCTTATTGAAACACCTGGGAAGCTTATAAGCCGACAAAGATCCGAGAGTCGACATCGATCAACTCAACTTGAAGGATAGAAGATGACAGCTTCTTGGTATTAGGGCTGTTTTGGACTTGTCTATGTAGTATCTGTTATGCCACCAAGACAAGGGGACTATTTTCTCCTTACGGAATAGCCAACCACGCTCTATCTATCGATCTAGATATGCCGGACCCTCCGCCGCCTCTGCCGCAAAAGGCCCGCCATCCAATGGTAAAAGGCAACTCTTCCCGTTGTGGGTAATCGCTGGGCGTTGCCGTTCGCAGTTTAGTTTCCTTCGGGTTCTGGGTCCCTGCGTGCCGAGTTTGCGAGACGGAGTGACGATAAGACGACAAGACGACATGTAAGAAGGGGAAAAAATTGTCATGGTGGGCTGGAAACTGTGGCGACGTGCGATTCACATTGGCCAGTTACTGATGTGATATTCGAGCGGGTATGCTACTATATCATTCTTTATTTCCATGGATCTGTGAAATACCTATAAACGAGTGATGTCCTCTGGTCCGCAGCTGGACTCCGATTGAGTCTGTGAACAACGGCTTGCCACCTTGTGACAGCTTCAATCTTTGGAAGAGTCAAAAGTTGAAGTTCTCAACATGGAGGCATATCGCCAATATACCTCCCTAGGCAAACGCCTAGAAGCACAGCTTCAACGAAACCGAAGTCGACCACACACGACGACCACCACCACCGACAACAACAACAACAACAACAACACCACCCAACCTCCTCACACAAATCAGGCAGCCCCCAATGACATAGAAGCATCATCACCATCATCGCCAAACACAACCGACCTCGAAGACGACTCCCCGCCGCTCGACCATTCCCTCAGCAGAATCGGCACGAACCTGGCCGTCGCCCTCACCGGCATCGTGCATAAACAGCACCCCTCCTCGACGGATGGCGGTAAAGTCTTCGTCGTCGGCTTCGAGGGGCCCAACGATCCACTGAGTCCGCGCAACTGGTCGCTGACGAAAAGGATGCTGTGTACGCTCAACGTCGGCATCATTGCGCTGGTGGTGGGAATGGCGGCGTCGATCGACTCGGCGGTGATTCAGAGGGCGGCGGAGGATTTTGGAGTCAGCGAGGTGGCCGAGGCTCTTGCGACTGGGCTGGTAAGTTGTTTTTTTTTTTTCTTTTCGTTGCTCGGCGGACCAGCATCTCGCATGAAACGAGGATCCTGTTTCTAACGACGGGCTGGATGCACAGTTCCTTGCTGGCTTCGGCTTCGGCGCCCTGATTGCTGGCCCGCTGTCGGAGACGGTCGGGCGGAACCCCGTCTACTTTTCCTCGCTGGCGATATACATGCTCTTCCTCATGGGGGCTGGACTGTCCAAGTCGCTGGCGGGACAGCTCGTGTGCCGCTTCTTTGCGGGATTATTTGGCGAGTCGCCGCTGTCGACTGTCGGCGGTTCGATTAGCGATCTGTGGAATCCCACGGATCGCCTGGTTGCGTTCCCCATGTTTGCAAGTGAGTGAAGAATGCCCTTCTGAAACGAGGTTCAGGGCGATTGATGTTCTAATGAATGCCATGATAGCTGCTGGATTGATGGGACCGGTCATGGGACCCATCGTTGGCGGCTGGATCTCTCAAGCACACGACATCTCGTGGCGCTGGACCGAATGGGTCACCATCATCGTATCCGGCACGCTTCTCATCTCGCTGCTCCTCTTCCAGCCCGAAACCTACGAGCCCATCCTCCTGCAGTGGAAGGCGAGTCACCTCCGTCGTTTGACCGGTGACAGCCGCTACGTATCTGCCGCAGAGATCGAGCACGTCACGTTCCGCGCTCGCATGATGACCGCCGTCAAGCGGCCCTTCATCATGGCCATCCAGGAGCCCACCATCATGCTGTGGACAGGCTACCTGACCGTCGTCTACCTGATGCTCTTCGGCTTCCTCGACGGCTACACGTTCGTCTTCCAAGAGACGTACGGCCTCTCGGACGGCATCACCGGCACCATCTTCGTCGGCATCGGCGTCGGCCTCGTCCTCTCCTCCGCCCTCCTCACCCCGCTCCTCTTCCGCTGGGCCAAGCAGGAGATGGCCAAGCTCCAGAGCGCCGACGAGCCCGCCGCCCGCATCCCGCCCGAGTTCTTCCTCTGGTACGCCCTCATCGGCGCCCCCGCCATCCCCGTCTCCTTCTTCTGGATGGGCTGGACGGCCTACCCGCACGTCAGCATCTGGTCCCCCATCGTCGCTTCCGTGCTGTTTGGCTTCGGCATGTTTTCCGTCTTCGTCTCGACGTACATGTATCTCATTGATACGTACGAGGTGTATGCCGCGAGCGCGCTGACGATGATTACGCTGGTGCGGTATGTTGCCTCGGGGGGCATGATTGAGATTTCGATTCCGATGTATAAGAATTTGGGGATCCATTGGGCCTTGACCATGTTAGGGCTTATTGCGCTGGTGTTTACGGCGGTGCCGTATGCGTTTTTCAAGTTTGGGCCTTGGATTCGGTCAAAGAGTCGGTTTGCGAAGCCGAAATAGAAAGGGAGCATTGGGAGACACTCTGACAAAAGGGGGTGTGATCTTGAGCATGAAAGACTGGATATTGATACAAAAGTTTGGGTAGAGACTGGTATACGTGCATATGTATAGATTAATGAAGACATGTTCATGTAGGCAGCTTGCTGAATAGCTATAAGCGTGGTTTGCCCTCAAAATCAGACCCAAATAGAGGCTTGCATAACATGTAATGACAAACTTTCACCTCAATCCTCATAAGTCTCCTCGTACTCCTCCTCATACTCTTCCCTAGCCTCCTCCAGCTCCTCAAAATCACTGCTGCTGGCATCCGAGTCCTGCGCATCGGCAAGCGCCTCCTCGTACTCCTCTCGCGCCTCCTGAACCGACTCCCGATCACTTGAAGACACAGAGTTGCCGTCTTCGTCCGTTGCGGGGAGGACGGCCGGGGGGCCACTACTGTAGTCTTCGTTGTATTCGTTGACGATGACCGGTTGAGGCACATAATGGGGCCTCTCTTCGTCGTCGTCGTCGCTGCTACTGCTGTCGTCTTCTAGGGCGTGATGCAAGAGGGCACCGCCAACCAGTCCGGCTGCGACACCGCCCGCGGCGCCGAGAAGCATGCCGCTGCTTCCGGACGACTTCTTCTCCTTCTTCTTCTCTTCGCCGTGGGCCCCGTACTCGCCATATCCGCCGTGGCCACCGTACTCCCCTGTGGGGGCGCCGTAGCCCGCTGGCGGCATAGGAGGCGGTGCGCCATACGATCCTGCGTGAGGAGGAGGTCCAGGAGGAGCCGAATAGCCTCCTGGCGTGTGTCCGTACGGCACAGCCGGGGGGTACGGCGAGTGGCCGCCGCCTCGAGAGTCCTCGCTCGGGTACGTCTCCATGGGCGGTCGTGGAGGGGGCGCAACGTAGCCGGGGGCCTCCCACTGGGTCACGCCGGTCTCCGTGTTGGCATAGTACCATCGCTGGCGGCTCTGGTCAAAGAGGGGGATCCAGCCCTGAGGCAGAGGCGGCTTGTCAGAGGGAGGCTGGTAGGTTGGCTGAGGGGGTGAGGCGTAGAACTGAGCAGGAGGGGCGTCATCTCGGTTGGCGGAGTGGTAGCCATAGTCGCCGTGCTCTCCTGAGGCTGGTGTTGAATCAGTCATAGACTCTGATAGAATAACGAGCCTTTTCTGCTTCTTACGGGCAACTTACCTTGGGGAGGATACTGATGGGACTGGGATCCTCCAAGCCCGAGTTCGCCAAACTGGCCCGAGAGATTGTCGACGTAGGACATGATGGGAGTCAAATGGCGCAGAAGCAATCCGTTTGCTACAAGGGAAAGGGCCCGGTTGAGCTCGCAAAGAGAAAGGAGTTGCAAGTTGGCGGGCAAATGCCTGGGGTGCTTATTTGGAGGAAGCGGACAAACAAAGAAACTGTTGGACTTTAATCCCGAGAGTCAGACGCTGAAGTTGTCGAAATGGTTGGACGTGAGGTTATGCATCAAATGTGCATATGCCAAGTCGACAGGGCCTCCAGCTGCAGAAGGCACGAGGCGCAGGCACATGCAGGCGGTGATTCGGTGGAGAGGCCCGGCAGAGCCCTGAACCAGGCCTGAACAGGACTCAAACCTCTATCCTTCTAAATCAAACTCGTTTGCTGTCTAGTACAAGGCGAACCTGGCGTGTTTGTGGCTGGCTGGCCATTCAGTCACACGGGCCGTACCGAGCGCGCCATTTTCCGGCCTGGATTTGACTTTCCATGGTTATTGTTTGTTTGGTTGGCACATTGAGATCTTACTGCATACATGTAGCAAGGAGTTGAGATGGAGGGAGCATCCGTCAACGGCAATGATTTCCACTGGCTTGTCACATAACAAAGCCAGGGCACGTTGTAGGTGACTGGGATGCAGGATACGGAGATATCCCCTACATGTCGATGTCCGATGCGAACAGCGGCCCGTGTGTAAGAGATACATACATGTACAGCCTTGTTGCGTCCATCTTACTGTCACCCGTTGACCATGTGAAGTCATCTGAAGCAGCAGAGCCGACTATCAGATGATTCTGCATGGGAGGCCCCTCAAAGGGTCCAGCCAAGGTCTTGTCGCCCGTCAATCAGTCAACGCAAAGGCATCCATTGGTTTGGACGTGTCGAGATCAAATTCGTCTACAGCGGCCTGTCAACTGCACAGCCACTGAGCCTCCCCCCCAGTTCCCCCGCCGGCTGCCGCTTATCTCGGCGCCACTAGCCGCCTAAAGTCGATGCAGCTGCAGCAGCCCCAGCCCGCCAAGCCGGACTCCGACGGCGCTCAAGGCTGACCGCAGGGCTCTTGGCGGCTAAGGCACGATTACATGATGCGCGCTCTGTGCTGGTAACATCATCTACAAGCTTGGACTCTTTTCTTTCCAACAACCGTCAATCCACATCTCCAGGTCGACTCTCGACGTTCTTCTCCCCCTCGAACCGTCGTCTTCTTGTCAATCGACCACAGCCATGTCCGGATACCCTGGCCAAGGCTACCACGGCGCCGGCCATCACGGCGGAGGTGGAGGCGGCTACGGATACGACAACAGCTATCCTCCTCCCAACGGCCCTCCGCAGCCGCAATACGGCGGAGGCTACGGCGGCGGCGGCGGCGGTGGTGGTTACGGCGCACAGGGAGGATACGGCTCTCCGCCGCCGCCTCAGCCCGGATACGGCGCTCCCCACGGCGGCTCCTCCCCACGGCGGCCTACCCTCCGCAGCCCAGTTACGGCGGTCCCCTCCCTCAACCAGGCTACGGCTCTCCCTCTCCCCAGCCCGGTTACGGTGCTCCTCCTCCTCAGCCCAGCTACGGCGCTCCTCACGGCGGCTACGGCGCTCACCAGCCTCCGCCGCCGCACGGGGGATACGGACCACCCCAGGGCGGATACGGCGGCCACCAGAACCAATATCCTACCCCCGGAGGCCCTCCCCCGAACCACCACCCGCCTCCCTCACACCCGCCTCCCCCAGGCCTCGATGCCTACGGCTACCCTCTCAATCCTCCGACCGCGATGCACGCGAAAGCCGGCCCGCCGCCGCCCTCGGCTCCTCAACAGTTTGGTCACGGTGCTCCGAACGGCTATACCTTCCAGTATTCCAACTGCACGGGAAAGAGAAAGGCGTTGCTGATTGGCATCAACTACTTTGGCACAAAGGCCGAGCTCAAGGGGTGCATCAACGACGTCCACAACGTGTCGGCGTTCTTGGTGGAGCGATATGGCTACAAGCGCGAGGACATGGTCATTCTGACAGACGACCAGACGGATCCCGTCATGCGCCCGACCAAGGCCAACATTATACGTGCTTTCGGCTGGCTTGTCAGCGGCGCGCAGCCCAATGACTCCCTGTTCCTCCACTATTCCGGCAAGTACTTCTTTTGCTACAACAGATTATCACACCATATCACTGACCATGGTTTGTAGGCCACGGCGGTCAGGTGAAGGATAATGACAGTGACGAGGACGACGGCTACGACGAATGCATCTACCCAGTCGACTTTGAGCAGGCTGGATACATTACCGACGATGAGATTCACTTTCACGTCGTCAAGCCTCTGCAGCAGGGAGTCCGTCTCACGGCCATTTTCGATTCATGTCACTCTGCAACCGTCATGGATCTGCCCTACGTCTACTCCACCAAGGGTGTCCTCAAGGAGCCCAACTTGGCCAAGGAAGCTGGCCAGGGTCTCTTGGGTGCAATCTCCTCCTATGCCTCGGGCAACATGGCTGGTGTCGCGAGCAGCATCATGGGCTTTGCCAAGCAGGCGCTGAATGGCGACGGGGCCTACAAGAAGACTATGGCTACACGCACGTCACCAGCGGACGTCATTATGTTTTCCGGCAGCAAGGATGATCAAACATCGTAAGCTCTTACTCCTGTCCCCTCCACTCAAGTTCCGATCCGCTGCGGTTGTTCATTGCTAACATGAAGTCTCAAGCGCCGATGCCACGATAGGAACCCAGGCTACCGGTGCCATGTCGTGGGCCTTCATTTCTGCCCTGAAGAAGAACCCCAAGCAGAGCTACGTGGAGCTGCTCAACAGCATCCGGGAGATCCTCGAGACCAAGTACACCCAGAAGCCGCAGCTGTCTTGCAGTCACCCTCTAGGTATGCCCCGTGACTCGTCTTCTGCGTCATTGCTGTGCTAACATGGTGACAGATACCAATCTGCTATTTGTCATGTAAACCAAGAAAAGAATCTCTATATTGATATGAAGCAATGTGTAACGAACCAGATTACTTCTTACTCTGTTTATGGATATATAACATACGCGGCAATATGTTCAATTCCTTTTGAACAGGCCCCTTGTCGCATTCGGCCAATATTCACCATAGATTCTCTCTCTCCGTTCGTTCCACAAGAGGTCAAGAGCGGTCTTTGTACCTAGTGTATCTCATGGGTATTGCGAACGATGCCTCAGCTTTTTGACTAATCGTAATCCATACGTAGCAAAGCCAAGTCATCTATCTATCATGTAACTTTACGTGTATGAACTACTATTGATGCAATCTTTAACTAATGCCACGCTTCAAGCTGCCAGCCCTTTCCAAGCCCTCGGCCACACGTCTTGGACGTACCGGCACGGCTTCTTCGCTAACGTGGGAGGCTTTCGCGCTCAAGCCCCTGAATGACACTGGAAGCCACATCCTACCTCTGGCTCATATCCCGCAGATACATCCAGTCTCCGACAATTTCAGACGAAGAAGCTCCTCGGCAGGTCCCAGAACAGGACACTGTGTCGCCAAGGTCATCGCCTGCTTCCAGGTCTAGGCTACCAAAACCTCCAGTGCATCTCCCGCGGGTCGTGCAAAACCTCCCCCGTAACGACCGTCAAGTTGTCGACACGTCGCCGTCGCCGTGTTGCTGTATCATGGCGAGCATTCTGCTGGATCTTTCGGGCCGTAAGGACATCCGCTGTCGCGGTCCGCATGGACAAGGCCCGTGAGCATGGACCGGGTTTCCCTCCGGGAGGCCGGGCCTCGTAGCAGCCGCAACTGCCGCATCGGCAGATTTTCGCTCGAAAACATCGTAGAATGACCCTGACGCCGAGTTGGGCGCTCAACATTCAGCCCTTTTCATCAAGCTTGCCTGTCGAGTGGCACGAGCGCCACCCCATGTGCCCCGGATAGGGCGATGATGGCAGACCGCTGCGGCTGGGGACGCTTGATAGCCTCTACCTGTGCGTTGCGACCATGAAAGTATGCTTCAGTCCATCTTACCACTTGGGACTTTTGAGTTTCTGTCGCGGGTCGAGTAGTTCCCTGGCGAGCATCGAGCATCATCTTGCGAGGCACAACAAGTCCTCTTCCGGGTCCTCGAGACTGGCGTCATCTGTCAGAGGGGTTTCAACAGAAACAAAAAGTCGAGTGTCATGGTACAAAAATGACAAAGGACGTAGCCGGGACATTGTCATGTCGACAACATCTCAGTGTGAACCAAGAGTCGAACTAGACGCTGCCCTCGCCAACCATGTTAGAGCCCCCCCAGCAAGAAAAACGTAGCACAGGAGGAAAAAAAAACCCTGGGCCCGAAGTAGATTCCCCTTGGCCTGGGACTTTTCTGGTCCATCTTCCTCGTCGCCCTTCGTCCTTTGCTGGGCAAAGGCTGCACATCGTCGTCGTTCGAGCCGGTGGTCGGCATTTGAGACTTGTTGACCGGATGATGGCCTTTTTGCCGCGCGTTGGGGTGAAAGGACGACAATGGACTGAGCGCAGCATGTGATTTTCATGCGAATATGCCGAAGTCCGGGAAAACCTGTAGAAGAGAAGGAATCAGAAAAGTTGCCGGACTGAGTTCCCGAGTCAAGATTGCCGTTATGCATGCCCTTGTCGTTTGGGGCTGAACGTGCACGACTCGATGCCCATCCTAGACTGACGATGGTTGAAGCTCCTTACATGGTATAAGCTGTTTCTCATGAGCTGCCATATCGATGGGTCAGACAGTAAGTATAGCGATTACAGATGCTATTCGATACCTATCGTAACCTGAAGTCTCATCTTCGCCATCATGGGACGTGTGCAGAAGGAAAAGAATGTCGAGGCCAGGTTGAAGCCTGCAGCAATCGAAACCGCATGACCCCCTGCTGTCCAGCCAGCTGGAGGTCGTTATCGCAGCCGCTGAACGTCGGTCAGGCCCCTGTAAGAGCACCTCACCTCTAGCGCCAGCAGCTGACCGCAAGACAGGGGCGCGCCCATGCTAGCACATCAACCCCACAGTTCCCTCAACTCATGCACTTCACTCACAGTTGAGTTCAATCAGAGCCTCACCTGGACTCAACTCATCACAACCCGACATCTCCTATCTCAACCCGGTATCTGATCCCGAATAGTGGTAGCACTACTACAAACCCACAATGCCCGATCCCCCCCCTAATCCATCACCTCCCCCTCGCACCACCACCACCACCACCACCATCCGCATCCTCGACGGCGGCCTCGGCACATCCCTCGAGCACAACCACGGCATCTCCTTCACCCCGTCCTCCTCCCCCCTCTGGTCCTCCCACCTCCTCGTCTCCGACCCGGCAACCCTGCTCCTCTGCCAGAAATCCTTTGCCGCCATCCCCGTCGACGTCCTCCTCACGGCAACCTACCAAGTCTCCATCCAGGGCTTCGCGGCCACCAAAACAGCGGAGCACCCGTCCGGCATCGCAGACGCCTCCCACATCCCGCCCTTTCTCGACAAGGCCATCCAAATCGCCCATGAAGCAGCAAAGGCACGAACCCCTTGCGCCGCCGCCGTGGCACTAAGCCTCGGCCCCTACGGCGCATGCATGATCCCCAGCCAGGAATACAGCGGGGCCTACGACGCGGAACACAGCTCCGAGGAGGCCCTCTACCTCTGGCACCGCCAGCGGATGGAGCTGTTCGCGCGTGTCGTCCCGCCCGTCAGGCGCAGAATCACCTACATGGCCCTCGAGACAATCCCCCGCCTCGACGAGATCGTCGCCCTCCGCCGCGCTCTGGCCGCCGTCCCGGAGCTCTCCTCCGGCATCCCCTTTTGGATGTCCTGTCTCTTCCCCCACGAAGACGACGACAACACGCCCGACGGGAGCTCCCCTGAGGCCATACTCGGGGCGATGCTCGATCCCGCTCTCGCGGAAGAAGCAGTCCCCTGGGCCGTAGGCATCAACTGCACAAAGGTCTGGAAACTGGACTCGTTGCTTCGTCGGTACGAGGCTGCTATTCGTAATCTGCTGCACGAGGGCACCGTCGAGAGGTGGCCTGCCTTGGTGCTGTATCCCGATGGAACAAACGGGGAAGTGTACAATACAACCACCAAGCAGTGGGAGCTTCCTCAGGGGGCTGCTGAACAACAACAAGACAGAGTCCCCTGGGAGACGCAGCTTACGCAGGCCGTGCGGGCTACGGAAGCCAGGGGAAACTGGCCTGAGATCATTGTAGGGGGGTGCTGCAGGGCTCTTCCAAGCGATATCAAAAGACTTCGCGATGCTCTAACAAATTGATGCCAACACAAATTCCTATCCAACACAAAAGCCAAAGAACAAGATGAAAGAGCAAAGCGCATACATGAAAAAGAGATCGGTTGCCTAATACCCTCTAAGCCCACACTGTCAAACTCTCTCTCTCTCTCTCTCTCACACACACACACACACTCACACGCCCCCCTTTCAAAATCCCAGGCTCGAAATGTCCGCACTCAGCGGCTTCCCAGACATCATCTCCGCAACAACCTTGCCCGTCCCCAAGCTCAAGCTGATCCCCCACGGGCCATGTCCCGCCGCGATGAAGACGCCCCCCGAACTGCCGTCCGCACCGCCGCCGCTAAAGTCCTCCCCCAGCTTGTCCTCGGGCAGCCTCGCAATGTACGGCGTGCCCCTCTTGGTGATGGGCCTGAAGCACAGTCCCTCGCGCACAATCTCCAGGTCCTGCCCGTCGGGCGTGGCGATGAGCCGCCGCGCAATGTCCTTGAGCTTCGCGACGGACTCGTCAAACGTCACCGCCTTGACGCGGGGCTTGGGCAGCGGGATGGACGCGTGGTTGACGCCCGCGACGTAAATCACCCCGTCCGGCCGCGAGTACACCTCGGGCGAGAGCGCGTCCATGGTCGTGTACACGGAGTGGCACGTCGTCACCGCCTGGGGCGCCTTGACGACGAGCGAGTGCCCGCCCAGGCTCTCGATGGGGATGTCGATGTAGTACCGGTTCTTGAACAGGTCGTTGAAGACGTGCGGCGTCCAGCACCCCGCCGACAGCAGCACGCGGGACGCCGGAATCACCGTCTCGTCCGAGCCCTCGGGGTGGCTGACGACCACGCCCGAGAGCTTCCCGCCTTCGTCAGTCTCTATGCGCGTCGCCACCGCAGGGTTGTGAATCTGCACGCCCGCCGCCTTGACCTTTTCCAGGAGAAACTTGCAGAATCTCAGGGGATCCCTGGGGTTTTTTTAGCAGTCAACGTCAGCAAAAAAACAAAATCGGACTTTAGAAACTGGTGACATGATCATGTAAGATGTGACAGATGCAAACGTAAGTAAAAAAAAGACAAAACAACAACACTTACACAATCGCCGTGCCGCTCCCATCATCAATCACCCTCACCGAGTCGCCCTCCGTCCGCCTCAGCCACTCCGGCACCTCGCCATCCTCGTGCTCCCTCCGCGTGTCCACGACGCCGGCCCTGCTCGTGCCCTCCAGCAGCCAGTCCTCCCCCCTCTTGCCCCCCAGCAGCGGCCCGTCGGGCTCGTAGCTGACCGTCACGCTCTTGGCGTAGCCCCAGTTCTCCCTGCCGTTCTCCTGCTCGGCCAGCTTCCTGTGCTCCTCGAAGCTCAGCTCCGCCAGCGGCGTCAGCTCCGGGCGGAACCAGTCCTTGGCCAGGAAGCCGCCCGCGAAGCCCGACGCCGAGGCGAAGAGCTCGTTGGCCGAGTCGACGAGATGGATCGTGCTGCCCGGTTGGTGCTGCAGCAGGTAGTAGGCCGTCGACAGGCCGATGACACCACTGCCGAGGATGACAGTGTCAGCCATGACGTCTTTCCCACTGTGTGTTGGCTGCCGGCGGATTGAGGCTTTTCGACGTTGGAGATCCTGGGCCCCCAACAGAAGCTTCAGCTGTGGCGTATGTAAGGTAGTAGTAGCGGTACCTGGTAGGATCTGTAGATAAAGGTATCAGGTCGATGAGACGCAGAGGGAGATTCCGGTCAGTCCACCCCCCGGAACCAACCGTCTTATATCTCAACCTCCCGCGGCCTTCAGACGCTGTCCGGCTCACCGTACCGAAGCCTTGCCTTGCCTCTCCTCGATTAGTCGCCCCTCCCCCTCCCCACACCCTCCAGGGCGGCGCCGGCTCCTTGCCATCGGCTCAGGAAAAAAACCACAAGCCCCAAATATCCCTGTCTTCGCCAAAATAACTAGCCCAGTCCGCCATCTCCTCACTCGTTCTGCCCTCGGCTTGGATTGAGTAAAAGAAACGCTCCTCTTCACCCGATACCGCCTCGCAGCTGTCCCTACCCATGGCTTCCAAGGTCTTCATCGTCACCGGCGCCAGCAAGGGCCTGGGCGCAGCCGTCGTCGAGCAACTATTGGCGCAATCCCACAAAGTCGTCGTCACGGCCAGGTCCGAGGAATTGCTGCGCAAATTCAAGGACGCACATCCCGGCCAGGTGGAATACCTGGCGGGCGATATCACAAGCTCAGGGGTGAGTGAGTGCTTATTTTTAAGCCTGATTCTTTGTTTCATCTAAGTAAGGTATGTCTTGCGAAACAAGTATCGTATCTGACAAAAGGAATACGGCTAGATTGCCGAAAAGCTGGTCGACCTGGCCGTCGCCTCATTTGGAAGACTCGACGGCGTCGTCATCAACCATGGAATCCTGGAGCCGGCTAAGCTGGAATCCGCTTCCCTGGACGACATCAGGCGGGTCTACGAGATAAACTTCTTCAGCTATATTGCCATGGTAAGACGGGAAAATCTTGGCGTCTTCCCATCGGACGGCTGCTGACATGGCGTGCAGGCCAAGGCTAGTCTGAATGAGGTCAAGAAGACCAAGGGCTGCATCCTCTGGGTATCGTCAGGAGCAGCTCTCAAGCCTTACGTTGCTTGGAGCACCTATGGCTCCTCCAAGGCAGCCGTCAACTCCATCGCGTCTCATCTTGCCGTCGAAGAACCGGACATCACCAGCATCACCATAGGGCCTGGGCGGGTAGACACCGACATGCAGGCAACCCTGCGCCTCAAGGGCAAGGACACCATGGACGAGAAGCAGTACCAGAGCTTTGTCGACGCTTTCCAGCAGGGCACACTGCTGAAGCCTGAGCAGCCAGGGGGTGTCATAGCCAAGTTTGTGGCCAACCCTTTGCACGAGCTGAGCGGACAATATCTTGTGTAGGTTCGCCGTCCCGGATCGCCATGTCCATCACTAACCGCGTCTAGTTGGAACTCACCTGAGCTGGCGGCGTATCAAGCATGATTTCTGTCCTATAGCTTCGTTGCGTTAGCCGGGGGTCAAACACAAACAATGGAATAGCAATAATAGAGAAGGGAAACATTGCAGTCAGTCGAAAGATGAAAAGCTCTTAATGATCTCCACATGAAGATTCGGTATTAGCATGGAATTAAGTTTCTTCATCACGCAATGTATAATGTAGTAGACAAAAAAGAAATCGAAAGAAGCAAGTCACTGCCACCTACCTTGTGATTCAGTGCCGGCGTGTTGCCATTGTGCCAATCTCCACGGAGAGCTTTATAATCTGTCAGTCTCTGGTCGTAATTGCTGGCGACGTAGCTTCAGAAACCAAGGTCGAGTACGGCGTTGTTCAGGAGAGTGTGTCCGCAGTATGTATCTCGGAATTTGATAATACTTTACTTGGTACATCACGTTGTGCCGCGGTCTGTCGAGAGGAGCGGGTCGGTTCTTACATTTGCAAATCTCTGCTGCCAGAAGCGCTGCCTGTGAGAAGCATTGTTAGCCATGAAAGCACAGCAAACAGATTGCGGGTGGTAGAAGAGCAAGACGAAGCTCCAGTTGTAAATCAGCAAAGTGTCTATTTGGCTAAGACTGTGTCTGTCAGCAGGGGAGGCTTGTCGGACCTCCTCAGACTGGGGCGACAACATATCTCATCATAAAGGCAACTGGAGCTGCGGCGTGTCGTCTGGAGGGAGGTTCCTTACCTTGTGCTAGCGAGCGGCGATGGAAGCACACATCATGCTGACGGTGAGCAGCAAGTTCTGAGCTCAATTGGAGCTGGTGCAGAGCTGTGCTTGTCTTGCTTCTTCCCTTGCAGCGGGAGAAGAGAGAGGTGGAAGAAGGAAGAGAAGTTTTCGTCCAGCCGAAACTGGGAGCTTAATAAACACTTTTTTTTTTTTTTTTTTTTTTTTTTTTTTTTTTTTCCTTTTTCTTCTGCCAGAGCTTGTCCGCACTAAGAACTGCTCCACTTGTACTCCATACTTGGGCGACGTGCTGCGGCACGTGAACTGCCCCTCTGCAAGCCAGTCAGCGCCGCGACCTCCAGCGCGCTGCGCTGCCATTTGCTGCTGCTTTGAGGCACCGGCACGCACCACCAGCGCCAGACACCCGCCGGGCGCGTCAAAGTACCCGGTACCTGCGCCCGCCCGCCCGCTAGCCCTGGCCGTGCACCAGAACTGGCTCCAGCAGCGCTCAAGTATAACAGCAGCCGCCGCCCCACCGGCAAACCGTCTGGCCGGGAAACATTCAGAGTCCGTCCATCAACTCCCTGAGCGCCTCGGAATCGCCAGCTGTCGCATCCTCGACTCACCAAACGCACCGGAATCCTGCCCTGATCTGTATATAATATCTCCTCCATCCTCTCTCCTGTTTTACGTTCTCTTCTTTGCCCTCGTCCACGTCTTCCGCCCTCTTCTCCGGCTTGCGCAGCTTTCTGTCTGCGCTCTCCGCCGTCGCCGCATCTCACTCCCATTCCACAGTTTCAGGCAGTCGCGCGTCTAAGCCACAGCGTCGCCTGTGTCGCATCTCTGCCCAGCATGTCGGATCATGAGTTTGGCGGTATGTCTAAACTTTGCTTGATCGCTCTTTTATTTCCGCTGTTTTTTTTTTTTTTCAATTTGCTTTTGCAGAGGAAACATAGCCGTGCGTCGCTGCTTCTGCTGTCGTCGCCGTGTCTGGAGACCAATAAGACCGAGTCTCCGGCTCATTGTTTGTATCCATGAAGTCATGGCATTTTATACAAACTTCGCATCTGTGCCTTGCCGTGGCCAACAACGATGATATCCTAGTATATCTATATTCTCAGCGCATCCTACCATCCCTTTTCCCTTTTCGTTTCTTCAAATTCGTTGCCCAACTGCACGTCCATCTAAGCCCCCCCCACAATCCCAGCATCGCATCAGAGAGCTCAAGAATGTGGTCATCATTCGATGACTGGAACAAAGCAAGCAAGAGTATCTCATGCTGCGCCAACAAACATGACACCAAGAGTTTCATTGCTAATGTGATTTGTTATAGGAAGCAACGACGACCTATCGCTGCCCAAAGGTACGTTTCCTCTCTGTCTCATGGCGCAATGATATGGCACCTCGGTTCCACCCCTGGCGGCAATGTGACGCATGATTTGTCTGGACCATGAAGCTCACCGTGTAACAGCTACTGTTCAGAAGATAGTCAGCGAGATATTGCCGCCGCAGACAGGCGTCTCTTTCGCCAAGGAAGCTCGTGACCTGCTCATAGAATGCTGTGTCGAGTTTATTACCCTCATCTCATCCGAGGCCAACGAGATCTCCGAGAAGGAAGCGAAAAAGACCATCGCCTGCGATCACATCACCAAGGCGCTAGAACGCCTGGGCTTTTCTGACTACGTGCCCGCCGTGTTAGAAGCGGCGGCCGAACACAAGGAAACTCAAAAGGTTCGCGCATGTCTCCCGCCACCCCCCCATCTCCTCTCGTTTTGCAGCTCAAGGGCAGCGCTAACGTCGTCAACAGGGGCGAGAGAAAAAGGCAGACAAGTTTGCCAACAGCGGCATGTCTATGGAGGAGCTCGCTCGGCTGCAGGAAGAGCAGTTCGCTGCGGCCAGACAGCGCCACACATGATGGGATTTTTGTTTCGGTGATATTCGGAGAGAGGGCGTCACGGTGGGCATTGCTAGGCGTTTTCATACACGGTAATGAGGGTTGGTAGACAGGTCAGACTCTGATTTGGACCTTCGTTTCCCGGAGTTGGCTTCATCAAGTTCTTTTCTTTCGTTCTCGGCATCTGGGAGGGGTCGTCGTGAATCCATCTCGCCATTTAACGGGTGTCTCCTGAGGTTGAACATCTCATGACGATCCCTCCCTCGTCTTATCGATAAACCGTCCCGGCGTTTCAATGATGTAACGCTAAGGTCGCCTCTCACATGTGCGTCTCCACCAATTGGATGGTTCGCGCTCTGCCCATCTCTAAATTCTTAGCCGTGCCATCAACCCAGAAACTCCAGGCATCGGCCCATCACCACGTCCTCTCAGCGACTCTACAAACCGCGCCCGGAAAAATCCACAGTAAATCCGCCAAAATAGGTCGAAAGCACCGCAACCGCCACAAGCCTTCAGGACCTCGCGTCCCCCGCTGGCTTGCTCGCAAAATGGGCCAAGAAGAGTCGACCCCGTCCGCGGCCTATGGCCCTCCCGCCACGCTGCAGGAACGAAGCCTGGAGGCTGTCGCCGAGCACATCAAGAGCGGCAAAGCCCGGCGCATTGTCGTCATGACAGGCGCCGGCATCTCGACCGCCGCGGGCAGTAAGTCTAGCCCTTTGATCTGGTCGCTGTCGCTGTCGAATGGCAGGTCTCAACTAACGAATCGCACGACTAGTCCCCGACTTTCGATCGCCAAAGACAGGGCTGTACAGCAACTTGGCGCGCCTCAAACTCCCCTACGCAGAGGCTGTGTTCGACATTGCATACTTCCGCAACCGCCCCGAGCCCTTCTACGTGCTTGCGCAGGAGCTCTATCCCGGCAAATTCCACCCGACCATCTCCCATGCCTTCATTGCGCTTCTTGCGGAAAAGGGCCTCCTCCAGATGCTCTTCACACAAAACATTGACTGCCTCGAGCGAACGGCTGGCGTCCCCGCGGACAAGATTGTCGAAGCCCACGGCAGCTTTGCGACGCAGCGCTGCATTGAGTGCCAGGTCGAGTTCCCCGATGCCGACATGAAGGCGCATGTTCACCGAGGCGAGGTTCCTCGCTGCAAAGAGTGCAATGGCCTGGTAAAACCAGACATCACCTTCTTTGGCGAAGCCCTCCCCAGGGCCTTTTCAGAGAAGTCGCACCACACTGCCATGGCAGACCTCGTTCTCATCATTGGAACGAGCTTGACGGTATATCCCTTTGCAAGCCTTCCCGAGATGGCGCGGAAGGAAACGCCGCGCGTGCTGTTCAACATGGAAAAGGTTGGCTCGCTGGGGTCGCGAGCGGATGATGTGCTGGAGCTGGGGGCGTGCGATGACGGTATTCGAAAGCTGGCTGGTCTGTTGGGCTGGACAACCGAACTGAATGATTACTGGCGAAATCTCGTTGGAGACGAGGAGGCTGATAGGCAGCTGCGCAGCTGGACTGTTCGTGACGAGGAGATTGAGGATGAGCTGCAGAAGTTGACTGGGGACATTGAGACTGTTCTCAAGCTTGAGAAGGAGGAAGATGAAGAGGGTGAGGATGAGCAGAAGGAAGAGGAGGAGAAAGTAGAGGAGAAGGAAGCAGAGGGCGAGGTTACGCCGAGTTATGCTCCGACAGCCAAAGTTGAAGATGTCAAGGAAAATATCAAGACAGAGGACACGACTTCCGCGAAAGAAGAGACAGAAGACAAGGCCACACAGACCAGAGAAGCTCCCAAGCAAGAAGACGCCAAAGGAGAGAAACGAGAGACAGAGGACAAGGCTACACAAAGCGCAGAAAAGTCGGATCCTACACCAGAAGACAACCCCAGTTCCGGCTCATCACCGGAGACTGTCACGCAGAACGTACACGAAACCACAGGGGCAGGCGGCAAAGAGAGCGCAGAGTCAGAAAAGAAGGATGAAGAGAAGCCTCAGCAGACATGAGGCATAATAAAGAAATGACTTTCTTTTCCGTTTGTTTTTTACAATTCGTGTCATATACGCAGCGGTTGTGTCTCGCAACGAGCGGTTTCATAAGGTATACTTGGTAAGACGGCTTTGGGTTCAGACATTTGCTTTGATTACATCCTCTTACTCTACATCTGTCATAGATTTTTCCTCATACTTAGGCTCAAGTCGTATATTCATTCATTGTTCAATCTAGCCTTATATAAAAACAACTTTACATAAAAACAACACAACCATCCCCAGCTTCGCCATCTCAAACCAGGAAACCCCCCCACCCCTAAAGCCCACTGTCAATCTGCTCCGGGATATTCGTATTCGTCCACCCTCCCCACTGCCTACACGTCTCGGCGACAACATTCGGGATCCTCAGCCGCCTCACCTCGTCCGGCGCCGTCAGGAACTGCGTGAACAGGCCCGCCGACGCATGCCACGCGATGTGGCAGTGGAACGGCCACACCCCCGGGTTGCTCGCCGCGTCGAACTGCATCACCACGTACCCGCCCGCGCGCACCATGAAGACGTCGCGCCGCTGCGGGTTGGACGGCCGGACGATGGACTCGCCGTCCCATTCGCCCCAGCCTTCGTGGAGGATGTACATGTTGAAGCCGTGGAGGTGCATGGGGTGGCTTTTTTTTTCGGCGTGGAGTGTTAGTGAAACGGAGACATAAGTGTGAGATAGGGGTAATGGTGAGTAAGGGAGGGGGGTGGGTTGTTTCTTACGGAACATGAGATCTGTTGATGAGATTCACTCGGACGCTCTTTGCATCGCCGGTATTTCTCACACTCCACTGCGGTTCGAAAGTGAGGTTTCCTAGGTTACTCAGCAACAGTGTCGGACTGTTAAAGTTTCCTCGAAACGAAACCCCATCCAGCCGCCATAAGTTATGGCCTGTATCATTTTGAAACTGGTCCAGCTCCATGTCAATAGTGACATCCGGCTCCGGAAGGGGAAGCTTCATCACGGGCACCGTCAACGACAAGTCATCGTTGATACAAGTTCCCGGGTCAGGCACATCCCAGGGCGTCGACTCGGGAGTAGTCTCTGAATCTGTGTCGTCGTAGTAGATTGCCGCAAGGGCGTTTGGCTGGTTGGTAAATGAGCATCTGCTGATGTTGCTGCGCATCCAGTAGGCGTCGAGGTCGCCGTCGGCTTTGACAAGGACGTCGCTGCGTTGGCCGATGCCAAGCGTGACGACCTCGGTTTCGTAGGGCTCAACGTCGACAAAGTCGTTTGCAATGACGGTCAGTTTGTGGCCGTCAATGGAGAAGCGCTGGGTGCCGGCTGCTCCCGCGTTGATGAGCCGAAGGAGGTGCGTCTTGCCGCGCTGGAACTTGAACTTTGCGATGCCGGCGTTGCTGGTGCACGGCGTGCCGTCCGTGACTTGCGAGCAGTCGAAGACCATCTTCCCGTTGATCAAGTTGTTGTCTGAGGGGAATCTGCTCGCTCCGGGCTCGGTACTCATCGTCCGCTCCACCAGATCAAAATAATCCTCATGGTACCAGTCAGACAGCATGACGGGACCGACATCGACATCGTAGTCCTGCGACTTTGGTCCATGAACCACCAAGGGACCAAAGAGCCCGCCCGCATACTGCGCAGAGTAGTGCGAGTGATACCACGTCGTCCCATACAGCGATGCATGAAACTGATACGTGAAGCTCTTACCCGGCGCAACGGGACACTGCGTCACCGCGGGCGCCCCATCTTCCCAGGGCGTTCCCTGCTGGAGGAACCCGTGCCAGTGCAGCGCCGTGCCTTCTTCCGGCCCGGTGAGGTTGTTGTGCAGAGTCACTTGGATCGTGTCACCCCAGTTGGCCTCGATCAAGGGGCCGGGGAAAGCGCCGTTGATCAAGAGAACGTTGCGCTGGTATCCATCGGGGGCCATGACGCCCCGACTGACGGTGAATTCATAGGACCGTATGACACCCGTTTTCGGACTCGTGTCATAGTAATTGGTGCTGCAGTTGAGGTTGCTCCACGGATAGCCATTGGGGGTCGGGTTGTTGTTCAGAAAATCAGGGAGGAATGGAGAAGTCAAGACTCCCAGAAGAGAGAGGCTATGGGCATGTCAGGAACGGTTTCCTCAAACTCAAAGGGCAAGCGAGTCGCAAAACCTACCCGTTGGTTTGTTTGTGAGAAAGCTTGTGACTGGTCACAGAGCCGTCTCTTTTCGACCGTTGACGGCTATAATAAGCCCCCATGATGGCCAATGATCTTATTCGAGAACCGTGTCGAAGACAGGTCTCATATCAGACATACCCACAACAACACATTCCATCGCCTCCCCTATATATAGGCAGTCTGTGCATGCGCATACACATAGAGGACAGCTCCAAGTAATCGGCCATCGAAAATTTCCATTTACGTCTCCGGCGTCCATGATGCCCATTATGCAAGGCATCCTCGTGGTCCAGAATCCGGGAACGGCCAACACGAGTGCACCCCCCCTAGCCACGCTTAGCGGAAAACAGCATCCCCAGCTTCCAGTTCGAACAGCTATTGGTCGAGGAGATTCAGCCCACCCGTCTCGGAGGATCTCTTGCAGCACAGGATATTTGAGGCTTCTCGTATAGAACGGAAAAGGTGTCTGGTTAATATCATCGAGTGCAAGCCAAGCTGGACAGACGCATGATACTTAGACCACGGGCTGGGCCACATGGCCTGGAATATCCAATATATGCCGATCGGCAAATCGATTATTAGATCGCCGATGCTCGATTTTGATTCACATGAGACACTGCTGGTTCCGAAAAGAGATCAAGGCAGCTCGAAGAGGAAGCACCTGTCCATAGTTTTTACGTGTTTCGGACGCCAAGTTGTGCGTAGACCATACCTGTTGCCGAGATCCCGCATAGGGGTTGCTCATGCAGTAGTAGCTGTAACCAGAGGATCATTCCCAGCAACCAAGAAGGGGGGCTTCATGGTAGCACAGTAGGCAATGCCTCAGCCGCCACTTGGCAGCCTTAACGCAGCATGAGCCCAGAAAGTTTCGGCTCTATATCCATTGTCAGCAGATTCTGGACAGAATCGACAGGTATCTGGCAGTGTTACACATAACACGAGGCAGGGCGAAGGACCGTCGACAAAGTGTTCGACAGCCAATGACCTTGGCTCACTGCCCCAAGACAGGCGGCGTGAGAGTCATGCATGAAGGCGTATTTCAACAGAGTAACCAATCAAGTATTGGAGCTCTTATTAGCGAACTCGACGAGCTTTCAGCTCCGAACAAGCCCATGACCATCTCGTTGCCACATCCATCCATCTCACGGAGAGTAGTGGTATCACCTAGGAAATACGAAAGTATTTCGTAATGCCACAACGACACCAACATCATGCGAGCAGCCAGAATGTTGGGTCCAAGTAAGGGAATTTTTGAGATGAGTTGTTACACGAACTGCTCATTCTTTCCGAAGTTGGACGAGGCTGGAGAGCAACATCTGGCAAGCGTCCTGCCTTCACTCTTTTCGACGGGCGCGAATTGGCATCGGGTTGATTTCCCCAAGTTCCACTGCATCCCGTTTGAGTCGCAGATCATTCGGTCAGGCATTCGCCCCATATCGGGGACCGGATTCCAGACGGTGAATGGGAATTATATGGCTCCTCCCTTGGGGAAAAGTGCGGCTGCAATTCCCAAGGCTTGCAGAAGGAGGGTAGCATCGCCAGTTGTTGAGATCCCATTCGAAGGGTGCAATGCGGCCCCCAGAGGTAATCCTTTCTGTGCTTCTGTCGTACAGAAGCGGCTGATAACGTGATAATTGACATATATCGGACAGACGGTGAATGAGGTGGTGTCGCCCATCCGCCTCATAGGACGATAGAAAACACGTGATTCGTATTGTTCGAGAAGTAATTACATCGACAGTTCGAGACATCATCAGGACTCGTTTGCTGCAAGACTGAGTGACTCACGGCTTGAGCAGTGAGGTGGATCAAGCCCTGGTCGAGTGTCGAGCTCACGTTCTGCAGTGATCAGGGCACAGGCGAGATATGACAGACGGATACAGAGAGAAGACAGTGATAGATAGCTTTTTTCGTAGCAATGAAAATTTGAGCATTTGGTGCTCTTGCATACCTGCTAGAAACGACATGATGGTGATTCCACCGCTGCGCACAAATCTGGGATCTAGACGCCCAGTCACACAGGTAGATAATTTACAAGACATGAATCGCATCGGTATTCGATCGTAAATGTCGGTTGGTTTGTTCTTATTTTACAAGGCAGTCAACTCGTGCCACCGGAACGTGCATACTGCGGCTGGCGATCGGCGCTCGGTGTAGTTTCGTCATTCGTTATTTTGTATCTTCATTCGTCTCGCTTCCATGCGGGATTCGCTCTCAGGACTATCGGCCGTCGCTGCGCTCGCATGTACAGCTCGTGGAGCTTGGGGTCGGCATCTGAGCGGATGACGCTGCCAACTCCCATGAAGAAGCTACGGCGACACCGTCAGCATCATGTCAAGATAGAGAAGCTTCAGGCTAAACAAACCCAAAAGTTGCGCCAGATGCGCCCATGTACTGGCCCAGAGTCCGCATAATGCCCTGCTGTCCAGCACCATATCGGAAGATGTTAACAGTGCCTACCAAGGTGTCAGCTAATCAGCCCATGGCCGAAGGGCGAGTCCTTCCAATGGCCTACCAAAGATAAATCCCATAATCACACCGACAGCTGAAGAGACGTCAGTTTAAGCCCAACCCGAAACACGGCTGCTGGAAGAGCCCTTACATCCGCCCATCATTGCGCCCATCTTGACTGTCGACTATTGTTAGCGAAATTGCAGCCCCTCACAATGGTACGATTCCGTACGTTTGTCAAACGTGGACGGGGCCTGCTGGCCACCGTGGTGAATCGGCGCAACAGGAGGCATCGTGAACAGCCGGATTCAGTGCAGTACGCAGAAGCGTTGGAGGTTAAATTTGCCTTTGCCTTTCTCAAGGTCCAAGTGTAAGTGCTTCGGACAGGCTCCATGCCTTGCTCCGATGGGCGAGGCCGCTCGGGATGTGATTGGCTGCGGCGCGGCTCCGGCGGCAACGGCAAAAGGTTGATGCGGCGCATTCTGACTATCGCTAGCGCCCCTCACAGTGCATATCCAGCAGCAGCCCGCAAGCGAGGCACTGTCATGATGCATCACGTGAAGCCAGGTCATGAGCCGATTCAGGGCCCCATACGGCCCATTTGGACGGACGGGTCTCGTTGAGATGGGGAGAGCAATCGCCTGGGACGCCCGATCAGCGTCTGCAAAAGTGCTCGCGAAGCATGTCAGAGCCCGTCTCGAGCCCGCGTTGTGGCAGCCGGGCGCCCAGACACTGACAGACACTGAGACAGCGGCCAGACGGCGTGCACTGTATCGTTTGGCCCCCCAGCTTTCGACGCCGCCTAGCCCAGCGCTTAGCGGTGCTAGCAGCGACAGGACAAGATCCCCCAAGCAACACCTCGAAGCAAGCACAGCCCGAGCTTCACCAGGCTCGCCAGCGACCGTGTGGAATCGCCCAGGATTGCGAGCTTCCATCATTTCACGGTATGTTTCACATCTGAGCCCAGCGCCCTTGAGCCGGTCCGGGGCCAGGGGGCTCGACCCCAGCCTCGCTTGGTCGTGCCATGCCATCCCCCAATTGGTGCTCGACAAAGGAGCCACATCACATCAACACTCTGCTGACGATTCTGTGTACGGCAGCACGCTGACCACGATCCGAGTCCGAGCAGTTTCTGCGTCTCTTCTCCCGATCGCAAGCGATAGACCCGTTTGACATCGACGCCGCATCGAGAGCAATTTCGATTTCTTTCTGTGTTTCGATTGCCGCACGCGTGGCCTTGTTTTCCTTTTCCTCGTTTCCTTCCCTCAGCGGGCGGTGGTGGTTGGCGACTTGCAAACGCCCTTGGGTGTGTGTACCCACGCGTTTTATCGACATCGGCCGACTGCCTGCTGTTAGCGACGGGAATTCTGCGCTTGACAGAGTTCCTTCCACGGCTTCTCTTCCCATCCAGCAGGGCAAAGCACCCCCAACGAAGCCTTACCCATGACTGCCGTCGCGAATCCTCCAACCTTTCCGCAAATTTCCCGGCCGCCATGGGCTACTATTAACGGCAACAACCAGATGAACTCAGAGGATGTCAGAGGCATGTTCATGAACCGCAAGAGTATTTCGCGAACCAACTCGTCCTCGTCCATCGCCTCCAACGCCTCCAATACGACTGTTGCGACGAATGGCTCCCACTCCAATGCCACATCGCTGTCATCAGCTTCGGATCTGAGCCAGTGGTCGAATGGCAGCGCAAACAGAAAGAGGCCCCAACCAAAGAACCCTTGGCCCGCTGGTAACAAAGGAGACGCGCAGTCACAGGACTTTTCGAGGCCTCCCCAAGGACGGCCCAACGGCATGATGCCACACGTCACCATGCAGCAAGGCGGACCGGGACAGCCTCAGCTGGGACCCCAGGGCATGATGCGCCCCATGGGGCCCAACGAGCAGCAGTTCCCTCCCGGCCAGCCCATGCTCTATCTGCTGTCCCTGAACGGCACCTTTGAGCGCAAGACAATTGCCGTGCCCTTTGCGCCCGATTCCATACGGATCGGCCGACAGACGAACCAGAAGACGGTGCCGACTGCTACGAATGGCTTCTTTGATAGTAAAGTGCTATCACGGCAGCATGCGGAAATCTTCGCAGAGCGAAATGGAAAAATCTACATTCGAGACGTCAAGTCGTCCAACGGCACCTTTGTCAACGGCACGCGACTGTCCCAGGAGAACCGCGAGTCTGAGCCTCACGAACTCCAGACTGCCGACCATCTCGAGCTCGGCATTGATATCGTCAGCGAAGATCAGAAAACGGTAGTACACCACAAGGTGGCCGCGAAAATTGAGCACGCGGGCTTCTTGAATACGACAAACAACGTTTTGGATATGAACTTTGGAGACCTCGACCCTGCCAACAACGCCATGATGATCCCCGCCGGAGTGCAGATGCGAGGCCGCGCTGGAAGCAACATGTCCATGGGCAACAATGGCCGCATGATGGTTAACGGCGGTACCATGAATGGCCATATGAACGGCATGGCGCAGCAACGTCCCTTTTTCCTGACGCCCATTGCTACAGATCAGATCTTGAAGCGTCTTGCTGTGAGCACTACCCTCAGTCCCCTATTTCTCATTTCATTGTTCCCCTTTGCATCCACTGACACCTTCGTTAGAATGAAATGAGGAG